ACTGCCAGTAGCACGAAACATTTTTTCTACATACATAAGAGGATTTTATTTTGAACAAATGATATCTAAAAAAGTAATAATTTCCCATCCTTTAATTTGTACTCTTGCAATCCCTAATAAGTTTCGACCCCCTTACTCCTCCTCCTCACCACCACCAACTTTGACATACTCCTGCTCAACAGCAGCAGCAGTAGCACTAGCGGCATGACTATGAGCCTCCTCAACCTCCTGCCTAGCACTCTCAACTTCCTGTTTCGCAGTCTCAAGCTGCTCATGCAAACCTTCAACCTCCTTCTCCAATTCAGAAACTCGAGCCTTCATTTCATTCAACTCCTCTTCCTGCATACTATGACTGTTCCCATGTTCATGCTCAGCTAAAGCAAGTTGTGATTCCAGCTGTGATACTTGATGTTGCAATTCGTCTCGTTCATTCTCTGCAGCTTCAAGACGTGTCGTCAAGTCTTCAGGCACGGATTTACGAGATACAGTGTTGTGACCAAATTCATAATCCAATAATGAGGCATGGGCGGTATTGAGTTCATGTTCTAGCTCGGCTATACGAGATTGTAGTTCTCGGGTATTGTCATTACTATTATTATCTCGAACATCACCATTTGTTGATAATGATGAGGCATGTGCAAGCTGAAGTTTCAAGTCTTCAATGGTAGCTTCTAATTCCTCTGTATTATCATCACCGCGAGCGGCTACACCACGGTGAGAGGATTCAGCAAGTTGTTGCTTCAATTCTTCAATATTTGATTCCAGCTCAAGTATATAAGCTTGGAGTTGTGATACTTCGTCTTCTAGAGCTTGTACACGTTCTTGCAGTTGCGCTTCTCCACCAGCACTAGCTTGAGACAACTGATACTCTAAATCCTGTAATCGTAATTCAGATGCATCGAGTTGGGACCTTAAATATGCTATTTGGTCTTCCTTGTCGGTCTCGAGTCCTTTACTACTATTAGGATGGCGTTCAAACGACAAGGTTGGCAGCGATAGCATGGAAATGCCACTCAGACCATTTTCGCCAGCAGCTATAGATCGGCTCGAGTCGTGTTGAATTTCGGTACGAGTGGCATGGAGCTGAGCTTCTAAACTTACAACTTGAGATCGCAAGTCTACGACGAACATATGAGGTTTAGCACAGAAGCATACAAACCGGGCCAACACTTTGTTGCGGCGCTGATTTTTTGCATTACCTTCAATCAACAATTCGTGAACATCTCCACTGGCACCACGCCCTTTAAGGATTTTCAACTCTTCCAAAGCCTGGTCCCGATGAGCTTCAGCGACAGCTTGAGCCTGTTCAGCAGCAGTAACTCGTTCTTCAACATCAGACACACCTATAGACCTTACAGGCGACATGGGCGATCTCATTGACTCGAGCTCATCAATACGAGCTTGCATATTCATCAACTGCAAGTTCAATGCATCGGCTTCTTCACGTGCTCTATTATTAAGGGAAAGTTTCAGCCTTGTGAGGTAAAAAAAAGAACAGATCAGCTCATACCTCGCAGCCTCTTCAGTACTAGCCTTAATCTTTAATTTGTGGGTTGCTAATTCTTTACTGAGAGCTTCTCGTTGAGTCATCAAGGTACTCACATCAGCTGGTATAGCTAATGCTCCATTCGGTGATATTGATCGTGAGGTATTATTCATGGTAGACGAAGAAGTCAATGAGGATATAGAAGCAACAGAAGCTCGTGACTGGGTCTTTTCCAGAGCTTTAACTTTAGATGCCAATTCCGATTTATCCACTAGAGCATTTGCTAATCGAGACACAACGTCCTCGTGCTGAATCTTGAGTTCGTTGAATTTAGCATTGACGACTTCTAGTTCTTGCTCAACACCAGGATCACCACTACCAGCAAAAGCCTTGTTTGCTAACATTTCTTGCAATCGAGAATTCTCAATTGTAAGAGCATCTGCATGACTGGATATGTCTCGGTGTGATGCCAATTCAGCATTCAGGACCGAGACCATGTTTTCTAATGTAGCTATTGTGGTTTGATCTTGTTGACTTCGTGGTGATTCTACTTCACTATTAACATTATTGTTCAGCGAACGAGCTCTTTCTCCATTCTCAATATGCATTCTAGCATCCTTGAGTTGCATTTGTGACTCGTCTAGTAATGCTCGTAAAGCTTCAATTTGCATACTAGCGTCAACTTTTGATGAAGCAATTTGCCTGCGACTATCTTCTATGACCTGTTCCAATTCCTGTTCAAGAGCTTGAATCTTGGCTTCCGAATTGTTGTTGGTGGATAACGATTCGGCCGATTCCGGAGCCACGTTGCCTAACGATCTAGTGCTAGTGCCTGAACGAAGGTTCGAGTTCTCTTCTTCCAAGTCTGCGTATTTGACTCGGAGTTCTTGTAGCTCGTACTCTAAAGTTTGGACTTGAGACTGTATGGGGGAAAAATGCGTTGGTCGAGAATACTTCAAAAGAGAAAAAACCCCGGATAACAAAGTGGATCGATGACAGTTCTCGTCGAGGCACTCACCCTAGACAATCCAATCTGCTTCGCCAAATCAATCTGCCCTTTCGATACACCCATAGAAGCCAATTGAGATTCAAACGCTTGAGCTTGCGACATTGCTTCAGAGGCCTGCCTCCTAGACTGTCTCAGCGCCTTCTCTTGTGAAGCCAACGTTTCTTCCAAATTCATCTTGTCCTTCTCACTAGCACGTAATCGCCCTTGTAATGCTTCGTATTCGCCGCCACCGTTTGCGTTAGCAGCAGCAGCATTGGGCAGTAGAGGTGCTGTTGACGACAACGATGATGATGTTGTGGCACTTGTAGGGGAACCGGCAGAGACTGAAGTCACACGACGTGGGATTGATGGTGCGTCGGTCATTTGCTGAGTCTCTAACGCATGAAGTCTTCGAAGAGCATCATCTCGTTCGGTGGAGAGACGATCTTGGATGTCGTCACGCTGTTTCGTCATTTTGTCGAGTTGCGATTCTAGAAAGGTGATGCGAGATTCCATGGTGGGTGTTGATAAATTACGATTTCCAGACGAGGATGTCGGCGATACAATAAATGGCAGAGCATCAATGGATTTGAGGTCTCCTGTAGATGATGGTGTGGGCGTGACATCATTTACTTGCTTTTCATTATCGCTACTACTAGTATTGCTAATACCATTCTGATTACCACCTTCTAGAGTTCGTTGTTCAGATTCAACAGCCTTCTTTTCAGCATCAGCGAGCTGTTTCTGCAATACTTCCACCTGAATCAGGGAAGTACTGATTTGATCTTGCATAGCTTGTCGTTGTAGGGCTGCTTCATCTAATTGCGATTGCAGAGCAGCTTGAGCACCTACAAGCTGTTTCTTTTCAACTGATCTCTTGTTGATATCTGCTTGATACGTATCCAATAAACTATGCACTCGAGTGATTTCAGCATCACGTTCAGCCATAGCTTCCGTCCATTTCTGTAGAGCCTGATCCCGAGCAGCAATATCAGCTTGCAATGTTTGGATTTGAGCTATTACATGAGCGGGCACAATTAATGGTGGTGGTGCTTGGTTTGTAGGTGGCGGTGAAGATATGGGCATCATTGCGGTGGAAGGTGCAGCAGACATTACTGGTCTAGCAGGTGGTAGAGACTGTAATTGTGATGGTACCGTTCGAGGCATTCCAGTGACAGCTATAGATCCTGTTCTTTGAGGTAATGGTCCAGGTGGATATCCGCCATTAGGAATGGCATTATTATTATTGTAGTTGCCCATATTGCTGCTAATGACTGATGGTACTGGTGGTAGCGAATTTATGACATTGATTTGGTTTGCAACCATCATAGGTTGTTGCTGATGTTGTTGAGGTGATGGTTGTTGTGGCATTGGTGGCCTACTATTTTGCGTGCTGCCATTAAAAGCAGAAGCTAGAGAAGGTCTATTATTCTGAGGAGGCGATTGCTGGACAATTCTTTCAGCAAGGACAGTAGCAGCTATTCTGTCAGCTTCGGACCTTGTCATTGAGTCAGCTCTTGAAGGAATGGAAGGTGATTTTATATCCTTTGAAGGGACAATAGGAGAAGGAGCTGCCACTGAGACTGGCTTCTCTGTAGTTTGCTTCTAGATCGACAGGAAGTGGGTTTAGAATAGAGATCAACGTTTGCAGAGCCAAACAGTGAGTACCAAGACAAAGTCCTCGATGTGACGGAGCCGAGTAGTGATTGCCTTGTGGGATTGAAAGTGTGCCTTCATTTCTTCAGCCAAGGCCTGCATGTTTGCATGGCATTCTAATGTACGAGAACAAGATGAGATGACTGGGTCAATGGCTCTTGTTCATAAAGTACTTGTTTTGGTTGTCACATCATCACGAATGCAATGTCAAACCACTTTGATGCGACACATACGTTCGATCTGTTTCTGAGCATCTAGGACTTCCTTTTTTGGCTTTGATCTGTCCTTTACGATGAGAGCGGCCTTGTCAGCGAGAGTCTTTTGGGCCTGTACGTTCATTTGATTTTGTCTCATCATAAGAGCAATTCTTGTTTCTTCCTGAGTGAGTTTGTCCAATTCCTGCTGCGGATTGTTGACGGGACTGGTATTTGAGGCCAACATGATTGCCTAGTCCTGTAAGTACGTTGGTTTGATGTTAAACTACATACTGTTGAAATCAAAAGGTTGCAAGATTGCGCATAGTCGGCCCCTTCCCAATTTCCAAGAATCAAGAACATCAATGACAAATGGACAGTTGCCCTTTACCTCTCTCTCCGATACGACTGGTTCCAACGACGTTGCTTGACTTGTCCCCACTCAAAGTGAACGGTTTTGAACGGCTTCTCTTCCTTTTTCGCCTGTGTCCCGAATCACGTAAAAGACGGCACGGATAGCAGGTATTGTAGCGCTTTTTTCATAGAATATCACTATCTGTTGTATTATCTCGCGATTTACACGTGCAGTTGTCCTATTGTCCTCCAACCCAAGTCGACCTAAAGCTTCACACATAAAAAGTACATATAGCATACGCAGACTACACAGGAGACAACCATGTCTGACGCCATGCAGCAAGATGATGATGCTGGCAACAATACCACCAACGCTAATGGCAATCAGGACGACCCTGTCTTTGGTCGAGTTCAAGAAGATGACACCAATGACAACCAACTCCCTTCGTTCGGTCCCGACGACACCAATAATAATGATCTCAATCCAAGCAGCAGCTCTGCTAATCCTATACTGCAATCTCAACCTGCTCAGGCCGATTTCGACGACATTTTCGGTGGTGGTGAAGACGACGACGACATGAGAGAAAACGTAGACTCGCTAGCTGGATCTGGTAGGTATTATCCCATATGCATATATATGCAGTAGCGGGGTGTCATTTTGGAACTCGTCTGCTACTTATAACCTTGATTCTTTGAACCTGACGAACTCCTCCCAAATTGAACTACTCAAACACCCTCCTAATCATAGATTCTGAAGAAGAAGAAAATCGAGCCCTCAAGATTCCCATCAAGAAGAAGGCCGGTGCTGCTCCAGTGTATGATCTGTTGGACTGATCAGCCCTCGAATGTCTGGATGCTCACACACTCTCTCGCACCTACAGTCGCAGAAAGAAGAAGGAAAAGTCCACAGAGGAGAAGCAACCTAAAAAGCGGCGAAGAAAGGCTGATGATACATCCAATGTGCCTCTCACTGATCGAGAAAGTGAGAATTATTGTATCATCGCATTTTTTTGCTTGGGTGGATACTCATTAAACCCTTCAATCACTCATATAGTGCGGGACAAGAAATTTGAAGACCAGTTCCAGGCTGTAATTGATAAAATCAAACCCAAAAAGGCTTCCAAGTCTAAAGATGCTGATGGTGATTCTACAGAGGTAACCGAAAAGAAACGAGGACTTTATGGAGGAATCTATAACTGCCACTGTCGACTTACACCATTTCATGAACGACAGACTTCATATGACGCCTTGGCAGAAAAGTTACGTGTACAGATGCTTGCTGCTGCAAGAAAAGATGCTGAACTACATGCGGCAAAGGAAGTCTCGTTGGAAAAGGTCAAGTTCTTGCCTACAGTGCAACGTGCTATGGCCAGGTAAGAACTATCAAAGGTTTATTGATCAAGGATTAATTGGCAGAAATGAGCAATCTCGCTTTTGAAGCAGACAACTCAAACTTCTGCATCTCGATTAGAAAACACTTGTATGATACATTCATTGACAATGAGATATTGCCTGTCATGAAGGAATGGCTGGAACCACTCAGACCTGATGGCGTATTGCCTTCATTGGACATTCAGCGATTATTGATTGATGCTCTTTCTCAAGTAAGATTGTGGTTCATTGCTACATTGGTATGAAATAGGAATGGACAACTCAGACTTTTCTGTCAATGCACAGATGTCTGTCACTATCGAGCAGTGAGTACTCCATTCAAGCTTTCAGTCTTTTTCGCCCTGGCTCACTCTATATTGCCCTTCGTAGTTTACGATCAAGTGGCATCGGTCGAGTCATCAAATTTTATACTCATCCATTGACTCGTTGCTCAGATGAGATTCGTCGTAAAGCTCAAGTACTATTAGGTATGCCGATATTGTCGCTTTCGTTCCGTTTTTTGGCCCGATTCATTCTTTTCCTCGAAATCCACTGTAGATCGATGGACAAATCTGGTATTGGGTCGATCTATGAATTACAGAGATACAAATCAACAAGTCAGAGATGTCAGACAAGAAAGAATGTGAGTATTGATTGAGACCATTTTCCAATGTTCTATCCATACGTCTACTCACCCAAATTCTTACTCTTTCCAACCACATCCTCAATAGTGCACGACCAGCTGCCAAAGTGTATGTATTATTTCTTGTGTTTGAAAAAGACACGTGCAGGATCTCTTTTGAGTTGCTTTGTTTTACCGTCAACCTAAACTCACATTCTTCTTGCGATTAGACTTGTGGACGACGACCGAATCTATGCTCAACGACCGCAAGGAGGTCTACCTGCTTTCAAATATGTTCCCAAGTTGGTATTACCCAAAGATGGTCCCGTGGAACGTGAAATGCCTGAGCATTTGAGCAAGCTGTCAAAGAAGCTCAACAATATTGGTCGTTCAAAGAAGTAGTTTATGTGTGTTGGTGGTGGTTAGTGTTTTTGCTGGTGGGTAATGATGGTTGCATGCTGGTGGAATTTGTGTTTGCGTTGGTAGCATCTTGTACATGTCTAAAGACCTTTGAAAAAACGAGACCCAATTTTTATGATTGCTGGTTGATTGCCTACGAAATGTCTGGAGTTCGTTTGAGGGTTCTTCCGTGTCTCTTCTGGTGTTCAGAAACATTGTGGTCATTTCCAAAAAAAGTACTCTAAATGGCTGACACGTTTGAGCTCTCCCCTTTACGACCGGCAAATTTTTTATTGATATGGCATAAGATATCAGTTATTCTGCTCACGCAACCAACAAAAGAAAGGCACCAATGATGTTTGTGACAGGTACAATTTTTATATTTTACTCGTGAATTCTTTATTTTACAGACAAATCACCAACAACATACTACCTTATCGCTCTTCGCGGACTATTAAACGTGAAAGAGAGATGTCAGTCACACTGTTCAACCAACCGAAGAGCACACATGCAGGTGAACGATGAGTGCGAACTCACCAACCATATCAGCCTTGATGAGCTTCATTCGTAATAACAAGTGCCTTCCTTGCTTTCCTCTCGTAATCAGCTGCCATTTCAGAGACTTGTCAAAGATGTTGTTCCTTTAATCCGTCTTTTTCACCCTCAAGACCTCTACTGTGCAAAAACATCGCGTTGATATGCTCGCCAATGGGACTGCAAATGCATTCCAATCGAGTACGCCAACTTGTTGTGACTGTCAATACGAGCTTGTATGGCACCCTCTTGAATCAGAACAGCCATTTCTGGTTCAAGTTAAGCCACTGTGGTGTTAAAGGCCGTGGCCATCTCGTTGATGTTAAGAGATTGGAAAGGTGAGAAATATTCCACGAGTGCCTTTTTGCGAATGTTGGCCATAAGTATATCCACGTGATCGCCGCGATAAAAAGCCAATAGCCCAAGTCATTATGACCATCTGAGACGTGAGGTGTCGTTAGACTTTCACAAAACTCTGCCAATCACGCAATCCAACATGTAGACATACCCTTATAGACTCCTTGACCATAGAGTACTACGCATCCTTCAATTGAGCTTGTGGTATTCCAGTGTTGACTTTGGCCTCCTCATTTGTTCGATCAAGCCAGGCAGCAGGGGATGAAATTAATTTATAGGAAAGAATCCGTGATTACGTGCCTCTGAGTCGTAGATGTATATGTCCTATTAATTGTTAACTATCTTTTGATGTTGCTGACCTCATTGATTAAAGCGGCTCCAGCATCAAATTACACGTAGTGAGGGGCGATACCACCTCGTTAGTGAATAGAGTGGCGGATGATGCTGTTGATATCGATAAAATGCAACATGACGTGCGGTGTTTTGAATCATTGTGAAATGACTCTTATCAGGATGAAGAGGATGCTTTCTACCAGTTATCGACAACGGCATGCGTCTCTGAGTAGTTCTAGCGAGCTCAGCTCCTTCATACTAGTGCATCGTTGTCGTAGATATCGTTCCAAACGCCGCAAAGTCGACAACCCCAATTGACGATGACTCCAGGCCCCAGCAAATATTCCTACATATTAGATTGAGTCTTTTGCTAACTCAGAAGCTGCTAAAATCCAACATTTGGTGGTGAAATACTCCATTTCCTCCAAACGAGAAGTCTACCAGCGGTATGAGAAAGAGGCTTTTGGAAGGAGCTTACAAGGGCCACGAGCCTCCACGTATATTGACAATGGATTTATGCTCCTTCTCAGACCACTCACACCCAAGTGACGCTCTAGCATTGATCTCCCATTCTCCCATTCGACATATTTTACCACAGAAGTCCCAATAGCCCGTACTTAGTACAGGACGGGTAGGGATTAGTTCGACGAACAGACAGTATATCTGCGATGGGAGTCACGTCAATGAGTGGATTGTTGCAAAAAGTTCCACTCAGCTCTAATCGGGAGTTGTGGTTGTTGCCTGCATTTGTTCAGTCTCCAATTTCTGACTTGAAGGGAGTGTTAAGACGAGATCAGACAGCAATAGCATTCATGTAATCCAACCGTTACTCCTCTTATCGACTCTCCATTCCCTCTGTTACATTGTCATCAACGTTGTCATCAAACCTCTTGATCGAACCACAATGATCTACGTTGTCGCCTCTAGATTCACCCTGCACCCATCCGACAGGCTGGCTCTTATCTCACATTCGTCACTCTGCCATTCGTCACTCTTCGCTCTCTATTCGCCAAGTTACGACATATTCCACGCTTTATTATTTTGCAGTTTATATGACGAACAGCACACGATGCGGTGGCCGCATGCCGAGTGACGAACGCGCACTCTTCAGGGCAGAGAAATAGCATAGGCTGGCACGCCCCATGCATAGCCTCGACGCCCAGTTGTTTGGCCCCAGCCGATCTCGAACACTTTGTTGTCTTTTCCTATCTCCAACGACACTTCTCATTTACAATTGTACAATAAATTTGATATGACAAATATGCGATAATATATTGCATGATCAAATGAAAATACAATGGGGTTTCCATTGTTGTCGTATTATACAAATCCATCCACGACCATTTATAAGTCAATACATAACAAACCTACAAAAAGTCCACATATTCATAATTTCTCCCACCACCAATGCTGAAGCCCTCCTTAATATAATAGTACTAAATAATAACAGACTCTCCCACTTGACACGTATTTTTTTGGTACCAAGCTTACTCTTCCACACCACTAATGTGTCGTGAAGCATTTACTAGAGCTTCAAGAGCCGTAGCATAACTACTAGGTGCATGATCAGCAAACATGGTGGTAGAGAAATGAGCCTCTGAGAATGCAGCTTCAACATCTTCACATCGATGCATTGTCAAAGTACATGACTGAGGCTCCTTCAACGTTGTTTTGATTCCCAGTGGTGGTGGTAGATTCGAGGATGACGCTCTACCACCACCAATATTACCACTAATATTATTCCCTTTCCCAGCAATAAAACCATCACCGCCAACACTATTACTACTATTTTTACTGGCACCACCACTACTATCCTTCTTGTTGTTGCCACCCACCACCAGTGACGAGGGATTACAAAGGGAAGGAGTAGCTTGAATCCAATACACGGTGCCTGGAGGAAATGTCTTATCTGCCGACATGCCAGCACGCAGCGTCTTCAGTAGAGCCCATTCCCATACATCATCTGCATCAGCATCCCAATCTGAAGGTACTGATCCACGAAATATATGTAGCGCACGTGAAATCACTTTTTCTGCGGTGCCCCGTTCTTGTGCTAGTGCTACTGCCACGGTCTTGAAGTCACGTATAAGACCTAGTGATAGACATGGTATCACATCGTTTCCTAAGAAAACAAAAGAAGAATTGCATTTCAGTGACATTACGGGAAGGACGTTGACTAGATAATTCTCCTTTCGAGCTATATGATTTGATAAGGACAATCAGGAAGTACTTACGGAAGACAACACACGTAATCAGCTTCTTGTAAGCCTTTGACATTTCAGCAGACATGGTACTGGGAGGGCCCTGCAAAGATGACAATTGAGTTAGGCAGAGACCAGCAAAAAAATCACAACGACAAAGGAGAATCCCGGAGAACTCGTATATCAGGAAAGAAAATACTTCCGACACTCACATAGCAATAACAATGCACAGGTCTCCCTTCCGGGAACCCTCGCTTCGTAACAAAACTGCCGTCCTTCTGAACATCAGCCCACATCGTAGCCAACAAAGCAGCAACACCACCTCCTAACGAATGACCACACAAGACCAACCCAAATCCAGGATATTGTTTTAAAGCTCCAGCTACTACTTCAGCAACGGCAGATTCACATAATTTCTTGGCACTCTTCAGCATTCCGGCATGTACAAATCCTGTTGCTACGTCTGTGGCATAGTTGGCATAATCACAAGTCAGATCTGTGAGTAGGTCAGACAAGCCTAGAGTGCCTCGAAGTGTCAAGACTATCGATTTTGTAGCTGGGTCTACGGCAACGTAATGGACTAGTGCCTTTATGGTTGGTTGAGCAAAGGCTTTTGGTTTGGTAAATGACGACGTCAAGATACATTCCAGAGGTATGCCAGCGAGAGATGCGAACGTCTAAAAGGAGGAATTGAAGACACTGAGCATGCAAGATACGTAACGTGGAGGGCAGCATCATGGAGGTCGAGTTTTTTCTGCAACCACAACCATCCCAATCCAATTCCAGGCACGTTCTTACCTGAACATTGTGATGATGATCCTCAGCTGATTCAACAGGCTCTTGAGCACGTTCCAAGCCCAAAATACGAACAAAGTGTGTTCCATATGCACCACATGCAAACCCGAGAAATCTAGACAAGCGAGCCCATAATTGTCGATTAGACGGCAGATTAGAGTGCATAGGTGATGCAGGACCAGGTTGAGGAGCAGGTTGGCTATTATTTATACTGGTATTGATACGATCAGGACTATTAGTACTACTGAGAGGTAGTAAAGAAGGTACTTCGTTCGGTTTAGGAGCATTTGGCGCTTTTGATGTTGAAGATGTGGTTGTTGTTGTGGTGGTTGATTGACTCCAATCGAAAACTCTACTACATTTTTCACGTGTTGGTGACGATGGTATCAAATACGATGGCTGAGTGGTATCATGTACCATCACTACAGTTTCGCGTACGGTTTCAGTGAATACTGCTACATTCAGTCCGATATTCCTAGGAAGAGATTTATGTCTTCTTTTTGTGTCTTGTTGAGTTGGATTTGTTCCAGACGACCATCGACTAGCTCTTGGAGTGGATGGCGTACCCAATTTTAAGCGACTAGTCGATAGAGTACGTTTTACTTGACCCCATGCTGAAGATTCCGAGTCGAATTCCTCGTCATGAGGTACTGATAGACATACGGCAGAGTCTCCTCGACGATGCTGAAGTACGGGCAAGAGATCTTGTCTGCGAGAAGGTGATGGTAAAGATGGTACCGTAGTTCCTCGAGCTGGTATTTTATCAAATCCATGTCGGGACAAGGCGTCGGATAACTGACTTAATTCAGGGGTTGTTGCGACACTGGGTATTACGGCTTCAAACACAGGTGTGAGTCTCAATGCCTTTGCACTGAGCCGTTTTCGACTGACATATTGTAGACAGCTATATGCAGTTATACCCTTTGTCACCGATCCTACTGCAAACACTTGGCCGAATGGTGCTGGATAGGTCAATGCTAGATCATGACGCCATTGGTCTAATTCATTCTTGACTAGATATACGAAAGCTGCTAGAGCCCTAGATGTTTCAGTTGAGCCAAAGAGTCCGTCTAAAACTCGTACAGCTTCTTCGGCACTTTTTAGAGACAGTTGGATTGTTCTCGAGACCAAGTGGAAGGAGCTCATCGAAAACAATTCAGCCAATGAGAAGATATTATGTACAAACTGCGATTTTTATGATGTGTGTGTAAGAAGAAGGTGTTTTGCAGGTGTCGACAAGTGTAATAAGATCACTTACATAGACACCAGCAGTAGTGTACCGATCCAGCACTCTGGTGAAGAAATACGATTCACTCCTATAATAAAACGCCAAAGTTTAGGACTAAACATTCAGTATGGATGCGGGAAAAGGGCTTACATCTGTTGTGATGATGTAATCGATCTTTGGCTACTTGCAGCCGACAAAGCAGCTACTATAGCATGCCGAGTAAATGATAGAGAAGATGTTGTAGAGTATCTCAGAGTCTCAAAGAATGCTTCTACGACGATCTGTGAAAGCCTTAGGGCGATCCGAGTAGCAATCGACACTACAGGGGAAAAGTGTGTTGTAAGCCAAAACATCAGTGATGGCTCGATCCAAACCAGTATTACCTGAACTGATGGCCCTTGCACAACTTTCATTAAGCAAAGGAGGGAGTATTGGAGCGGTGGTAGTGTTCACGATCGTGTTCGTGATGTCAGGTACAATTTCATTGTCTTCTAGCTCTGGCGACGAAATTGCATCATGGAAGACGATATCATCGTCACTTCCATACTCGATTACAGTAGTTTCAAAGTCCTGGACCTCTTCCTCATTGACAAATCTCACTTGTTCTTGCGAGAGGGAGGAAGTCATTTTTCTGTTTTTGATCGTTGATTATGGTAATTAGCAGTATGCAGGCATGAATGTGCTCCTAGTCAGAAAGCTCTTGTCTACAAAAAAGAGACTATTTACAGCATCGATGGTTTGTTTTTATGCTTGTTGGCTTGTGAAGAAGCTTTGTTTTGCCATTGCTTGATCGAAGTGATGAGTGGGAGTTTGGTCCTTTTCGAGGAGCAGCTCACGTAGAATATATACAATTTATTACCAAGGCGCTTCACTTGGACGTGTACTTGAACTCGAGACTCGTGTCAAAGTTGGTCAAAGTCTCGCCAAAACCGAATCACCAAAGAGAACGTATGAGTAAGAACGTCCATTCAGACACAGCTTTTCAAGGGAACCGCACGTAAAAGTTAGCGATGAAATTCATTAAATTCAAGAAAATGTCCGATCTAGTGATTTCCTCAAACATCATCAGTACATGTCAACCAATCGTCAAACTTGTGCCAAACACAGGAAAGCTCGTACCCGGAGAGAAGAGAACGATGAGGAATCATTATAGATCTATGGAGGAACTATAGACTATGTATTAGAACTCTGGTTAGAACTCAATATGTCACTATACAGTCAAGTTTTGCAAGCCTTGCAGAAGGCATGAATAATGTAGGTACAGAGTTTGTCAAGATAAATTCCTGAAAATAAAGCATCCAAATCGCCAGCTGTAGAAGCAAAGAGTGCCGACTCTTCAAAGCTCCACTCCAATTAAGATTTTTAGCGAATCATGGGTTTGTTAACCCACAAAGAAGAAGCACGGGTCGTTCTTACAACAAAGTAGCTCGGCCAGTCAAGGTTGCATTTTAAGAGTGTGTGAATTACACGAAATTGCTCGTTAACCGTACTTGTTCAGAGGTGCATCCCGAGTTATTTAGCAACATATTCAATTCCATCCTAACGATTGGATTCCGTAGAAAACACCACAACAATCAGTCAGTCACGAGGATTGACTACACCTTAACGTGTCATACTAGTTGAAAACAAGGTCGATCGTATCTTTACCTGTTTTAATTAACCATGGAAGGTCCTGTTCGAACTTCCACTCCCATTCCAGCTCACGCTATACCAACGACCATAAGCAGCCCAACATATATATCGTCGTCGACCACATCGCTAGGAAACACGTCTCCTGCCTCTACACGCCGTCTAGCATTAGGCTCCCATCGCCCGTCGACAAATACAACTCCAGCAACATTGGGTGAACCTCGTGCAGCCTTATTGGCTGCTTCTGTCTCTGGTAACGGCTCATTATCTGCCATGTCAAAGGCTTCTCCTGTCGGATCGCCCGCTGTCTCGGACAGAAAGTACTCTCTCAGCGCATTATGGTCTATCGGATTGGAACATGAGGAAATTGATGATGATCTCACAAAGGGTACGTTAATAAGACTAGTATCCTCTACTCTGATGTTGGATCAGCATGCACATGGATTAAGCGGAATGTTATCTATCAAGAACCTATGACCCTTTTTTATCGGGTTCCATCCTCTGGTGGTGGTGCAGAAATAAACTATGTCGTGACTTGATCAAAAGACGTACAACCACCCCGATTCTTCAATTTAACACTACATTCTGACGTAAATAGCTCAACGCCGATTACGGGATTTGAAGATGAGGATCTCTGCTCAGTCTAAAAAGAACTTTTTGTTGGAACGAGACGTGCGGTATCTAGATGGACGTATTGCTCTCTTGATTCAAAACAGATTGGCATTAGACGAGGTATGCGGGAACATGTGTCGATTATACTCGTGTCATGATCGGGCCAGTTGATTCTGTCGATCGGCGATAAAGATACGCACCGATCATGTTGCTGACTGTCACCCCTTTCTGCATTCCACAATTACAGAAGGAAGCAATTTCCAACATGGGCGAAGAAGACTTGGATACCAACATCGCAGTTGCCTTCCCTGACGAAAGGCGGCGACAGGTAAATACGCTTTATTATTTTTTGGTATGATGATGACTCATATTGCCGTCGCCCTTACTAGTTATATGGCAACTTATTCTTCCTTTTACAATCCGAACCACGGTATATCGCTACCATGACACGTCTAGTGTCTATGGCTGAGATAGACAACTTGCTCCAAACCGTAATGTTCACAATTTATGGAAATCAGTACGAATCGCGTGAAGAATACCTCCTTCTCTCCATGTTTCAGGTATTTCAATATAGTTATCCACGTCCTTTTTGCTCGAGTGCTGACTCGCTTTATGTGGTTTAGAATGTATTGGCTGCCCAGTTTGAAGCTGCCACCGATTTTGGAAGTTTGCTTCGTGCAAACACACCTGTCTCCCGAATGATGACCACATACACTAGGTAGGGGCTGAATTTTATTGCATTTTGGAAGTTTCAATAGTTTCTGACAATATTCGAATCATTAGACGAGGTCCTGGTCAATCCTACCTCAAGAACGTATTGTCTGAAAAGATCAATGGCTTAATTGAACAAGTGGATTTAGATTTGGAAATCAATCCTCTAAAGGTATGGGTTCAACCCTTGTGTGGCTTTTTTGCGACCGGTCAATGTTCAATGGATTCTCATCACATCGTTTTAGGTTTATGAGCAATTGGTGAACGATTCAGCAATTCAAGGGCCATCAAGTGGTGAATTGCCTAGATGTACGACTGCTGAAGAAGCGATCAAAGTCCCACAAGTCAATGCTGTAATCGCTCCCAGACTTGAAAAGTTGATGGAAATCACAGGTGAATTCCTGGATACCATCATGGCAAGTCTAGATCAAGTCCCATATGGTATTCGGTGGATTTGTAAACAGATTAGGAGCTTGACTAAGGTATAACTTATATCGAACAACGGGTGCGTCTATTTCCATAACTGAACTGTTTTTTGGTTCACAGAGGAAGTACCCAGATGCAAGTGATTACAACATTTGCTCCTTGATTGGCGGCTTTTTCATGTTGAGATATGTGAACCCAGCCATCGTAACACCACAAGCCTACATGTTGGTAGAATCCAACCCCATGAAAAATCCTCGCCGCAATTTGACGCTGGTCGCCAAATTGTTGCAAAATCTTGCCAACAAGCCAGCTCATTCCAAAGAAACTTACATGTCTGCTCTTAATCCATTTGTTGAAGTCAAGAAGGAAGTCATCAACAGGTTCTTGAATGATTTGTGTGAAGTGGGAGATTTCCATGATGAGCTCGAGGTATGTTGGGGAAGACAAAGTCCATTTTTTTGTTTTGACTGACTTTATTTTTCATCAGATGGATCAATACGTTGCCTTGTCAAAGAAAGATTTGCAACTCAATGTGACTCTAAATGAAATATATCAGATGCATGGTCTACTGACGCAACACAAGGACGTTTTGGTATGTTGTCAGATTTCTTCTGCAAAAAAACGGCTCGATCGTTACCAGACATTTGCACCAACATATCAACTAACCTTCCATCTTTTTTAGGCTCAAGGAGAGAAGAACCACCTACGAATCATACTAAATGACTTGGGCCTAGCTCCAAATCAAGTCTCCCGTAGTGAGAACAAAACCATAGTATTACCGCTCTTCTCACGATGGGAACAACCTATTGCAGATGTACCATCAGCCATAGCTGACTCTCAACTCACCAAATCCGACATTCTGTATATGGACACTAAAGCTCTATTTGTACAAATCCTTCGATCCATGCCGTCCTTGGCAGCAGCAGGTGGACCAGGTCCACTAAACCTATCCAAAATTGCAGAAGCAGCTGCTCAATCTCGTGAACCAGGGCTAGTTAAAAAGGGCATAAAGGTCCGGGAACTATTACACGATTTAGAAGAAGTTGGATCTGTCAATGCTACAGACGGCCATCGCTTACTAGTGGAAGAAGTGACTGCAGAGATTGTGCACTTGGGCAGTGTCCGAGAAAAGTGTAACAAGGAAACAGCTTCTCTGGAAGTCGTATACAAGACTATATGTGATCACAACAATTATTTGAGAAGTCAACTAGAGTCGTACAAGGCGTATCTCCAGAATGTGAGAATTCAGAGTGGTTTGGTGGGCAATAAGAGTGCCAAGGGCCAAGTACAAGGTCCATACAAGTTCAGTCATGCTCAGTTAGAAAAGGATGGTATGATTGTAGAGTCCAATGTGCCTGAGAATCGGTAAGCTTTTGTTTCAGATTGTTGGAAGGTGTTGGTGTATTGAAGCTCACCACCTTTTCGCTTCGCTTTCTTTAGACGAGCCAATATCTTTTTCAACATTATCTCTCCCTTACCGGGTACATTCGTCATAACTCTTCATTACAAGGGTATGGGCCTATGCTCGATTGTGCGTTTTTTGTTGCTACCACAATACTCAATTCACCTTGTATACACAGGTCGCGAGAAACCCATTTTGGAAATGGACTTGAAGCTAGATGACTTGCTTGAAAAGCAGTCAACTCAATCACCTGAACCAGTGTTGGATTTGGAATATGTTCAGCTATCTGTAGGCAAGACTCTCAAGTTGATTAATCGAACTTTTTTGAAACGATGAGAAAAACGCGGGTCTTGGTATGTGCTTTTGGGTGATACACGTCGCAATATGTTGAAGTCTGACTTGACAATTCCACTAGATGATTCGTGATAAGAAAGAAAATGACCTCAAACACGCACACACACGTTAACAGCAACAATATAAAATTCGTTTGTACTTACGGCATACACCAGTAGTTTGGAAAATTATAACTTCAAATACATTAGTTCTTAAGCTATTAAACTTGATGAAAAAGGCTTGGTTTTTTTTGTCGTCTTACACTTCCTCGTGTTAAACTACAAATGGACAATGTTTTGAACCTTCCCCAACGCTTCGCCTCCCTGTTTATTGGCCTCTGGATCACGAGCATCGCTATGATTCTTTCCGTATGCATTCGAACATTAAGTCGAGTAGAACGAATGCTCGTCGGATCACCAAACACTGGAACTAAATTGTTGAAAGCTTCACGTTCGAGCTTGTCGACGTTACCAACGACTGAACCTCGAACGGCTTCCTCATCCAGAACGGTTATATGTCAGATCGTGTCTCCTACGTTTTGTGATTCTCGAGGTGTGTTGAGTCTTCGCAACATTTCATCACAATATTATCAACATTTTGCAGACGATGTTGTTTTCCCAAAGAAGCAACCTCTACGTATAGATCTGAGTATTTTATTCTTTTAGGAGTCGCTTATGGTGGTGCTGTAATGAGCCTGATTGATATTACAGCTGGTGTCGCTTGTAAGGCTATTTCGAAATATTTTCTAAGCCTTTACTGATACATATTTGGTTATTCCTGTAGCCAAGAAACATTCTGGATTGAATGTCGTTACTGCATCGGTGGACTCGGTCGCGTTTGCTGGTAAGACCACGGATGAGCTACGAGATTTTGGTCCGGTCTTATTCGCATACTCGTAGAACCGTTACGGGAGGGTGAGATTGTTAACGTCAGAGCAAGCGTGAATAGAGCATGGTACGACCACTTGTGATGAGCTATGAGTCTATGTCTGGTCTTGTTCTCTTACTCGTCAATTCTTTGCAACACAGGAACACCTCTATGGAAGTCGGTGTTCGCGTCGAAGCAGAAGACCCGAAAACTGGAGACAAGAAATTCTGTTGTCACGCATACCTGACGTTTGTGGGTCTAAAAGCACTAGGTCAACCATCAGCTGTTCCGGCAGTGATGGCTGAAACGGAAAATGAGAAGAGGAGATATAATGAAGCAGACCAACGACGAACTGAACGCAACGAGAGGCGCAGACGGCTGCCTCCCATAACAGCTATTGGTACTAGGCGAAATGGGTTTATGGATACACCACAGGTGTCTAGGAGCAAGAAGAGCGGTAAACAGAATGGGTTGCCAGCGAAACCGGCTTCAGAGTCGTATTCTGAGGTATGATATACGGGAACGATTGGGGGTTCTTTTAGCCATGGTATCTAACGAGGCTTCTGTGTACTCTATAGACCGTACAAATTGTATTTCCTGGTGATGCAAACAGCAGCAATGTCTTGTTTGGTGGAAACATGATTCGATATATGGAGTCTATTGCTGCTATAGCGGCTGGCAGGCACACACAAAGTGATGTCGTAACTGGTGAGCTTTGTTGAAACTAGCGAATTTTCTGTCCAAGCAACATCCCCAAAAACTCCTTATCCCTTTCCGTTCGTTTATTAGCCTCAATCGACAGTCTGAACTTTATCCGATCAGCACAAATTGGCGATGTCATTACCTTAAGGGCAGTAGTATCTGCTGCATTTACTCATTCAGTGGAAGTATACGTGACTTGTGAAGCTCCATCTGGAATTACGAATGACGGGTATATGACATTGGTTGCAGTTGATAGTAGTGGTGAATTGGTGAGAGTACCTCCACTGTCGACTGATACAGACGAGGAAAAGGTTCGTGAAGCTGGTGCTTCTGAACGGAGGATGACTCGTTTGAAGCATCGTGCTTCTTTGAGAATATGAGGGATTTTGCTGATTGCGAATAAGTAGGACTGTTTATATTAGATGTGTTTTGCCTATATGTAACATTGATCAGAACTTTCAAAGACTTTGTGCATGTGTTTTCCATCATGCATAGGTCGTTTATGCTGCTACAATTTACAATAAAACGAGCAATACAAGTCCTAGAACTTGATCTAAACTTGATCCAAACTTGATCTTCTTGAGTTGCGGTTCCTGCAGCTATTGGCCACTCTTTGCAATCCAAAACTTTAGACGCATCATGAGTCCGTCCAATTGGCGCGAGGTTTTGGAAGGAGCCATGTCCCATATTGATTCTCGTCGAGCTGCAATTATATCTGCGTCAGCAATTGCAGGTACTGTTATTGTTAGAACTCGTTGCCACTGTTCATAAACCTAACAATTGTATGATGTAGCTTCATACGCCTTTGTGACTTATGCTCGTCTCGGGCCGCAAGATAGCTTCATCAGGAAGCTGCTCGGCTTGAAATTGAACTATCCAGTCCATGGGTTTGTTCATCCTGGTACGTTCATCAGCTCGTGTTTGTTGTGATTGTAGATTGTAATTCTCAAACATTCTAACGTAGGATATGAACTCGTCAAGGAAGAATTTGAAAAGAACTTCGAACAAGGACTTGAGCTCGGCAGTTCATTTTGTGCTTATGTGAGTTTGATCTGGTGCCATATCTCCAAACCACTCGGACTCAAAAGTATCTGCAAATTATGATTTAGGCTGACGGGAAACTCGTCGTGGAGCTCTATGGTGGTTATCACGATATTCAACGCAGCAAACGCTATGATTCTCAGTCTTTGCAGCTCATCTTTTCATCCGGAAAAACTTTGGTTAGTGACACTGAATATGACGATTCCCTGACCATATGAAGCTGCTACGTGTGGACGTGTCCTAATTAATAACAACATGTGAAATCTTCTTCCAACTTCTCAGATGGCCATCTTGATCGCTCATTTGGTCGACAAGGACTTGATTGATCTCAACAAGCGTGTCGCTGATTATTGGCCTGAATTTGCTGAAGGAGGTAAAGAAAACGTTACCGTCAAGGAACTCTTAGCTCATCGTGGTGGTGTTGGTTGGCTGGACGAACCTCATCGAGTATGTTGTCCGTTCGGTCTGAATTGTTGAAACAAACACAACTCTCATCAGTACAATCTCAAATGCATCTAGTTGACCACGGACGAATACACAGACTTGGACCTAGTCTCCAAGAAGATTGCTGGTCAACCTCACAACCATAACGGCAAACCAGTACACGACTACAATGCTCAAACTCGGGGCTTCTTCCTCAACCAGATAGTTCGCCGAGTTGACCCAAAGAAGCGTTCAGCTGGTCAAATCTACAGAGAGGACATCAATCCCAAGCTTGGGGTTGAAGTATACATGGGCTTGCCTGAGGCTCTCTACACGCGAGTCTCGCCATTGGTCAGCTACCCGTTCCCTCGTGTTTTGATCCGAGCTCTGCTTCCAGCTTGGATTACTCGCAATCCTCTGCCACCCATTCTTGACAAAATACAGGCAAAGAAGGGTAAAGCATTGTTTACACCAAATATTACCATGCCTGGAGCAAAGGGCAATGATCTTGGTGTTATTGCAAACTCATATGACTACCAGAAGGGTGAAGGGCCTTCATACAACACAATTACGACTGCCAAATCGGTACGCGACTTCTCTTCTTATGTTTTTTGTTTTGTGTAATCAGATATGGTGCATGTAAAACGTTATTTGGTGTTGGTATTTTGGCTGAGCTACCACCGAACATTAGATGGCCAAACTGGGTGCTGTCATGGCTAACGGTGGTACTCTGGATGGCTTCAAGCTCTGCTCTCCAAAAACTCTTGCCAAGGTCTATGAGGAAATGGAGCTACAAGAGGACTACAGCTTGTGTTTCCCCTTCCTTTTCACTGCTGGTGGATTCAACCTCCTCAAGGATGTAAGCTGTCCTGATCCAGACATGCTTGAAAAAGACCGAGTTGGCAAATATCGTGCTCCAGGAACTACATGGGTGGTATGAATGATGATTCAATGTACGAATACATGGCTTTAATTAATATCATTCACCTTTTCGGAAAGGGATGGGGAGGTTACGGAGGTAAAGGAGCTGTACCTTCGACACGCTTTTCAAACTTTCTGAATTCGCCGTTCTTATGAAGTTTCCACCTGATTCCTAGGATCTTTGATTTACTGGAGTCCAAGTGACAACCTTGCTGTTGGATACGCTGAAAATCAACTTGGTTTATGCGTAAGTAATTGGTGCCGTTAAATTATCATGGCATCTGTTTGTGAACTCCTTTACTCTATCTCTACAGATTGTTTGTGAGGCTCGTTCTGAACGCCTCTCGGCCGCGGTATGGAAATGCCATAACGCATTATCGAAGGGAAAGAAGTAAACGCTGAAAAGTAAAAGCAGTTGTGGTTTTGTTTTAAATGAGGGCTCTTTATATACTACTGTTTTAACAACAAAAAATAAATGGTTTTTTACTATACAGTTTACTCTACTTCCTTGACAAGTGTTGAGCGTATAAAGGAGATGCCTGGGCCAGCTGTGATTGAGTATATTGGCGAGGCGGGGGAGTGATGGGAACACCTGGTAACACACCTGGTTGTTGCATTGGTTGCAATGGCTGAGCAACTCCTCGAGGCGATTCTGGTTGTGGTCTTCCCATCATAGATGATGCTGGAGTTTGGATGGGCGATGGTTTTTGGATTACATGACCAGGGTATGGTTGTATTCCTGGAGGGAATCGAGATCCAGGACCACGATCATCGAATCGAGGGAATGGTGGTAGCTGCGATTGTTGCTGCTGTCCACCTAAATACATATTGTTTATTGGTATAGGTGGCGAGTCTCGTTGACCATTGGAATCATATTTGGCGTCTGAGTACGCCAATGATGATGCAGACTGGGTTCTCTTTACTCGACCATCGACTGATGCAGTCTTCGATTGAGGTCTTCGACGAACTATATGAAAAACGAGAAACACGTTAGATTGCGACAGGATGCTCAGCATTTAACACATTGCGAGTAGACATCCAATCAGACGACAACGACCAAACACTTACGTTGATCCTGCAATCCTCGTCCAAACTGTCGCATATTCAAGTATGCAAACACGACTGTTACTATGGCCAATATGACAGTGACAGATTCGAATAGTGTGAGGGATGACTTGGATGCCAAATACTTGTTGGAGTCCTTTGTCTGATATATATCTGCGAGTCGAGAGATGACGTATCCTGTACCGCTAACCAATATCACCATGAATATACACATGAGAATCCTTGATTCTCGTCGGACCTAGATTTGGCAAGGGAGAGGTATAAGCAATTGGAGAAAGAGCTTGTTGTGAGTTACTTTCAACTTACAGCATAGTACGCCATGATAAGCAAGGGAATTGTTATTGGCGTTACAAAAATGGCATTGAAGAGAATGGTCGTTTGATCAGCGTTTCCAACCAAGACCAATACAAGATATTGAATGGTGAAGCCGTTGAAGAAGAAGACATCGACCTTCAGCAACATCAAAAAGATATGATACATGCGTAGTTGGCCTAGCATGAGATGGTGTGTGAGTGATTTTGTGCCTAGAATCATGATGGTAACGGCATATTTCGGATAGCCTACCTCTAGTACTAACATCCGCACCCAACTCTTTGAAGATACTCCAACCAAACTGTCGATGCAGCTTGATGGTCAAGTAAATCCATCCCAAAGCAAACACAATCATCAGCCCAATGATGACAAACTCTTCGACCATGGACCAATGCAGTGTAGCCTTGACTCCACTCTGAGCCAGTTCCGATTGTGCTTGGGACGCCAGCGTCCGCGATTGCCAGTACTGAACCACAGCATATATAGTCAAGACCCAATTGAATACAGTAGTACATATTAATTGAATGGTTGACGATGATATAACCTGAGCGATAGATGCTGTTAGTATTTCGGATGATGTGGCACTTTGGCAAAGTACAATTCGAGACATACAGCATCTAGAGCCAAAAGGAACTGAAAGATCTGAGCAGCGAGATAAATGGCATGATATAGAGTTACAGCATTCTCGTTTGGTATAATGGAGTTCAAAACTTGCGGGGCCTGAAAATAGGAAATATTGTACACGTAATTCACTTCGTTCCCGTGGATGACGAGGACGATGGCTTCCAATATGATGATTAAAAACATTTGAGTAGCGCTCCACCCTAACGTAAATTGACCGAGGGGTGTGCGCCAAGTCTACAAAAGTGTTCGGATGTGTATGGTGAGTATGATGTAGCAGTTACAGCAAACTGGATGGGCAAGAACAGCCCCGTAACCGATAATTACACATGTATCAATCAGAAAACAGGATGCTATTATCGACTTACAGGTCTAGAACCTCTTCCAGGAGCTGTTGTCACAGAGGGCTGTTCGCTATATGTTGTATACGATGGGGGGCCACTGTTATTTTTGAGCGAGTTGAACCATTGGGAGGGCGAGTTCGCGGGAGCATTGCCCGTCGCGCTGCTCTCAAGCTCCATTGTCGGTTGTCTTTCTTGAACGAACGGAGTTTGGTGGTTCTGTGCGAAAAGTTGGCGATCGAAAAGAGAGCAAGGAGCAAAGAGCACACACCGCACCGTAAAGCTAGATGTTTGTTATTACAAACGGTTTGGCATACATGTCGGCAATATATTATACGTGATTATAAGTTAGAAAACATTGTATCTATTCCGCTCTTGTCTTCTCCCCCAGCACCCGCGACAACAATCAGCGATTTCAACTCACTAATGATGAAGAAGTCGTCCAAGCACGCTTGTAACTCATCGTATACCTTTAATACACGTGTTCTCACGTCCCTTTCTTTGTGATCTCGACAAATCACCAACAAAGTTCTTATCGCCATCAAGTGACGAGCAACCAAAACAAAGAGTTCAGGTCTATGAGGCACAGTAGACAAGTCCAGTTTACCGACCATCATCTCCACCATATACTTCACATTCTGCTCCAACCGATCGATAAAGCGATGTATGTGCTGAGAGTGAGGCTTTAGAAGAATTTTTAGAGCCTGATACCCAAGTTGAGCATCCTGTAACGCTTCTCGATGCAAATTATCACTTTCGTGGATGAAGACTATTGTCTCGTTTGACAATTCCGTTTTGATCACCAGATCTATGAGAGTTTCCTTATATGTGGTGGTACGGAAGTTGAAAATTACATTGGAACTCACCAGCTCGTTGACTTCCTAACGCTAAATCCGATACGTATTCAAAGATAAGCAATAGCGACTCCTGGATCCAGGTTCCAGAGGCCAATACTGACAACATCAACTCTTCTCGACTCACTGGGGCCACTTTAGGAGCCTCTCCCGTCAAGTCTCCTACAATGGCGCTAGCCAAGTCACGTACTATCATATCGTCGTCGACAAGGAGTGTATCTAGCACAAGACATAGTTTGATATATGACACTTGATATCTAGGTCTATGGACCAGAGCTGGTATAATACTACCAGCAATGGTTGCCACAGATTTACGAGACGGTGCTGGTTCTGATGGGATCGAGAGATTGCTGGCAGTGTGTACAAACAGGTCAAGAACTCCACACGTCAGGGGATCATCCTGCTCCAGCTATTGTAAACAGGGTCAGAGCATCGGCTGAATCCAGAATTGGGTAATCGCTTACCAAAAAGAGAGTAACTCTTCCGAGGAGCTGAATGCTTAGAGGTGCTGCGTCTCTAGTAACTCTTGAAAGGATCACAGCGAATCTGTTCATTACATCGCTTGGAAGAGCAAAACCCTCCCATTGTGACAAGAAAGCCAGCATTATGTTGAGAGAATGAGGATGGACTTTACCATCCAATAGTTGCATTACTATTACTCTAGCAATATCATTGTTGCTCTTTGCAAGACGACTATCGGAAGGAAGAAAAAATTGAGAATAGATCCTTGGTTTCCATGATTTAGCAATACATTACCTCGCTTTGCAAAGTGCAGAGATCGCCGTATCTCTTACAGAGCGATTTTTGTGCACAACCAGTCTCTCCAATGTAATGCGCTCATCAACATCCACCCATTGTATACGTGCCACCAAAATCTGAACAGAAACAGATAACAAACGTTTCTCTCCAATCCGTTTCAACTTGTCGCTGCTTTCTATATATGCTAGGCAATGTTGCACGATGATCCTTTGGAAATCACTGGGCTTATCATCGTATTTATCCTGGGCGAAGATATGTTCAAACACGATCGAGAGATATTGAGCTTGAGAGATGGGACATGGATTGGAGTCATAGAGCCATGCAGATTCATTCAAGATATTCGTCAGAGTGGACAGAGCGTCTATAAGAAGTAGCGTGAGCAAACGACCTTGAACTCATAAGCGATCATAACGTACCAGCCGTTCGAGATGCAGGAAGGTTGTGCCATGATTTCAGGAGGGCCTCTGCTTGTAATAAACATCCATGGCTACGATTTTGATCTTTGGCTGTTGTGGACGTCAACAATTCTCTGACGACAGCTAAAATCGACGATGGCGTTACAAAAGCTGGCAGACATCGTGCTGCCATTTCTCGGACTTGGTATTTGTCTATTGTCACGCATCTATGTATCAGAGCTTTGAATTCGCTCCCTTCTGCTTCGGGAAGGTCTGAAGTTGCCGGTTTGACTGAGATTGTTGGGTTTGTTAGAAAGACTGGATACTGTAGGAATCTTATTTGGAGCTCTCACTTACGTTTGGTCAAAACGGTTAAAATGGGATACAGTGTAGCCACGACTTCTCCCGACTTTACAATGGTACGATTATGTTAGTACTCGGCCAATGGTCTGAAATCACGATTTCTGCCGCAACATACCAGTTCTAATGCATCGACTGCGGAACTCAGCTCGTTCAGAAACACCTCTTTCAGTCTGGGAAATCTTTCAAAGAACTCATGAGCTGTGATGGAGTCCGACTTTGGTCCCATCGTCTTATTAAGAAGCCTGGAAAACATCATTCCGGCACTGTTTCGTACAGAGAAACTAGAAATCAAGTCAAATGATGAGAATCAACTCAATAGACGTTCCATGCGAAAGCCATCACTTACTTGAGTGAATGAAATCCTTGAATACAAGTTGCAAACAGATCTTCCATGCTATCTGTAAGGCGTAAACCCAAAATGGAATCCTCTACCATGCCTCTCAAAGTGTTGAAGGCATGAACCTGACAAGTATAGAAAGCTGAGGACTGCAACGACGAGAGGTCGGAGTCCGAATTGCCAATCATCTCGAGAAGTCGAAACATGGTGTATTTGAGCAGTGGCTTTCTCGACGAGGTTGCTTCATTGGTGAGAATCGATACCTAGACACGATAATGTTAGATAAACAGAAAATATACTGTTGAAATCATGCACCTAGTCATACAATTGTATCTGGAATTCCAGCACTCCTTCTCGTTATTCCAACATCGTCAGAGTTCATCATGACTAGCAAATCATCCAAAAATCGTTTTGGCAAGGATCCAAGATGTCGGCTTTTGCTGGCCAATAGACGTAAACACAACGTCTCAAATGCATTCGTTACTGCAGTAAACGCACCACGATGACGAGCCTAAACTCGGGTTGTGTTCGTCAGGAGTAACAAAGATTCAACTCTCCTAAATTTGACAACATACCATCACGGCCATTTCACGCAACAAGTCAGCAGCATTTTCAATATCTCTCACTTCAAGAAAGCATTCCTAACGTAAAAATGAACACATGTTAGAAACACCGTCAATACAGTCCGAATGTTTACGCTTACATTTTCAATGTCATCAGGAAACGGCACGTTTGACAATAAGGCATGCAACATTAATGCTGATTCCTTCACAACTCGGAATGCATATGCAACTTCTAACCCCTCATCATCAATATCAACATCAACTTCGTCGTTGCCTTCACCAAGAGAAACTTCCATAATGCTCGGCACAGCAATAGCGCAGGCCCTTCTCGCAATGGAAACCATCCTCGAGCTTTGCTTGGCAAAGAGCTTTTGTTGCTTCTCATTGGATAGTTGTATGTAGTCTACTGAAGAAAGGAGATGTTTCAAGGCAATCAAAAGTCCAAAGGAGATAGTCCAAGATGTAGAGTCTGTCATTTGCAATTCCAATAAATCCAATACTTGCACCATGACATGGTCTACACTCAGCAAAATGTTATTGCCAATTCTCAAAGACACTGCTGAGCTTACACGCACCATATGGAGAGTATTCTGTTGCTGACGTGCTCGTAGCAACGTGGATTTCTCTTTTCATCTCTCGCCCATACTTGATGGCCACTAGGTGCATCAAAAGAGCTCCCGATTCAGCTTGACTGTAGCGCTTACTGGACATCTAATTTCAATTCAGTCAGACAACCTTTCAAGAACGGCCCACTCGCGCTGATGCATACCAAAGATGTGGACAGTTTAACCAATTGCTCCAATTCGTAGCCTGCCAGCTCTCCTTCTAGACCAGCCAATAGCTCGAACGCAGCTATTCGTGTTGGGGTGTACTTATCATGAAGCAAGGTTGTGATCAAGGCTTCCACAACCGCGGTCGTATTCATGTTTACATTAAACGGACTTGTTTTGATTCTGAAATCCAGCAATACTGAAGTCTTGAATCCCTTTTCAGATTCTTGGTAGTGTTGTAAGAGCGCTAAAGCCGACTCTTTTCTTTGAAAGGTTGCTCCGGGATATGTGTTGTATATGGCGAATGACAAAATCCACTCCAAGAAGTCTCGTTTCATGTTCAGTTTACTTTGCAGTTCATCACAAATGATCTGCGATTCTAGCACCTGTTGCTGCGATGATGCTGATTTGATGACTACCTGACGGTCCAGAAAATCTCGCCAATTCTACAAACACGGACACAGGGCAAGTGAGAAAAGGAATTCGACTGGACGGAGAAACTGATATATAACGTACTGCATAGACTGTCCGTCTTATTCGGTGCAAAATCTTCTTGAAATAGCCAGAGAATCGCTGACGAAAGTCAGCAGACTGAATGGCTCCATTTGCAACAAGAAACTTTTTTACTGCATTTAAGTCCACCTCGTCAATCTCCTCCAATCCCTTGCTACCTTCACATATATAACCCAATGCGTCGATACGAGTGTTCATATCCGCATGAACAATGGCTGAAAGCAAAGTTATCTCAGATGGTGACGAGGTATGAGACTCTAGGCCGAGGAAACGTAAACTCTTATATATTGCGAATTGAGCTGAGACCTTGAGAGGTGACCCCAATGCTTCTAGTTCTAATTTAGGAAAGGTGTGAGCATAGTCGTTTTGTGCAACTTGTCAATTATTGAATTACGTACCAGCGAGAAGACATTCTGCGGCTTCTGGAGCATTTCGAATGATATCTGGTAAGACTGCTTCACTCAGCACTTTGCGAACGTTGTGGTTGTCAGACACCAACGCCTTCGACAAGGGCTGAAGCCAGAACTTCATGGCTGATGGTTGACGTTCTGCAACGGTCAAGCTATTCATATGATGGCGCAAGCATCGAACAACAAAAGCTCGTATATTCATGGCAATTTTGCGATTCCTAACAAACATAATGGTTTTTAGAAACCTAGAGACTGCACGATCAAGTTTGATCGGAGACGTACTTCATGTTTTCAAAACATATATCAAACAAATCAGGCTGTATCTTCAATAATTGCCCAATTCCAAACTTGGCTTGAATCAGCCCCAAAATTTCATATTTGGCTTTGACTTCCCAGTCTATCTTTAACACATCTAAAATGATCTGTCCAGCTAGATCATCATCAGACATCAAACGAACGGCAGCGTCTAGTAGTCCATCCAAAACGGCAGTCAACTAGCACAAGGAGAAAGATGAGAAACCTTCCGATATGAGGGCCTCGTTACCAGTCCCACCTTTGCCACAGCTGCATCGGATGTGGCATCCCACAGGCTCAACGTATAGTCAAACAATTTGCGATATACAGCAGGCGTCAAGCATTTTCTGACACCATTGTAGGAATCCATTCTTTTGGACGCGTCCAACCAAACTCCAATAGCAAAAAGGGCGTATGTTCGAATGGTAGCGTTCTGCGGAGAGCTACAGACGGCAAACATTCGACTAAATAGGGCTTCGTACAAGCTATCGTCGGATCTAAAAGTTGAGATTTGTAAGACTAACGACGATCGGCGGAAAGACTGTTTTTGAGCATACCCTGGAATAATGGATTGCAACGTAGCTGGTCTTGCGGAGGAGATCAAGGCCTGATACAAGGACAGTTGAGCATGCTCATTCCACGATTGTCTGCAAGCGCTCATTTCAGTCAACCATCGATGATTGACACCGTTCGTGGCATTTTCTATAGGCAGGCCTTGGCTTCCATGACCAAAGACCCCGATCCAGGTATTTACAGGTACAAACGAGTCCATATACAGAACCAGTGCTGTGGCAGCGACAAACTGGCCATTGTCCTGGATAATCTGTTGTCTGAATACATCTACGATACAATCGAGTATGGCCGAGACTACAACCTGGCCTTGAGCAGACGAAAATGATTTATGCCATGCATCTCCCAGCTTTGCTAACGAGGCCAATGCTGCGAAACCCTCAGAAATTCCTAGTGAAAGCGACGATGATCGAGACATCTCGTCTAGTTCATCACTAGCGTTTAACGAGTTCTCTGAAGTTGATGACATATCTATAATTCTTCGGAGAGCTGGCATCAAATATGATACCCAGTTTCTGAGGTTTTCGCAAAACTGTGTTCGATCTGGATGTTGATCGACAGACAGTTCCAAGGCTCTACATGCTGATAGAAACGACGATGCAATTGATGCGTCGGCCTCCAGATCATTCATGACGTCCAGAAGTGCGGCATCCCAAGAGATTACACATCCAAAATCCAAGCTCTCTACTCGACCAAGATTCAAGATCTGGTAAAACAGGTTTCCTAAAGCTGGGCGTACACCAACATCTAAGTCCAAAAGCATCGTTCGCGGTATGATCTCGGCCAGTGTCGAGAGGATCAGCCTGTCATCCAAATCAGTTGTCCTTTTTGATTTAACGACATGTGCTAAAAAAATTATCAATCCAACCCATTTTCGGTAAGCGTACGCTCATGGTAAGGCAGCGATCCCATAGCTAGGCTCATGAAAGCTAAACTTACCAACTTCTTTTAGCACACTGGACACCTCATCGCTTGTTAAGCTTCCTCCAAGAATTTTGATCACCTTGCTCATTATTTGGTTGTCTGGAGGTACTTTCTCGACCAAACTGTCCAGTTTGGATTTCCATACTGACTGCAAAGACGTTCTTGTCGAAGAGATTTGCTGCCTAACCGTTCTGCCCTTCCGTTTCTTCACCATAATTTGTGAGTGTTGGTGACGGCGGATTTCCGTAGAGTACTATGAGAGGGAGAGCGCAAAGGCGCTTTTCTCGCATTCATTGAACGCTTTCTCAAAAGCTTGGGGTATCTCCGTGGATAGCAGGATCAACGTGAGGCGCTTGTTGTAGTGCACTCTTTATTTGAACATTGCCTCACAATCTTTGATCACCGAACCACACCCTCATACCAAACGAGAATGCGGTTTCCTGCAGTGGAACTGCAGTTCTGTGAAAATCCATTTATATTTGTTTTATTTAACAGTTGCATATAAAGTAAATCGTGGAATACAGATGTGTGGTATGATTCTAGTCGTGATGATGTTATGCAAGAGATGAGGGTGCTGGTACGGACGATGAAGATGACGAAGAAGAAGCCGATCAGTCACAGTAAGATACTGCAGATGAAGTGGAAGATGCTGATCCAGCCGATATATTTGGAACCTGCGCAAAGAGGTACAGGATGGGTTGAGGGGTGTGTTCTCTGTCTTTATATGTAAATTGCATATTGTAACGTCTCTTCTCCTTCAAAAAGAAAAATCTCACACGGTCACGTAAACACTTTGTGCCAAGTCTTTAGTTTTATATTGATTCCATTGACGAAGTTTATCACAAATGAGTCAGAGTACCTTAATTTGTTGTACATTACAGGGTTTTAACTAGAAGGACGGCCCAACGACGAATGAGGTTTAGAATGGTTCAGACGATTTGATCAGCAAAAGCACCACCATGATTCTTTTCATGTTTTCGCAGAGATCTAATACAGATTTAACATAACGTTTAGTAACAGGCTCCTTATGGTTTTAGTCCACACAATCCATGACTTACCGAATGTGGTAATACGCTTTGCCACAGTTAATATATGAGCATACGAATGGCTTTACAGCCGAATGAGTCTAGCGTGGCGAGAGCAAAGGTTAATACAACGAGCCAAAAGGTTCATCTACACCAATGAGAATACATGCCTTGACATGAGTATTGAGACCATCTTGACGAGAAAACATTCTTCCACAATGGCAGACGAAGGGCTTATGTCCAGTATGGATCCTGACATGATTTTGCACCTTGTGTCTTTTCGAAAAGGGCTTCTGACTTCTGTTACAGTCCTTCCACATACATATGTAGCTAGCCTTCCCGCTTCCAATATGATCATCAAATACATGTGATGATAGTTCTTGAATGGTATGATATACTTGAGGACAATCATCCCAAAGACAGGGGCGTACTTTTGTGCCATCTTCAGCTCTCCCATTCACACCTGTACCTCCTTCTTCATCATCCTCGTCTTCTTCCTCCTCGTCCTCTTCTGGGTCTAAATCCATAGAGCTAGCTGAAGATTTAATGGATCTTAAAGAGTCACGAGAGGCTGATGGATGTAGATTACGCATGGTTGTGGATGATGCTTGTGGTTGTATATATTGCTGAGCGGGTGGTGGTGGCATAGCAGGTCGTATCGCCATGGCAGCCGAACCTACAGATGCGGTTCGTGTATGTTTCATTTTCATTGCTGATGATATGTCTGATCCAAAACTAGCTGATCGATGGTGACTGGAATCCTGACGATTTAGATTGGTTGGTCTTGACATGAATATACCTAAAAAGATAGTTGTGTTAGTTACATATTCTTCATTGGCATATTTGCTGCGCCGTCTTCAACCACAGCTGCTCTTTCGACAACAATTTCGGTCCCACTTTATCAATGGCTCATATAGGGCATTCCCAGACTCACCAGAATCAGATCTAAAGTCTCCCGGAATGGTTGGCTGAAGCAGAATTCCATGCACCTGTTGAGCACTTGGGTCTGGTGAAGGCTCTGTCTTTATTAGCGGCATGGCAGTTGGGAAGATACTAAACATGTTCATGTCATATGAAGCGTCCATTTGAGCATCATGCTCTGGCGATGAGATCATCGTTGGGATACCTGTATCAGATGGCGGCAAAGTTGAAGTCGGTATAGAGGGCATAGACCACTCGTTATCATTATGGTTGTGACTATGATTATGGTTGTGCTGATGGTGCTGGTGTTGTGATTCAGACATGTGCATATCGTTCAAGTGTAGATGATGATGCTCGTGAGGATCAAAAGCATGGTCACCTAAGGGATTTGTCAAGTCTACAGGAGTTGGTAAATTGACGAGCCAGTCGTGCAATTCACTCGGTGGTATGAGGAGATTGTTTACGGTATTCGTTGGGAATTCGTCCGAATAGGGATTACTTAGGACATCCGAGTAAGGGTCGGAGGTGCTGTTATTACTACCAGTACTGATATTATTATATAGCGGATGTTGCTGTTGCGATGTGGATATTGTCAGGCCAGCTTGCGAGACAGTCATTGACTGCGACAAGAATCGTTTATGATTGTTTGGGAATTTGAGCGGCGAAGTATTATTACTGCTACTAGTAGTCGGGGCATGACCATTTATGATGTGATTAGCTTCAGCATGTTGTCTGAAGGCCTCCTGCTGAGCAAAGATCTCTGAGAGCTGTGCGTGACTAGCAGGAATTGGAGTTGGTTCAGGGCTGTGGTGAGGTGAATGATGAGGAGTTGGTGGGAGTACATTTGATATATGTGCTTCCGCGATAAGATGGGCAAGAGAGCCAAGACTCGACGCCGCTTTTCTATGTGAGGGGCGAAATCTGACGACTCCCGAGTTCGAATTCCTTCGTTCCGATGCCTGAAGGAGTAAGCGAGTGTTAGTACGGGGCTAACTAGGGTTCAGGCAGCGTTTTGCGAAGAGGAATGCCGCAGCAGGCTATCAGTTCGTCAATGAAAGATGGCCAAGAAACAAACAAGCAGAGCAACTTCTCCAAACTCGGCGAGTTGCACTCACATACCATATCATGATGGGCCGGAGGCTGTTGCTGCAGCAGGACATCGTTCATGGCGACCGTAGTTGGACTCTCCATTTTGCTCTCCTATTGACCGCTCCGAGTTGGTATCTTGATTTGATAAAAACAAAATGTTGGAATAGTGTTGGGGTGTGGACATATTACAACACACCCTCCTCTATAGACTGCGAATGTGAAGGTTGGGTAGAAGCTATTCAAGCAGTTTCTTCGTGCTTGGAGGTTTTAGAACGCGTCATAAACTAGCCCATCTCTCTCCTCTTGTCAACTTGAATGATGCAAGCTTCAAGTTCGAACAAGAACGGTGACGATGCAGAACAAGATGCTCTATCAGACCTGATTCAAAAACTGAATGAGCCTCATGACAAGCTTGGTCGAGACCTTTTGTGTTCTTCTATTCAACAGGTACCTAGTACTGACTGCTACTATTTGATCCGTCAACTTGTCAGTTTGACGATCGTCAAACTGACACTTTCTCATTATAGATTCTGTCAAAGTCTTCAAAGTATTCTGTTGAAACTCAATCTGGAATAGAACTGAAGGACGGGCAGTTGCACTTTGGTGTCTTTGAAACTGACAGCTCAACCAACAGCAGCCCAACAAAGCCCAAAACAATCACTCTAAAGAACAATTATAAATCAGAAGTCAACATCAACGCTATTGCCATCATCCCTTCAACCAACATATTCTCCTTGTCAAAGACACCTCATCCACCACCTGGCCTTCATGCCAAAACACTACTTCAAGGCAAATCCTCAATAGATATATCGGTATCGTGCTCCATCCCGACAACTATTGGAACTCATTCTGGATGGCTGCTAGTCGTATGTACTCGTCGTAATGATGCCATGCCTACAAAACCGATTATATTCGCCAAACCATTGCTTGTAGTGCTACGAGGTGAAAGATTTGAGTGCGATCCTTATGCTCCTTCCTTTGTCCCGAAACACATGAAAGCACTCAATAAGCTGCCAGCATACGACGTTTGGGGTACGCCACTAGCATCGCCGAACTTTTTATTATATCAGAGTACATGGACACCGGCTCTGCTTCCTCCGCGAGCTGAAAGTTTCCATACTCCTGACCAGTCTGCTATAAATAATATGCCCTTGTCGATACCCAACTATACCAAATCCTATTGGGATCTACTCTGGACTGAAATAAATGAACGAACAAAGGAAATGGATCTATACGCCATTTACGAAACAAAAATAAACGTTGGCCCCAATAAAGTCTCTCCCGAGTATTACGAAGTATCTGTGCCGGGGCTTACACAGTCAGCGCCACATTTGATGCCAGGAGATCTTGTGGTGGTCCGAAAATACTCAAACTTTGATCAAATGCAATATTGTGTAAGTAATCAGAATGTTTTGGTTTTGAAAAAAACGATATCGGAATTGATTTAATATGTGCTTGTTGTCGTTCTCGTCCTCCGTGACATAAAACACCTCAGGTAGCCTTGTACTAACCATATATCTGGTTGTTGCCTCTTCGCTCTAGTTCTTCATCCAAGCAGCCCTTAGAGCAAAGAGTGCCATTATATTTAAACCGATTCCAAATATACCATGGTTTGAAACAGAATCAGAGACGTACAACATCCAATTCAGGCCAGCCTCTGAAATGTTACGCTGGGCAGGCCGATCTCTGTTGATGATTGATAATCAATCTCAAATACATTCCAACATTGCTGATCAATTCCGAAAATGGTTGATGCCTGAACCATCTGATGGAATCAGAAAGGAAGGACGTCTCGGATCGCCTCTTCGCTTGCCGCTGTATAATCCTCAACTGAACTTCGAACAGCAAAAAGCTATACAGGCGGTTGTGGAAGGCAATTATGGATCAGTGCCTTATGTGATATGGGGTAATTTGTTTTGTGAGATGTAGCTTGGTGCCGACTGTAACGTTGACTCTCCTCTCGTCAACTCTAGGTCCACCCGGAACTGGAAAGACTGCTACAATCACGGAAGCAATCATCCAAATTGTAAATGGCAATCCAAGCACTCGTATACTAGCCTGTGCCCCCTCAGGAAGTGCAGCAGACACTATTGCTACGTATGCATGCTTTGGAGACGTGAAAGCCTCAAGGCCCTCTTCTACGATAGTTGTCGCTTACTTTTTCTTCATTTTTATGTAGTCGTCTCGCCAAGTATTTGACGCTTGCTCAAATGTTTCGCCTCAATTCACCTCACAGGGGTGAAGCTGAAGTGCCAGATACACTCAGGATGTACTGCCACTCTGAGAATGGATTCTTCTCTTTGCCACCTTTTGCAAAGTTGATTCAGCATAGAGTCATTGTCTGTACTTGCCATGAGGCCGGCTTATTGGTCAATGCAGGTATCACGAATTTTCGGCTCTCGGAGGTATCGGTCTTGCCTGCTAACATGTCTGTTTGTTGCTGTTGACGATATTATTGCACTGTGCTCATTTTCACCTCGTACAGGTCTCCTACTTGTACAATTATTATGGAAATCAAAGCTTTCCTCATTTGCATCCCTTGGAGTTGCTGAAACTCAACACTCACTTCAGTCATCTCTTTATTGATGAGGCTGCTCAGGTTCGTATTCATTGCTGACTTTGCTGTCGGTCCGTTGAAGAGACACCGACCTGACTTTCCTCTTTGGCGCCTAGGCTACAGAACCCGAAACATTGATATCTCTATCTGTAGTGTCGCCATACTATCCACCTATATTGCCCACTGGAGCTTCGCCCACATTCAAGCTTGAACCAGCTCGACCTGCTAAAATAGTTCTCTGCGGCGACCATTGCCAGTTGGGACCATTGCTGAAAAGTGACGAAGCCAAGCCGAAACTTGGTATATCATGGTTGGAACGCTTGATGAATTTGGACTTTTATAAACGACATCCTAATGCTCGACAACAACGTCACGTATCAGCATCACCCTTATCAGATAGCAGTAGGATAGACCTCAGTAATAGTCCAGACATGAGCTTGCAGGATGTCGTACCGCCATTTGCCAACTTGATTCGGAACTATCGCTCGCATCCTACTCAACTTATGGTGCCGTCATATTTATTTTACGGAGATACTCTGGAGCCTTGTGGCAACAAAAAAGTCATTGAGATGTTTCTTGATCATCCAATCCTGCCCAACAAGCAGGTGCCAATCGTGTTCTATGGAATCGAAGATAACGACACTGGAGATATAGGTATGAGACCCACTCAAAATCTCGGTGCCCCATGTTTGCTTTTCATTGTGTGTCTCCTGTTCCTCCAATTATCGCCAAACTGATATTTCCATTATTCTTTGATTTCTTAGAGGGATGGAATTGGTATAACGAAGCTGAGTTAGGCCAGCTGGTCAAAACTGTAAAAAGACTAGTGTTTGGGGAAGACGGATTATCACCAGAAGTACATGTAGGACCAACAGATATAGGTGTCATTTCTCCCTTCCGTGAGCAAGTTCGACGTATTCGTCAAGCTCTGCGTCAAGAGAAGTTGAGAGACGTGAACGTTGGTAAGCAACATGACACTTTGCTGCTAAGTTTTTGCTCGCACTCAAAACCTTATCTCTGAACTATGGTCTCTATAAACATCACAGGTACTGTTGAAGATTATCAAGGGAAAGAATTCAAAGTGATTCTCATCTCAACAGTCCGTTCACAGCACCGATTCCTATCTGGTGATGTGGATCGCGATATTGGCCTAGTCCACTTCCGTAAACGACTAAATGTAGCAATCACACGAGCCATGGCTCTCCTCGTCGTAATCGGAAACCCGCACTTGCTAGGATACGACGTGAACTGGACATCATTCATGTCATTCGTATATCGTCACGGATGCTTTGAAGGATGCCTACCACCCTTACGTGTCCTCTCATTCTCTCGAGACACTGAAATCAGTCGCTTAGAAAAGGCGTGGCTGCATTTTCACTCTCTACAGAAGTCGAATCCAAAGGAATGGCTTGGTAGTGGGGGTATGGGAGTCGCAGAGTTGAACAAGAAGTTTATTGGGTTGGATTTCGATGAGCATGCTGTTTATGATCATCAAGTTGAGCAAGGAGAAGATGAGGAAGAGGAAGAAGAGGATGATGGTATTGAAGTTGAGATTGGGTCGGATGATGCCAGTACTGTTTCGATTGAAATTTCGGATTGAAAGATCTTGTTCAGTTTGCATATATTTTTATTTGTTTAAAAGGAAGAGCAAGAAGAGCTACATATAAATAAACAACCTCATGTCATACACACAGAATATGAAGTAGTGTCGTTGTTAGCTGTTTCTGGTGTGTTAACTTCAGACACTTGGAACGTGAACACTTCCACCTGGGCACGAAATCAGGCAGGATTTCGACACTTCTTCATGATATTACCAGAATGTTGCTACCTGTCCTAAAAAAAACCTGCAAATGTAGTCGCCATCGGTTTTCGCCTTCTTTTGGAATGAATCGAGAGCATATGTCCGCTGACGCTAATCACACAGTATCTTCTGTCAGATTCCTATTTTACGACCAGTGAAAATCCAATATATACTTGCCCAAATGTTGGTACTCTCAAAAAAACAACAGTGTACGAGTGATTCCAAAGGAATGGATCCAAACGCTTCCACTGAATGCTCGTTCAATAATAAGGAAACGTTTCCCCTCAACTGATCGAACCAAATATCACTGACATATCATCAAATCCTCCATGGTCGTCGTGAATAAATTAAAAAACACCTCTATTTTTGAGTGAATGCGAGAAACAGTACAACAGTACTGGCAAATGTCTTGGCAAATAATGACGTTACCACTAATTCTCATCTTCTACGTTCTAGGCGTCAAATGCACTGGGATCAATCTTGATTCCAAACTGTGCTTCCAACGCAACTCTCATCTCTTGATCTAGCAAGTCCTCAAACCCTGCACCAGGATTCCCCCATATCTGACCACGGATGAATTGTAGCCAGCGCTGAAAGTAAAAGACTGTCGATGCAACCTGGAAGAATCACCAAAAAAAACGGCCAAGTAAGAGACTCTATGGCGGGCAACCAAAACACACGCAACAAGCACTTACAAACAAGCTCGACTTGAACAGATAATAATTCATCCTTGAGACAACAAAGAATCCAATAGTGTTTGATTGACGAGATGCTACTAGTGCTTTCGAATTGTCATTCGATAACTTCATATTGCGATCCCACAATGACCATGAGTCTCCGAGTCCTCTAACAGCCCAATCGGCCATGATGTTGACTCTATTCACAGGTGATCCAAAGTTCTTGTTGTTGGACCTGACTAGATTCAGGTTTCGGCCGATAAAGATTAGTTCTTTTGGGAGCAGCTAAGTTATTGAAATGGAAGGGAGATAGTGTGAGGCAAGAAAAAATCCCCTCAATAATAAATGCAAGGTGCAAATTCGCGGTTACCTCTGTATCTTTCATGAAATGTTTCACTCGTTCCTTCGCCTGCACTTGCATGTCGAAAAGTTCTTTCGCACTCGGCCGTTGATCTCCACTGTGTATTGTTTTGCCTGGTGACCTATTAACAACCAGGCGGTTAGTATACATCACTATTCGTAAAAAGCTTTTGTAACCAATACCATGGTCTTTGCAGTGTCGAGCTAGCCAACATCTGTACATCTCTTATACCCCAACTCTGCGCTATTCTCTCCATGCTCGGAATGTCTCCAGTGCTAAAAAATTGAATGTGAGTTTCTTTGCGTTCCAAGTAGTTGATCCAGACACAACACTTACAATAGAGACTTCCAAAACAAACAGTAATTATGTCGAAACACGTCCTCTGCTTGTACATACAATCCATGCTAGAAAGTAATTAGGAAGTATTCAGAATCCTGTTCGTTTTTGCCTCCAAATAAAGCAACAAGTGCATTTAGTACTCACATCCAAGAGAACCAACTGCTGTTTCTTGGTTTGCGGATGCCGCCTGACCAGCATATTGCCGACGTGTGGATCACAATGTACAAATCCACTCTTGAATATCTGATCAGCAAAGACCTCGACACATGTAGTCATGGTCTCTTCCACGTCATATCCTTCAGATTTCAACCTTGCCACGTCACCAAACTTAACACCCTCAATCCATTCAGCAGTCAACACTCTTGTTGACGTTAAATCATGGTATGCTTTAGGAACATGTACTCGTTCTCTCAATCTCGGTTCTTGTAGGATTTGTGCTTTACATTTCTCGGCATTTGCTGCCTCATTGATGAAATCTGCTTCCTTTTTCACTTGCTGAATTATATAGTCTGCGCTCCAGTACAGCGGTATATCGAATAGCTTCTCGAATAGGAAAACCAGGAGTTTGTATGTTTGCAGGTCCCAGTACATTTGGACTTTAATGTAGGGCTTCTGTACTTTTACAGCTAGTTGTGTTCCATCTTGTAGCCTAGGTGTGAACAGAAATGTCAGAGCATACTGCGACAATTGAAGATTGTACGCGTCACGGTTTTTTGGCCTTACGTTGCTCTATGAACCTGCGCTATGGAGGCAGAAGCTATGGGCACTTCATCAAACGTGGCAAACATTTCAAGTGGTGTCTTGTTGAATTCCTCCTTGAAAATCTTCTCCACGGCTGCATAATCGACATGTGGAGCTTCATCATACAAGACTTTGAAGGTCTGTACGTATTGCGGTGGGAGAACGTGGTTGAGCGAAGCGATTTGTTGTCCGAATTTGATAAATCTGCAGAAAAGCGGGAAATTAGAGAGAGATCAGGTTGAATCTTCCATCTTGGACACGGAATCAGCTCATAGATCGGATGTAAGCAATCAAGCTTTAGAAACACACTCACAATCCTCCATTCTGCAAACAGGTGTCCAAGATCAGTTTACTCGCTCTTTGGTGCACTCCTTCCACACGACCTTCACCAGGCTGAAAGTTCAGTTTATAATCGACCGACAAGATGGCGCCTATGGAGAATCATATTAAGATGGGGTTAGCAAAAATGTTGATCGTTGACGTGTCAACACTCTGATCAAGCAGATTCAAGCCCGCAAACCTTCATACCAGCTACAAGAGTGCGCAGATCTCTTGTAAACGTCGAGTAATTCAACGTGTTATCAGCTACAAAGAAGGATCCGATGGCAACAGCTCCATAGCCCAATCTGCGAAAGTTCCGCAGAGATCGAAAGCTCATGTCGCGAGTGAGTGATGATGACGTGGAATGCCAAGAAGTATCTATTGATGATAGATCCGACACTTCAAACTCTTCTCTGCAAGGCTCGCCCGCCTCAGATTTTTCTTCCTGACGCTTGGTTGGTGGGTTTAGATATGTGGGTTTTTTTCGATTTGTGCTGGCAGAAAAGTGCGATCGGCGGCACAAAACAACATCAATTTGGAACCGCATCAACGCGATTCGCGATTCCACACGTTGTATTTCATACCTCGATGCGATTTTGTCGTCGTGCACCAAACCATGAAATAAAACCCAAATCCACGCCAAAAAAGCATTTATTGTTTACGTATGGATGCAAAATGCGATTTAGTAGCTTAAATTATTCAGTTCCATCTACGATTTAGATCCAAGCGTCTTACCACCACCACCAGATGCAACAGACGGTTGTAACGCCTGTGTAGTTTTAAACGATATGATATTGTTCTCCAATGTCACGATATCATCTTCTCCCATCTATAATATACGATAGAAGCTTCAGCATGTCATGAGATCTCCTTACTCGTCAACCACCTGTGCCGTCATCACGAACCATCACAAAGATACGGTACTCACCCTGACATTGCCGACCGTCTCAGCGTACCAGTAATACAGATACAGTTGATCAGACACAAGCTTCGCAAACTCCCTAACAGTTGTACCAGGTCTGATCAATATGCAGTCCCTGAAAATGCCCTTGTCACGACCAATTTCTCCAGAGAAATTGTTTATGTTCTTGACTGGGAAAGCGGGTATGACACCCAGCAGCTCTACAGCACGTTTAAGCGTATCTGTGACGCCGGTATTTCCATAGCGAAACAAGACTAAATCCTGGACTTTCTCAAGTCGACTACGTTTGAGTGAGAGAATATGTAATATGTGAGGGTCTTATTGATGAGTCAAGTAAAACTCAAATAACACATACGATCGAGTCTTTTCATCCAATGGTTTGAGTTTCAGTTCGTCAGGAGTATCTGGCTATTTGTAAGCACGAGTTAAAAAGGAAAAATGGCACACGCCTTGCAGATGCCATAAGGGACAATAGCTTCTCGTCTTCACATAACACGAAACAGATTTCACAGAGTCTTACCGGCTGATCTTCACTCAATTCAAAGTGATCGGCACCCTCCACGTAATTTATGAAGCGTTGCTTATGCAGCCTTCTAAGAAAGTTCTCAGCCAGTGCACTCGTCAAGACGATCTTGGACTAGGGAGTGAAGTAGGATGTTGAAATTGGTTAGTAAAAAGCATCATACAGGAGCACGAAAAAGAATCGAATTGAATTTCATTTGAATTCCTCCAATAACTTTTTTTTTTTTGCACTCAGCAGTTTCAAATTACCTGATCATAACGACGACATATCCGATCAATGTTCTTGTCGGAATCAGGCAAGTCAATCTTATTTAGGGCCTGTTGGTGTGAAAACCGAGGGTGTGAGAAAAGAAACGCTGAAATTGCGATACCAGATAGGCGTTTCTCACCACAACAGTAGGAAATCTCACATCCAGAAAGGTATCGACAAAGTCTTTCACCTTGCCGTCATCCCACGCTTCTAATGGATCTTTTATTCCTGACTTGTCTAGCACTTTCTGTGTTAGAGCTAGATTACACCCATATCCACTTAGTTGTAATTGCAAGGTTTCAGCTACTGCTTGTTCTAAGATCAACCAAAAAAATTGGCCACTGAGCCTGCTGGAGCTATGACTTTATGTCAGACGGCTTACTGGTAGCAACATGCCTCCTAACTGTATTGTTCCATTTCTTCAACAAATTATTTAAAATCCACCTATTTCCCAAGGAGAAACCAGAATTTCAGCGTCATGTCACAGAAATGCCCACAAACAAACTCCCATTCATCAAGTCCTATAGAGTCACATACATGCGAATCTCAGATATCAGCCAATCAATATCATTAATTGGATCATAGTTCAGTGTTTCCTTTCCATCCTGATCAGTAGTGCCACTGACATCCACAACGTGGATAAACCCATCCGCAGTCCGTAAGTCGTCCAGGAATTGGTTTCCAAGTCCAGCGCCTTCTGACGCTCCAGGCACACTATATGTGATTCAGTTTTCAAGTTTCAAACAAACTCAAGACCACGGAACAAACGTACAGTCCTGCGACATCTAGAATCCTAACCGGCACGAACCGTTTACCGTCCACGCATTTTCCTATTTGGAAAAAATAGTCAGCATCTGTCCAACGTCTGAAGCTTTTTTGCCTCACCATATCTAGGCCTACACTGTGCCTGCTTCCCGAATCTCTTACAAGGGCACTCAAAAGGACAATAAGCCTACATAAAATTCACATTTGGGTCAGTTCAGCTCTTGCTGTGTTGTGATGCGTCCTTGACAAAACACAAAAAGTAATGACAACGTAAATGCCAGCTCAAAGCGTCTAAACAACATGAACAAGTAACATTCAACTGCTAGCTTTAAAACGATGCTTACAACACCGGTATTTGGAGTGATCGTCGTGAAGGGGAAATTGCCAACTTTGCTAGTTGCATCAGTTAGAGCATTCAGAAAGCTTGATTTTCCTAGTAATGAAGACGTTGATTAGAGAAACGATATCTAATATTTGATGCTGACCTACCGGCTGATGGCTTGCCAACACATGCTATTAGCACGTCCTTCATCTTTTGGGAGTTTGGAAGAATCGATCAAACGTTGCTTGTGATCAGCCAAAAAATTGGAACGGCCTGACGTGCCATGGAAATTTCCATTCATTACGCGTTTGTACACCGTGTCTCTGCTCTATTTGCTGTTCAAGATTAAACTGATGACTCGCCTATCAGCACACAAAACACGGACGCTTCTGTCCACACCGAACGATACAATTTACAATCCATCGGCGTAATATCGAAAAGTATATATTCTCGGGGAGTGGTAGTCGTAGCAAACAACAAAAAACAAACAAAGGTAATCTTGTGGGGTGTGTGGGGGTCACTAACTCATAAACGACAAGCAAATACTACAATAACAAGATGACGAGCGAGCGAGAGGGAGAGTTTTTCAGAGGATCATACATCCACCACGTTTCTTGCTACTTCTTCGGGTCACCGTTAACCCAGCACGAGTGGCATGTTCAAACACTTCCTTGACATTGTAGTTGTTTCTTGCACTACATTCAATGTATCGGTAGGCATGGATGCGATCTGCGACTGCCTTGCCCTTTTAAGAAGAAGGGTTTGTAGATATGTGAGTAAAATGAGTTCTTGTCACAAATGAGTCCAAGGGAATATATGGTTTCGTTTGCTTGGTCATGTTACCTGTTGAGTAGTGACTGGTGATTGGTTTGTTTTTCGCAATTCTTCAATCGTCTTTGGATCATCACGTAAATCTACTTTACAGCCCACTAGCAGGAAGGGCAAGTCTTTGCAAAAGTGGTTGACTTCGGAAATCCACTACAAATGAAAACACAAGAGAGGGAGAAATAAAGTAAGTAAAAGCAAAAAATACGAAATTGGCTATCTGCATCACAGGCGAATCTACAGCTAAAGCACGTCTTGTCCAATACATCACATCATACACATTGGGTATATTCTGCGTTTTTTGTCGTCTGCCGTCAACCTCTCAGCATCACCTCACTGAACAGGCTCTGCAACAGTCTCTCAACCACACGTACCTTTTCTTGTACGTTTTCTAATGAATCAGGAGCATCGATAGCGAAACAGATGAGGATGACGTGTGAATCTGGATATGATAGAGGACGTAGACGATCATAATCTTCTTGACCAGCAGTATCCCATAATGCCAATTCGATTTCTTTTCCATCTACCACAATGTCTGCGACATAGTTTTCGAATACGGTTGGGACATACACCTGTTTGGTAGTGATGAGCGTTAGATCAGCGGAAGTGACGACATGACTAGCAGATGACATGGTTCATGATGATTTGGCATAGGAAAGAACCACAGTGCATGAGCGTCGTGCATCCAACTTCACTTTCTTCGCCCATATTTGGGGCTTCCACCAACAACCATCGTCCACGAACTCCTTTCAATCCAGCTCCAACAAGCTCTTCTTATCATCACTACTAATGCCACTCATCTGCAACAATCAAATCATGAATGCTATATAAACATACCTCTGGAAAAGTACCCTTTGAAAAGACAATCAACAAGCAAGTTTTACCACAAGCACCGTCTCCGACAATGACGAGCTTTCGTCGAATCTTCCTGTCATTGCCGTCAGCCATTTCGAGTATATGATAATTATGTAAGGGAGTTGTTTTTGGTGTGGTGGGTCGTTGTAAATGGATGAGACTTTATCAAATACACCTCAAACTAATATATACACTATAATGAGAGAAATCGAGTTGGTTAGTTTCGATTCAGATCACGGTCGTTGCTAGTTCGGCTGAAGCACTGCCCTCCACCACCCAATAACAAAATCGAAGCCCAGCCGTCAGATGTCGTGGCTTCACACCAACAAGAAAGAGCGAGCTTTAAAGGGAGGACATCTCTCTGACATGAATTTTTGCAATCGAAATTCAGCAGACTTTCCCATCCCGAGCTACACTGCTGGCTTCTCTGACACGCGCACAATCAAGTAAATCCCCTCCCAACAATACGGCGCGACTTCCTCATTAATCTGCCAAAGTATTTCTACAAGCTGGAAGAAAAGGCATACCTGTTCTCTTAATTTTCTACCTCTTTTCTTTCTCCTATTTATTAGCTCTCTAAAAACAAGATGTCTGTTTCTGTTGAGTTTGACGAACAAGGTGAGAAACGCTGATTGGGTTGACCCTCAATGGAAAGCTTCGAGAAGCCCGTCCGGATTGCAATTCAACATCTAGAGCTGGGAGGCGAGGAGCTGTTTGCTGTACGTGACTGGCGATCGCTTGTATAGAGTCGTGAGAGCGAGTTGTGATTTCCTGCTACAGTCCCGATCTGTGCGTCCACGAGGACGGCTCATAAACATGTATTCTGTGTCGATTTAGCCTTACGTACGTGTATCGCATAGCAGACCTCAGTGTGTTTGATCTCTACAGAGCTTCTATTTATTCGAACAATGAGATCCCTCAACTTTCGCTCCCAAAGGCACGTCCTTTCTATAAGGAGCGCGGTAGATGCATTCAAAATCACGTAAATTCAGGCTTTCTCAATCTCTATGGCTCTAAATCCCAGATCTCATAACGCCCTTCCCAAGTTCCGTAAACTCCAACCGAAAATGACAGAATTGGTGATGGATTACCTTTCCAAGGTACAAGACAACCCAATATGGGATGCTCTGTACGAGTTCATGCCCTACAGGAGGCCACAGGACGGTCTATATGCACGCGGCTCCCTAGACAAATATGTCGTTGCCCTCCTCACTGTGATCATCTTGCTGGTATGAGTTCATTGCAGTTTAAAGCAGATGCAGCGAAACTAGTTATAATTCTAATTGATTTACTCTGCGCTACAGGCCAGGATAGTCTTCAAAAACATAGTGTCCAATCCCATTGGTCGACATTACAATGTCCAAAAGAGACAGTTTAAATCCTACACTTGGCAGTCCTGGCTTGCTATCTGCCATACCGTGTCCATGTGCTGGGGTCTGTATCTGTTCTACACAGAACCATTAGAGTATTGGAAGGATTTAACTCTGGTCTGGTATGTGTGTACTGCCTCCCAGAGTCGGAGTCTGGAAACCCGGGATCTAGATCAAGATTGTCGGTTGTGGTTGAAGGGAGAGCAAGCAGAGAGATGCATTTGCATATGGTGGAATGCATTTGAAAGGATCTGTACCTATCTCTGCCTCTCACTCCAACAACTGCCGGCTCTATGCTCAAACTTACCCAATCTCTCAAAACAGGAAAGGCTACCCTGGCCCACAGATGTACCTCTCATTCAACTTGAAACTCTACTACCTAACTGAACTGGCTTACTGGTGGCACCATCTCATCGTCCTACAAACAATCACTCCAAGAAGATACGACTATTCGCTTATGATGGGGCATCACACTGTTACTATTGCGCTAATAACTCTGTCGTATCACATGAATTTCCAAATGCTGGGTCATGTTATCATGTTCTTGTAAGTGCCGTCGTTGTATATGTGTTGTTTCACAACTGTATGATGCGAGTTGCGGTAAACGTATGACACGCTCACTTCGTAACTCAGCACAACCCTCTTTTCCTCGTAGATTCGATGTGGCAGATGTGTTTCTAGCACTATCAAAAGCACTGAAATATTGTGGAGCACATACCATAGTAGATATCCTAACAGTCATGTTTACTGTATCGTGGCTCTTGACGAGACATGTTGGAATGGGCTTTGTTATTAGAAGTGTCATGATGGATGCTCCCGTTCTCATGCCAAACAAGGTCTGGGATCCAGAGATTGGAAATTATTATTCGTGAGTGTTGTTTATAGTGTGATTACGACGGTGCACCAGTTCGTCTCGTTGAACATTGTCGTGATCTTGTACCCTTTTTTGTGCTACGACTCTATAAGAACTCCTGATTATTCTGACATTCGGTTCGCTATCGACAGGTGGAATGTATACTACTTCTTTCTGGCACTGTTTCTTGCACTGGAACTAATGTGTGCATACTGGATGTATCTCATTTTAAAGATTGCATGGAACATGTTACGAGGTAAACAGAAACAGAGGAAATTGCGAGGCAAAAAGAATCGCTCGAATCAGCCAAGTTGACCACCAACTTTCACACACGTCTAACCACAACTCTCCATTTCCAACAGGGCAACATGCTGACGATGATCGCAGTGACATTGATGAAGACGAGGAGGTGGAAGAAGAAGTGAAAGAACCAGTGAAAAAACATGAAAAGACACCAGCTGCCAAACATACTAGTAATGGAAAGGCTGATAATGCTACTAATGGTCTCAGGAAGAGGAGTGTAAGTTATTTGAGTGTTGCCGACGACGAACGGTCGGAGCAACACACTATTACATCGGTCATCAGATTTTTTTGCGTCATGATGTGGTCTAATGCAAACTTTTGTTTTAATAGTAAACAAACTTTATATGTACACTTCTTATATTCTTTGCTGTCCATGTTCTTTCTTGCGCCTACATGTTTCTTCTTGCAGAATACAAGCTCTCCTTTTTTTCAAGAATTCAATATAATATAAAGATAATTCTATGATTCTTGTTTCACCTTCTTACCCTTCTTGCTCTTTTTCGGCTCTTTCGGTTCTTCTATTTTCGTTACTACTGCTGGTTCGACCTGCGGTTGCTCTTTATTCTTTGACTGCATCTTCTTTATCACCTTTTCAGTCTTGACAATAGTCTTTACAACAGCTGATTCCTCAACTACAGCAGCGACTACTTGCTGCTGCTGCTGCATCGACCGCTCGTCCATACCTTGCTCAACACTCTTATTCTTTCGTTTCCTAACTAGCAGTTTCTCCTCTGGTATATCCTGCTGCTCTTCTTCTTCCAACACTTGTTCAACCACCTCTTCATACTCTTCAGTTTTGAGATTCACTAAATCATCTGACGATGATAACTGACTGTTGTTATTGTTATTATTCGATATTGTTCGTTCAGGTTTTACGTGTACTCGTTTCGGTGCTGGAGATGGCGGCGCTCCCTGCTCGTCTTCGTAATCGTCGTGAGTGGCTGGTAGTGGTGGTTGTGATGATAATGAGGTGGAGGGTATGAGGCCCGTGGTTTGCGGGGATAGACGTAGTGAGCCTGATATTGAGAGCATGCTGTTTCGTTTCACTAGACTGTGAGCCGGGAGAGAGATGTGAGAAGATGTTGAATCGCACGAGCAGAAAAGGCCCAGCTTAGATATGAACTTAGAATTGATTGAATGTCTTTTCTAGCTCCCCAATGCAATATAATTCCCGTTTGAAATACCAACATGCACACATAAACATGCACGCAGAGGCCAAAAGCCTTCGCACTTACTCTGCAACAGTAAACCTCATAACAGAACCCACACCGACGGCCTCCATTCTCTTAACATGCAGCCAGCACCACTCGTCCTCATTCCATATGTACTCGTCCCTCCTGATAGCATCAGCGGGGATACTAGCATTAAATGTTCCAAACACGAGCAGGCCTATGTGATCTGGCGATGTCTTGTTGACTATTCCGACTAGATTTGATCGTAGTTGTGGGGCAAAGAGAGTCAGGATGACGGATATAGGGATTATGAGGTATGGATTGTCGTTTATGATTTTGGCGGAGGTGTTTAAGAGGGTTATGTGTTTGTATGAGAGGAGGACGCCGTCTAGTTCTGGCATGTATCTGGGGTGTGAGAGGGGGGTTTGATATGAGTGAATAGAAGAGTCAAGATAACTAAGAATATGTTTTCTTTGTGTGTGTTGCTCGCGAAGCTTCCACAGAACTGAGCATCCCTTTTTTTTGCAACATTATTTTGATGTCCCGACAGCTTGGACTCACTTTATGAGGAATTGGTTGAGATAAGACTGTATTCCGTCCATGACGTTGCTTGCAAAGAGTGGTGGTAGATGTATCTGCCATGATACTTTGACTTGTTTGAATGGCGACGTTAATTGCGTTTCCTGTAGTTCGTCTTGCTGCTGCATTTCAGCTGCAGGCCTCTTCTTGGATGATCGCGATGTCATGCCGTGTATGCTATAGATAGGGATCAATGTTTATCTTGAGGCTTGATCGCCTGCAATGTCTTGTATCTGTGATCAACTGAAACAAAAAAAGCAGATGGAGGCGGATTGAATGGAAACGCCGAGCTTCCAAACACGAGGACTTTATAGATTATCTCAGCTTAGGCGTGAAATCATTAATGTGATCTTGTAGCCATAGTTAAAAAGAGGTTCGACGGCTAAGAATCGCGTAAAAGATGAAGACGAAAGTACAGCTCGGATGATGATCAAGTAGTCAAAGCCAGCTCCACACAACGCGTATATACACGTTTTTAGGATGATCCGCATACTTTGTTCGCTCTGTTTTAAACAACATTCTCGCTTAAACTCTCCTCGTGTATTCGTGGTTTCCAAATAATCTATCCAAACACATACCAGGCGAATACATTACATCAACGCATACCATACTCCACCCATAGCATACCCATATACCCTGTAATTATAAATGGCGTCCTCATCATCCGCTGCCTCGTCATCATCAAATCCACCACAAACATCGGAACAGACAGAACTGCAAAATCCAGCAGAGGTCCTAGAAGAAGCTCAAGCTTGTGTCGCCAGAAAGGACTATCAAAAGGCTACCGACAAATTCACGCAACTCATTGATGTCGCTCCCCCTACTGCAAACATGGCATTGGCTTACATGTCTAGGAGTCTGTGTTTCTGGGAGTTGAAGGACTATCAGTCTGCACTAGATGATGCCATGAAGGCTCATGACTGTGAGGATATCATTACGGTGAGTACATGTGATTGATGGAGTGTTTCTTGTTGTTGGAGGTGTTTGTGAGTGAGATTGTGAGTTATTTTACATGAGGAATACATTGAAAATATGATCCGTGTTTCCTTGATCAAAGTAATCATATACTCATGACTCTCATTGCTAACTACCATATACCCGCAGCCAAATGAGATCCTACACGGAGCATTCAACTCAAAAGCTGCGTCAGCCTTCCAAATAGCAGCATGTTGTGGAAAGCTCGGTCGCGGTGCTGCCGTTGTCTCAAAATACCAAAAGATCGCCACAGACATGCTAAAAGTAACCGCAGCAGCATACGAAAAGGCCAACGCTCTCAAAGATGAAGGAAACGACTACTTCAAACGTGGATGGCTAGAACTTGCCCTCGCCAAATACGAAGAAGGACTCAAACTAGATCCACTAAATGTCGCACTCATGGGCAACATCTGTCAAGCACTCTTGAAAATGAATAGGCTGGATGAAGCTGCTGATATCGCACATCGGTGTACCGAGACAAGACCTGAATGGCCGAAAGGATGGTATAGGAAGGGAATGGTGTTGATGAAGAAGAAACATTATAGTGACGCAGTGTCTGCCTTCCAAACCGCATTATCGTGTCCAGGTGCATCTGACGACGATGCAGGTGTAGAAGATATCAAGTCGGCATACATGCAGGCTGTAACCATGGCGCAAAAGACGGAAGCTGCTAGAGGCGGGTTTGATAAACAGTATATGGGGATTATGATGCAGATGAGATCCAAGTCTTGGAATATTTATGAATGGTATTCAAAGAGTAGGATGACTGCAGAGATGTGGAATTTGAGGGATTGGAAGGAGAAGTGTGCTGCGAATTGTCAGAAGGATGCTAGTTTGACAGAGTTGATTGATCGGGCTATGGCGACAAAGTTTACAATGAAGAAGGGGTCTTTGCCTATGGATGTTTTCAAGTGGAAGGAAGGATCTGCTGTAAGTGGATGTAATTGTTGATGTGACTTTCATAGTTTTTTGGTGCTGCATATGGCAGCGGTCTTTGTCGAAGTTTGCTCAACTTTGTTTGAGTTACCACGTACCTCTTGCTCAATTTGCTTTTATCGTCAACTTGCAATGGTGTTACGTCAACTTGCAAGTGCACATCTTCAAAGAAATTTGGATTATTGGATTTGGTCAACTGAACCCCTCCTTTGTTTAGCCACCAAGGACAGCCATGGCAGCCTTCACAATACCCATAACACCACTCGTATCCCTCGTAATCATGCACTATATAATAAGTAAATCCTTTCCATCCCACAAATGGTCCATGGTCTGGACCTTCCAAGCTGAACGCAGCCTCTTCGAAGGATCCATGCTCGCACCACATGTATCTCACCACAAAACATACGCCTTCCTCATATCCAAAGACTCGAAAATAATAATCGACATATTCGGTATCTGGGCCTACGATGCAGGCGGCGAGGACGAACCAGAAAAAAATTGGGTTGACTTGCTGGTTGAAGCTGGTCTCAAAGCTGGTAAACCGAGTGAGAGGGATAAACAGTCTGATGATCCAAAACTGAGGAATCAGCCATGGACTTTTTATACAAGTGATGATCGGTCCGAGTTTTTAGAGTTTATTGAAGCTGGTGCTAAGGTAGAGAGGGCAGAAGCTGAATGGGTTAAGGTTGAACAGGATGAAAAGAAGAAGGCTGAGGATGAACGCAAGAAGAAGGCTGAGGATGCGAGGGATGCTAAGAGGAGTGCGGATTTGAAAAAGATGGCGGAGGAGGCTAGAGCAGTTAAGGCTGCCAATGCTGCTGCTAATGCCAATAATAATAGTGGTGATGGTAGCGGTGAAAACAAGGAATCTTCACCAGTCAGTACATTCCAAGCTCCATTTGATGTATCGACGCTACCGAAAAAGGAAGGACTATCAACCAACTTTTATATACTTGCTGCTATTGTTGGGGTTGTGCTTGCAATGCTGGCGTATTATATGGGGCTGGCTTCTCCGACTACGGCAACGCCAAGTAGTGGTGATGGTACTGCTGCTTGAGTTGGAAGGTTATAGATTTGGTTGCGGTTTGAGAGATTGTTTATTATTATACCCATGAAGATGATGAAAGACACACACAAAGCATAGTTTGTAATGTTAAGAAAACCAATATAAAATGAACTGAACGCAACAAAAAGCGATGCGGGTTCGCCTTTTAATGACGAGTGTGTATCATTGTTTCCCTGCCGCAGATATAGCACATGAATGCTTGAGATGGCTTCTCAACACGGAAGCATTGGTTGGAGAATCTTGAGTTCTGGGAGAACGAGAAGGAAGTGTAGTGTTGTTCAAAAATATTGAAAAAGTATTTCCCGAATGCTCGATGTAACATTTTTCAGTGGCGTCCAAAAATTCAGCGAAGGGATCAGACGGGAGCGAGAGCTCAGACTCGAGAACACGAAGGAATCTCTCACGTTTGGCAACACGTTTCTCGATGACGTCTTCGGTGCGATCTTCAGAAACGATCTCATCTTATTCGGCTCCAAGACCAGTCGGGCACTTGATAAAACCAAGAATGGAGCATCCTTGTTCTCCACTTTTTCGATTGAAAATCTTCGTCACAATACAATTATTTGTCTCTCTTTCACTTGGTCTCTCTTTCACTTGGTCTCTTTCTCAAGATGTGGTATATAACAGAATACGAAAAGAACACCTTATCTAGAGGATATTCCCTCCTTTGGCTCTTCGAAGAGCATACCTTGCCCAGTTCATGTGTGTCTACAACACTCTGGCCCTCAAATGCACCACAGGGTAAGAAACGTCATACCAGAAACTAAGCACACACAGTCAAAGATATGAAGTTTGTCTAGTGAAAAATAATGTACAGCCAACGAAAAGGAAAAGGTAATTATTGGGTCGTAATGATAAAGTTATTGGATCCCTTGGCTTGTATCGTAGGAGTTGGAGTATTAGGAACGGCCTTGAATTCCACGTTGATTGTTTGCGTATTTGAGTTCTTGGGTATGTTGATTTGCAATCTAGCAAGTGGAGTGAGTTTTCGTTTTAGCGCACCAAAGGAAGTAGGGAAACCTGCGACAATGACACATACTTGTTGTCAACAGATATCTTCATCACTCGCTTCTTGGCCTTGAGGGCAGCAATAATCCGACTGACGAACTCAATAGCATATTCATCAGATCGGTACAGCACATCTCCCCTTGCTTCTCCACGAACATGCAGAGCAAAGAATCCATCTCGTAAAAGTGACAATGATGCACCCGAAATGTTTGTCAATTGAATGGATTCTTTGCTTGTTGAGCCTTCGAGTGAGTAAATTTGGGTGTCGGTTAAGACGAGGTATCGTTCAACTGCTTTGGAGGCATTGTGACGGTGGTGTTTAACAGCAGGGATAGCAGAAAGCAGTGTTTCTAGAAATATCATTAACATGAATATCGTTTTTGGGTCTACTGAAGGTTCAAAGACGAACGTACCAGATTGTGGGACTGTCCACTTCACTTTCTTGCCGCCAAGTTCAATGTGGTCTGGGACGAACTTGATAGGAAGCCTATACAATCGAGGTATTACTAGGGCGTTTCTTTGGGGGGTTTTTTTCCTGTTGCGTTTTCTTTCACAAACCACTTACGTTGAGCCATACGTAGCCTTTTTACTCAAAAAATCTGAAGCGCTGGCCTTCCAAGCCAAAGCTTCCGTTTGTTCAGCGGTTAGAGATTTTCGGTACGATTTTGCCTACAAAAGTAGTGTCAGGCCGAATGGCAGAAAAAGAAGAAAAGGATAAACCGAAATAATGTCGTAACCCCGAACGCACCATAACGCGACAATAGATCGTTTTCATCAGCTCCACAGCAATCTTGGATTTCCGGTTCTGTGCAATCTTGGGCCATTTCATAGTCCTCCATTCCTTGCCAGCCTTAATACATGCATCACGAGCATTCAAAAAGTACTTTCTGTACATGTAATGACGGAAGACTCTTTGGATCGTTGGTGCCGCGTATTTCGGCATGGCCATTTTAGCGTGTCTGTACCATTTCCTGACCTTAAGAGGAGAAAAAAGGATTACAACACGGGATAAATGGGAGAAAATCACATTGCTTTACCAAGTATCCACGTCCAACCCGGTTGAGCAATTTGATGCCCAGAATCATGGCTACAAAGCGTCGACGATACTAAAAAGAGTAGAACGAGCAGCATTTGAGAATTAAACATCCCTTGAACCGCAGAATACTCTTTTTTACCTGGGTTCGACGAACATTAGCTTGTAGTCTAATGACCAACTGACGAGTCCTCTTATATTTTTTGCAGGCAATGTAAGCCTTGTATCGAGCTGAGATCTTGGTAGCTAAAATGTCCTTGTGGGCATTTCTCCTTTCTTCCAAGCTGAGCAACTGGAGAAAAACAAAGTAACTATCACACCAGATGACCCATGTGCTTAAACACGACACTTACAGTCTTTGGATTCTTCACAAAGACTTTAGTAAGACCCAATTGATAATCTTTTGATTCAATGAATCCCAAACCATCCATCATTTTAATGATTCCTTCCTTGACATCTCCCTTGTAGGTTGGCCATGTGTCTCTACCACCAAGCATCTTGTATCGATCGAGGAACTTTGTGAATCTAAAAGTAAAGTGGTTTTAGAGATAAAATCGTGGGGCACTTTGTTTTTGGAGTTCTTAAAGTCTTCAAATTTTCTCACGTGGTACGGTATGAGAAACCAGCGCGACGAACGCGGACACTTTCTTGTAACCCCAGGTATCGACATTGGTGACCTGCAGCAGATAAAGATTGTTTTAGCGATTTGTTGTTCTCAGTCTTTGCAGATTTTTTTGGCTTCTGCGCAAGTACTTACGAACAAGCTCTTCATCAAACACATCTCCCTTCTTTTCTCCATTAGGTTTCAAACAACGAATGTAGTAAGGATTCTTGGTCATCAAGTTTTCAATCAACGAGCCCATTGATGACTTGAATTGGTTTCCAAGCGATTCTGGACGTTTCATGACATCGTCTCTTGCAGTTTCAGGGAAGATCTCCACAAATTCAGATTTCGAACTCTCGTTAATGAGATATAGGACATCACGGAATAAAAAATCCTGATAGTGATCTGAAAGGTTAGACACCATTGGCCTTGACCATGCAGCACTTTCTTGCCTATCCGATAAAATACCTTATTCTTTTCAACAAATCCATCAACTTGATATAGTACATCGCCAGCATAATGCTTAACCAAGAATGCAGCGGGATTAGCAGCTAAAGCCTTGTCGTTTCTTGACTTTACTCGTGAATCGTAGAACTTGTTTTGTGTGATTTGGGAGTCCAACTTGTCCAAGAATGTCTTGTCTGTGACATCACCAGGCATGTTGCATTGTTCGTCTAGCAGTGCGAGAACTCCTCGTGGTTTTCCTTCAATCAGTTCGCAGATTGGCTGCACAACACAAAAAACAGTTAAGAAGGCTTGCCTACAACAAATTGATGCTCATGGAAGGCTCGCCTGATTGTTGAAGAAATCGATATGGACCCATCCGATACTCTACAAAGCGGATCAGATAAGCAAAAAACCACAGTTAGAAAGCAGCCATCATGCGTTCTCACTTCTTTAGCATACTCTTCTTGTTCGCCCTTCAACGTCAACTGGATGAAGAGTTGTTGCAATTTCTGAAAGAAAAAATCATCAGCATTGTTAGCAAAATCTTCAAATTTTAAAGTTCAACCTCACCTCGTTACAGTAATTGATCAAAAACTGCTCAAACGAATTCTTGGACATAATTTCAAACCCGTAAATATCCAGCACACCCATAACAGAGCGTCTTGACTGTGTCTTGTCTTTAGATCCAATGAGTGCATTGATCTGCGAAACCAAGTATCCGAACAGACGACCATAAAGCGCTTTAGCAAGAGCATCTCGAGTATGGCTTGCTTGTTCGGTTGTCAGAGGGACGGTAATGTTTTGTTTCTTGTGCTTGTCTTGGATTGAACGTTTTGTCAACGCTTTGGTGAGTTTCTCGGCGGATATTCCAAGACATGATGCGATTTTTAAAACAGCTATAGCAAGAAAACAGTCGATTTGAGAAAATTAACTTGCTGCCAACAACAATACACAGCTCCATTCCATCGTCTGGTGGTCAAAGAAGCCAAATTCACACTATAAAGACATACCATCAGGAGTGCTAATCTTGCTTCCCTCTTCATACTTTTCATTACTCGAAGGATCAGCACATTCCACAACTTGATCCCTCTCAAATTTAACATTTCCCAAATGCAAGATGGCAGCAATACCATCGAATAACGCATCTTGGGCTTTAGGCGAAATACCAATAGTTTTCAAAGCATTCAAAACATTGGCGAATTCGACTTTATCATCGACTCCGGGTACGGTATCGCAATTTGATTTGGAGAGGTATTCGTAATCGGATATGTTGGATGTCAGTTTGAGTTTTTGGAGGAGGGATTGGTCTTCACTACGAAGAAGTTGGTAGAAGATATGGAAGGATCGTTCTAATTGTCAAAAAAGTTAGAGTAGGTATTTTAAAACGTGGGACAGGAAGTAATTACCTCCATCCGCGGGCTGTACAACACGACTCTTTTCGAGAAGATCTGCAAGTTTCAACAGTGACGTGAGTCAGAACAACGAAAATACGAGACCGTAAGAGACTCAGCATGTGCAGCTTGACACAACTTACACGTAGTAATACGACCTCCCTGTGGAACACCCTTATAATCAAACTGTATGTCCATATACTTTCCAAACCTCGAAGAATTATCATTCCTGGTAGTCTTGGCGTTACCAAAAGCTTCCAAACATGGGTTCGAGTTCAACAACTGATCTTTGATATGATCCACTTTCTCAGTAGAAGCGGATACCGCAGCTACATATTTCATGAATATCTTAGAAGCCTCAGTCTTGCCTGAACCTAAGAAAATAAACGAAATGTATAGGATGAATATGTTGAAGCCAATAACAACACTTTTTTTGATCTTTATACCTGATTCACCAGAGATGATCACAACCTGATCTCTTCCCGACGAAATCATACTGCCATATGCAGAGTCAGCGAGCGAGTAAATGTGGGGAGATACTTCAAAGTAGTTTGCTCCGCGGTATTGCATAATCTGCTGCTGCGTGTATAGCGAATCAATCTTTTTGTCTAAATGTTGGAAAAATGTTAAAATGTTTTCAATGGCGTAAGCCCAATACAAGGCCTTTACAACATTCAAGACGCGTAAAAATTACATTGTACATACATGGATTACATGCTACCACTACGTTGCCAATGTATGTATAAATTGCGTCAGCAGCGAATCGTTGTTTTAAATTTTCAACCAATGTATCCTCAGAGAGGCCTTCTATCAGACAAAAGTCCATTGCTCCTGGTTGCTTGGCCATGATGATTACTCTGTCTGTCGCTTTGTTTGAGCTTCTGACTCAAAATTGTCTGCCCGAAGGTTCGTGTCAATCAACCTCAACCCTATGGCCGGAGAAAGAAAAAGGTTGGAAGCATCCACACACCAGATATTATGGCACCCCAGTAGCTCTATAATAGCTTTATCGTTTTTTAATTACAAAATACGCGTGCACTACAAGTTGTGGTATACTTGGACGTTTGCGTCAATCTTTGAAAAGTTCTCAAAGAATGACTGAAACAAGTCCACTGCGGAAGCGATATCTTCAACTCCTGCAGTTTCTCTGATCGAGTGCATTCCCCATTGAGGGTTGCCAACGTCCACAGTTCGCAACCCGAGCTTAGCTGAAAGCATTGGTCCTGATTTGTGTAAGGTAGGAAAACGTTAGATTTCTGGAAGCAAGCGACTATATCTACCACTAAACAAAAAAAAACCGACTGGAATGTGATTGCATACCAATAGTACTTCCACATGGCGAATCATTCCTCACCACAAACTCTTGCAATGAAGTGCCTTTGACTTTGGCAACTTCTCGCAAGATAGTGGTGGTAATAGCAGTAGTAGCATATCGGAGATTAGCATTCATTTTGAGTACGACTCCAGAGTTGATTTTGGGTCGGTGGTTGTCTTCATGCTTGTCCCAATAGTTTGGATGGGAAGCATGACCCATGTCAGCACTAATGAGCATAGATTTCTGCATGGCTTGCTCGAATGCAGACTAGATTGTAAATAGGAAGTAAGGAAGGAGTGAGAAAAAGGTGACAGCTACACAAACGAGGTTCGAAAACGAACGTACAGTTGAACGGTCCGCAGAATCAGTAATTTCAACCTTGGAGAGTCTCTCCAACGCAGCCAACATCATGTCCGAGTCAGCTCCATATGCTAAATAGAGTGCGATGTTAGCTTGCAAAAAACAGTGATTTCGTCACCCGCATATCTCTACCCGAAACAGATCCAATCTCTTCATTGTCAAAAAGAGCAACTACTCGTATCAGTGGTTCATCACTCAACGATGAGTTGGTGGTGCTGTTGATCAAAGCCTGGAAAGATATATCAACGTTACAACGTAGGATAACCGACGAGTAGAGGCCAGCTACGGATTACCGTCAAAGCACAAAACGACATATTCAAATTATCCAAACGAGACGAAGATATGAACTCGTTATTAGCACCCCTATGTTGAAACGATGATGAGTTCAATCGCGACCAAAAAAGGGAAGTGCATTTCGAGGCCATTACCATGTGCAAGCTGGGTTGGTATCATACAAGCAAATCTCAAAATCGCCAATTTGAGAGATGTCACACTTCAATTCTGAAGCTAGCAAGGATAAAAACACTGACGAATGTTTCTCATCGCCAGCAGGAGGAGTAGATGATGCTGGTTCGTTCAATTTGGCAGCTGCAATGCCTAGAACTGGTAGCAACTGCGTTTCCGTGTTGAATTTGAAGCCGTCAGTGTTTACTGCTCGATCGAGATGGATTGCCAAGGTTGGGATTTTCAAGATGGGTCTATGTGGTGAGTAAAACGTGAGCGAATGATCCGCAGTTTCGTAATAGGTTGACCGAACGTTACCTGCTAACACGAACAAGACGATGCTGAATGGTGCCATCCTTCTCATGGACCAAGACACGACCAGCTACACCCAAGTCGCGATCAAACCAGGTATGCCATAAACCGCCTAGCGTACAAGATCGAAGTAGGATACACTAGCGGTCTGACAAATGCACTAGCTCAATTACCTCCATAGACTTCGACTCCAACCTGAGTGTATACACCTCTAGATTTAGCAGAGCGTGGCTTCACTTTCAGGCAAGGGGAATCGGTATGTGCTCCGACAATCGAGAAACCGTTTCCTCGTTTGTATTGGCCGCCAATAGCAAACGCAAGAATTGATGAATGATTTCTTGTGAAGAAGTATCTATACGTCAAAGATGTTGTTAAAACGTGAAGTAGATGTGTTTCGAGACATGATTGCAACTTGATAGAACGGACAGCGATGGAAGCCATCCAATAAAATTATAAATTGAAATAATATGTAAATTTGTTTTCGTTTCCACGTACTTTCCGCCGGGCTTCAATGCACCGTCCCAGCTTGACTTTTCAAAGACCTCAGAGTAGCCAGCCTGAACAAGTTTCTTCCGTGCTTCTTCCGTAGCGTGGAACGGCGAAGGGCTTGCCGTTACAAAGGTGAGAAACTCGTTAGCCAAGTTCCTTAGCGTCATCTTTTCTGTTGTTGTGACGATGTGGGTGTGTTGGAAGTGATTCAAGCTTCATGAGTGGCTAATAAACAACGTCGGAACACGTCAGATCAGTGCTAACGTATACAATCTAGTACATTTAAATCCTAGTCAAGTGCTGTAGACCGTCTTCTGTGGCAACATCTACTGTGGTACAACTAGATTGGTGCTGTCGTGATCTCGATGACATTTGACCTGTCTATCATGGCTGCTATGGTAAGAAAGATGTGATGTCATCATCCATGTATCAAGTTACAACCTGTACTGAACCTATCTCTCACAGGAGTTTGATGATCGCGAAGAACTCTCGGCCGAGTCTCTCATCCGAGATGAATTCGGTCTCGGTCATGATATGGTCATTGTCAAAGACCAGATCCACTTCATGCTCAACAGACGTCTTTTGAAAGGAAGGTCGCTCTTCTTCAGAGATCTCGTCAATCAATCAAGGCTGGTCAGTAAACAGGACGTAACAATGAGCAGCCACAACAGCAACAATCGAGATGAACCAGATGTTACGGATCTGAGCAATGTAGCATGTGGTAGTGCTGCAAGCTGGGAGGTAGATCTACACTCGTGTCGCTTGAACTTGCTTGATCAAAGTGTTGACCTCTTCTTTGCAGGATGCCCTTCGATTCTGCTACTTTTTCGAACTGGATTTGAATCGAGAGCCTGAACAAATATTACAACTGGTACAGGTTGCTCACTTTCTGCAAATTGAAGGTAAAAGCCCTGGTTCTTTGCGCCGCCAACGCACTTAAACCAACCTCCTCTCTCAACAGCCTTGATGTCGGTAGTAATAAACCACCTTCTCACAATTGAACTTCCAACCACCAACTTGGAACGATACTGGAATCTGGCTATTCGATTGGAAGAATTAAATACATCCAGTTGGTATCCCACTCTGATGCCACCATTCGCTGTTGTAAAAGAACATGTCAAGTCAGCTATTAGGCAGTGTACTCCAGTCGACGGCATGACGTATGGAAAATCCTTTATTGAAGCAGTCGTACAATACTCGGGTCGAGATGCTGTTATGGTCTTTGAGTTTCTTCGACGAGCCAATGGTCAGAGTGTCATCAACGGGCTCCTGCTGTCCTTTTCCGACTTTTGGGCTTCTCCACAATGTGTGAGTGTTAATTGATCAGAGACGACGTTTTTTTGGTCGTTCCTGGAAAAGCGTCTTATCTCATACTCAGAGAACATATGGAATAAGTCTCATGCTCACATGTCCCATCCTCATATGTCTCAATCATGTCTCATGCTCATTCGCTATTCTAGATCGAGCCATTGAGAGCTCTACTCAAACAAATATCTGGAGATGTCACTTTTGAGCGAGACGCTGTACATGGAGCTACGACAATCATCATGGATATCCTCGACTTGGCCTACAAGCGACTCCAGGAATCGGCAGTAATGCAAACCAGAAAAACCCATTTCGAAGATCTGTATCTCATCAAGGGACGTCTGAAGAACCTCAACTGGCAACAAGGTCGAGAGCAACAAAGTCCAAAGAGTAAAGCCAAATTCAATGCTCAAAAACTCGCTGAAGACCTCCAACTATATGTAAATGAACGCCTCGAATCCTTTTCAATGGTAGAGTAGAGCTTATATATATTGAGCACAACCTCATAAGCATCTAGATAGGCCCGCATAGCTTTATAGGAGCAGATTGAGCGCAACCTCACAAGTATGTATGGGTAGCTGTGAAGTAGCAAGCAATAAAGTTCAACACATTTCACGACACTTGGACGTGCCTTCTTGTAAATGACGCGTAAAAAGTGAGCCGCCGATACATCTCATTCCTACCATATATCCTCCGTGAGACTAACATGGATTTCAGCTTGTATTTTCTGCTCAGTATTCCAACAGATCTGTTCTCTTTCCAACTCACAATCTGTTGAAAAAGCCAGAGATTAGCGGAGAGGAATATCGATTAAGTGGGTCTCCGGATCTTGGGCCTTAAACGACATGGCAGTCTGTCCTGCAAGCGGGTCTCCTGGCGGAAAACCTATTGACGAAAACTCATTTGCCATGAACTTTACGTTTTTTATTGCCATTTGCCAAACAAGATCAATCTGCCCTAGTATGAAAACCTCGAGCTGCTGGTTACTGTGGACACTACGAACCTCAACCAAACAATTTTTTGGAACCTTTTTGTCGTGTTTTTGCTGGTTTGTTGAGCTAACGCATTGACCTCGGTCGAGACTACTACCGGAGGTTGTAGGTAGGAAGATTGCTGGATATTCGGACTCTTGCTTTCGCTCGCTGTTTGTGGTGTAGGTGCCCTCTGCTGTCTGTTATGGTGAGTTGCGTAATTTTTGAAGCAATGGAATGTCTCTGGCCAAACTTTCTTCCAACGAGTGAGCGGCCTACCAGTTTCCTTACATCCGTAGAGTATCTAGTTCCGGGGATTTCCGATTCCATCCAGTCCTTCATTTCTTCTTCCAATTCGGGTGCTTCGGGTGATGGTGATGTTACTCGTGTGGTTGGATCCTACACGGTGCTGTCGAAATCACCTCACGATATTTTGTTCTGGATCTCTTATCGGGCTGACTATTATTTGACTCAGTAGGTCGTTTCAGTGTTGGATGTCCATTGTCTCCGAGTTGTCTGCCAGCAGCTTCTATAACCATAGACTATAGAAAGGGTCGAAATCGAATTTTAGTCGCATTTATTGATAGCATCGGGTGCCATACTACATCTTGCAATCCCAGTTTGTCTTGAAACATTACAAATGAAAGCCACAAAGATATTGATGACGTTAATGCCAGAATACATACCACGACTAGCATCCAAAAATCTGAGCAGCTTTCGAGATCAAGTGAAAGGGTGCTTCACTTGATCTCGAGATTTAATTCTATCCTTTACGACGTCTTGGAAGTCATCGACTATCGGCTTGAGGTACTCTAGATTCATTTTCGGATGTTCATGTTCCAGCCAGGATCTCAAACGCGGTACCGAGTCAAGATCAGCAAGATCTTCTGCGTCCATCCTTATATCGCAGATAGACGCGCCAAGGGCTCGCGCTCAGCTGTTATTGGTGCCTGATTACGTCCAACGCACATTATGTCAAGTGAAAATTGAAAAGTGAAAACTGGGAAACACATTCACATACAACATAAACAGGACAGAGTAGGATACCATTATAAACAAGATTTAGTTAGATGCTATTGAAGTTGAGGCTTGATGCAGAATGGTTTGACTCCCACTTCGCGACTATTGGGAGTTGCGGCAACCAGCCTATATCAGCTTTCTCAGACGGAAATTCACTACGACATCTACGGACTCATTGGTATTGGTAGCTGGTTTCAATACCTCTACGTAACCACTTGCGGTCAATTCCGACGGCTCTAAACTCCTACTCTCTCCAGGTTTAATGAATGTCAGCAAAATCACGCATCTCGAAACATCGTCACTAACGATATCTCGCAAGAACGAATCTATGGCCATGAAGATCTAGTTGGACACAGCTCAAACATTGTCACGTCTCCAGTCTGCGGCCTGGTGGGTGTGTTCTCGCTGCATTCACAGCCAGCCCTGAAACAATCTAGGCAAATGAGCCTTGACATTATTCATGAATCATAGTTCAAAACTAAAACCAGTTCACCATACACCCATTTATAAATATCTCAAGATCTTTATATATCAAGCACACAAACTGCACAAATGTCGTTTCCACCAGGTTACAAGGTCTATTTACTCTGTTACAGCAGTCAGGTCTCAATATCTTCAATCCCATACGTTCTTTTTCTCATAGATAAGGTAGCTAAAACACCCACATTAAGTTCATTCTCATCCTCCTCCAAAAGCTCAACTAAATTTTTCCCACACACAAAACACAACGGGTATGCTTTTTTGTAGAATGTTCCCAAGGACGCCTTCCTATTTACTCTTCCTTGGTGATTCCGTTACTAGAAGTAGCATCAGCGGGATATCCATTTCCGTTGACAGCAGATTTTTTCGATGCCGCACGTTTAGCAGCATCACGTTTGTATGTCTTGGAGTAGAAATCAATGAATAGTATCAGGTAGGATCCGAAGAGTACAGCACTGACGGATGCTTGAGTGACAGGGTCTATGATTTGATGGGAGTTAGAATAGTTGATATTCATTTCAGTGAGCTAGTTTATCTTACCTGCAGCGTAACAGCCTGGTACAGTTTTGAAGCCATAGTCCTTGACCCTACGTAATTGACGAAGGTCTTTATGTGAATGTCAAGGCAAAAAAACATGATGGATGACGATTCATTACCAGACAAAGTATTCGTTGATGAAGACATTGTAAGTCATGAAAGCTAACATGGCAATATCCAACACGAATTGGACGATCTGCATCGTTGTCAGATGCTTCTTCCACCATATTTGACGTTTCGACACAGTTGACACAGCATAGTACTACAACAAGAGTACAAGCATCAGTACCATCCTGAGTATGAAAGACAGAGGTCACACTCACATAGTACATAAGAACATGAACTGCCAAATTCAAAACCAGCACGACCCAAGCCGACGAAATTGGTTTCCATAGGAATAAATACGCGAATGCCGCAGTCTAGTTGACAGAAGGTCAGTTTTTGCATGTAGGTTCTTGAATGTAGCAGGAGACTTACAGCAGAATGATGGTAGACATGTAAGAACTCCAATGGTCGCTTCTTGAGAACCAAGAAGATTGTATCTATAAACTCCCATAGCTTGAATATGTAGTTTAGGTAGTATAGGAATTCCAAGCGAGGTGAGTAAGCCTAGTAGGGTTTCAAAACGTGAGTATTAACGTTCAAAATAGAGGTATGGTCCGTCAAGTCAGACAAAGTTGAGATGTGCTTGACACCAAAAAAAAAGACACCTCAATCGATTTCAAGCAACCAGTAACGTACAGCTCGATTACACATGGTATAGGTAAAACCATTGTTAAACATCATTGGAACGACCTGTTCCAACACCAGAATCCACAAGAGCAACGAGCCAGCCGACATAATGACATTATGGACAAACACGAGCTGTTTAAGCGTAAATGGCTTGTAAGCCTTCATGAGCTCTCTGCCACCAAGAACTATGATCAGATAAGACACACATGCCAGCACTAGAGTAAGGTTTTTTCGGGTGGTTAGGCACTTTGATGTTGCCTCAAAAACCATAAAACAAGGCATAAAGAACGTTGCGAAGCAAGTCTGCCATATATAGCAATACTGTGCAGTATGTGTACAATTGGTGTAGTTGAGGCATACCACATATGTGTTGCTGTCCAAAAGGCAGGTCAGTGCTGAATCTGAATTCGTCGACCTTGAATGAAGGAATTGTTTTGGCCAGAACGAAATCCATGGCATCGTTGACAGGAGTCCAGCTCATGGTAGTCATGATTGTGGGCTGTCAGTCTCTCTGCTCAATCAAGTAGGAGAATGAAAGTTTTTCGGTGGTCCGATTGGTGCCAAAAAAGAAAGTGTCACCTCGGACTCGAGTTGAAGCTAAATTATCGGGTGCAAGCTAAACTACTCGATAGAGGCGAAAACGGGCACAGTGAGCTATCACGAATGGTGCCGACACCAGTTTTACACGTGTATGTCAGCGTGGTTTCGATCGTTGTAGTGTATGGTGGAGGGGTTGTTGCTAACGTGCCCAACCCAACATCGTGTCTCAATGAACGAGAGGAAAATTTGAAAATTTAGACATATCTCATATTTTATGAGAACTATCAGGATCAGCCATTTTCGTCTTCTAAACGCCTTAAATGTTTCTGAATCAAGTAGTTTCGCTCCAAGTCACCAACGTGGTTTTCAAACCTTGACGAATCACAAAGAGGTTGTGATGGCTGGAACAGACTTTAATGAGGTTTATACATTGTTTAGGAAACTACTTTACATTGTCCTGGATTCTTTTGTTTTTTTTGTTTTATATGCTCGTCCTTCAACCAAAGATGGAACCAAATCCTGGTGGAGCGGCCGGAGCTGGAGCAGCTGCAGCTGGAGCAGCGCCTCCATTACCAGCAGCAGCAGCTGGCTGTCCCGCCGTTACAGCAGTTGGTTGTGGTGCAGCAGATGCTGGAGCCTGCGATGGCAGTACATACGTAATCGACACCCTCAATCCATTCTGTGCATAATTCAACGTCATGGGAGTATATGATCCAATATTCATCGTCAATGCAGACTGCACATTGGATGTAATACTACCGAAACTGAATGCTGCCGCCAAGTTAGCAGTGTTGGTTAACGTTACGGCAAAGGCTGGTGATTGCACATTGTTTGCGTATGCTGGGAGAGTCCAGTATATGTCTGCGTCTGTGCTGCCCATTGTCATTCCCTATATGAGGAGTGAGGATGTCAGTATCATGAACCAAAAATAGGGCTAGAAAGCAGGCGTTATGCTTACAGCAGTGCTAGTAAATGTAGCAGTGATATGTGTAATGACGATTTGAACACCAAATGGATTGTTTCCGTATACCCAACCCTGAGCATTGTTGTTTCCTTGGTTGACTGTCATGTGCGCACTAGCCATGAGTGGAGATTGACTTCCGGGAAGCGCTGTATCGATAGTTAACGACGAGTAGGCATTCTGCAATGACGTTATAGCAGTTGATGCAGTTGATCCTATGATTTTCGAGTAAAGATGTTCAATCCAGAAACAGAGAAGAAACTACTAGACAGCAAAAAAGAACCCGCAAGCTTGACCAAGTATACCTTTAATAGTAATTGGCGAATCTTGACCGTTAATAAAGTTGGTCATAACTTGATTTCCAGCACTCTGAGCACGAGCAGTAGCAGGATTATACACGGCATTAGATGTAGTTGGATTGTTTCCTGGCATGAATTGTACATTTGGTACATTAAGAGTACCAATTTGATCAGCACCCGACCACATGCTGAACGAGGCTTGTCCGGCGTTCAATCCGACATTAGATGGGTTGACAACCTAAAAAATAGACGAATTCAGAAAAAAATGATCGAGAGAGACAAAACCGAAACAGATTAAGTATAGTACGTACCACAAGAGGCACCGACATATAAATACCGTTGCCATCAGCACCAGCGATTCCAGGCACACCATTAACATACGACCCAGCAAAGTTATTGAACCCCTTCAGCGGCATATCGAACGACACAGCTGTTGCTGGGAAGACGACATTGCCAGCTACAGTGGAACCAGAGATAGAAGCTTTTCCTTGTAGAGTAGCCACTACTTGGTTGTTGCTAGTAGTCAATGCACTCAAAAAGAGTGAGAATGTGTTTTCACTACCAGCCATGACTACAAGCGATGTATTTGTGATGTCTGATTGCAAGTATCCGGCCGTTGATGATCCTGTTGCTGGAAGGATGGGAGTGTTGATGGTTGCTATGGGTGTGCTGGAGAAAGCTACTGACAGTGTTTCTTGGATCTGGTGTTGGGGAGATAAATGAGACATGCAAAAAACCACTAAATGGGCTTATACTCACCGTCGCAAAGTCTACTTCAAGCGTCGAGTCAAAGTTCACAGCAGCCTTGACACCTGGAATATTTACTGCTGGAGCATATGGAGTGATTTGGTTGAAAGTCATGATGAGGTTGTTGGCCTGTACGCTTTGGAGCATTTGTTGAGGGGCAATCTAATGAACAAATGCATCAATTTGGCGAGTCATTCTGCCTTTTGCTCATTAAAAAGGTCTTTGAAAACATACCGGCACAGTAATATTAGTCGCGATAGACGACACAGCAGCATTCAAATAACTCAATGGCTGTTCTCCAGAAAGCCCAACACCCTTAACTCCTAAACTCAGCATACCACCAGTCGACAAAGCAGTCAACAGACTAGTCAAGAAGGGGTTTGTCTGTCCAGCAGCAACAGTAGGAATTGGACCAGCCAAAAAGATGGGAGATACTGGTGACACGTTTTTGGGATATAAGACTAGAGATTGGTTTGATACGACTGGAACGTTTGCTCCTAATGTGTTGACATTGAAGATGGCCGGTGATGGCAGAGTGATGTAGAAGGGAGATGGGTTGTGTAAGAGGACACCAACTTCTAGTATTGCTGCTGTCTTTTGAGGGTTCATTCCGACATCGACTAAGTAAATCGGGTTTAGTATAAGATGATTTCATCCGTTTTTTTTGCCAGTAACAAAGACAGAGACAAAAAAGACACCACAGACATTGCTGATGGGGGGTTTCGATACTCACATGCAATCAAGCTAGAGTTTGTAAATCCACCAATACCAACAGCGCTAACATCTTTCTCAATCGCAAATCCATCAAACTGTCTTCCAATAGCAAGCACAGTGCCCACAGACGAGATATGAAAGCTCAATGTCGGCAAATTTATAATGTCCATGGCGACCTGATTCAGCATTGACTGATTTGCTACCACGACTCGTTCAGTTAGATTCACTATACCACCACCATTTGAGACTGGTAGAGCTGGTGCACCAGAGACGGAAAAGAGAAGATTGTTTTGGTAATAGACTTGGACTGGAGATGTAAATACTATTGTGCCAGATAATGGACCAGCATTTCCGACACCGATTATGGTGGATAGGTCGAATCCTGTGGGTGTGATTCCGGATACAGAGACCAGTTGGAGGGATATGATGGCAGAGCTGATTGCGTTTGCTAAAGGAAAAGCAATGATTCAGTACCACTTCGCGTTTTGCTAGCTGGTTACTAGATGCAAAGCAAAATCTTACTAGCAATAGAGGGCAAGATCACGTAAATGATCAGTGGGTACATGACTGCGACTACGATAGCAGCGACAATCACCAGACCCAAACTAGATTCAGCGAGTATATTAGTTAAAATATCGTCACCAGAACAAAAAATGGCTGCAACAGAAAATCGCCATACTACACTTACAGTACACCAAACTTCCTCTTCTTGTACTGCTTTGGCTGCTTTGGCTGCTTCTTCGACGCTCTCCAATTATTCCACCAATTAAATAGCGTTTTACCACCGACAGTGCTGAGCAGCAAGTCCTTGGCAGGAAGTGCAGGAGCACCACCAAGACTCTTTTGTGTTATGCTTTTATTAGTAATACTTTTGGTCTCGTAATAATCGTTTGGCTTATCCATGCCAACACCAGGTAGATCATCGTAAGCGTACTTAGTGGTTGAGTTGTCATAGTTTTCATCCCCATCATCATAGCTTGCTTCATCTTCATCACCGTCATCCTCGCCATGATTATCGTTTAAGTGAGCTTCAGCAGGCAAATCATCGTCACCGTCATGAGAAGGTGCAGCCGAGTAAAGCACCGAAGCATGTCTAAACAGTCTACCATTTTTACGTGCAGCTGCTCTACCACGACGATCTAGTTCTACTACAGGAGGTGCGAGAGCGATTGGTTCATTCTCATCTACTGGTAGTCCCGATTCGGCGAATTGGAGTTCAACAGGTGACGCCAAGTCGTTCTCATAAAAGCGCTCTAATGACTCGTATCCGACAGTTGATGGAGCGTATGATGAGCTGACTGACATTGTAACAGATCGTAGGGATTTTGTTCTGTAGCTTGCACCATCACGGCTAGTACCAAATCCATTGTTTTCAGTTAATGAGGATAATGGGGGTGCGAAACCGGGCGCTATTGGGTGTGCATGGTATTCGTCTTCGTCGTATTCGTCCAATTCAGGCGACTGCACACGTTCGGGTTGATAATCCATAATGTTGTCTGGAGCTAATTGTACCAAGCTCACTTATATCATGCAAACATGAAACATATCGAGTTGCGGTATGCCGCGTGGTACTTGCTCTCATTTTTGTCTCCGAGGTTGCGTTTTGTGTTTGTCGTAAAAATCGAAAGAGCAGATTGAAGGTAAGTTTTTCTTGCGGTCGGTCTAAGGGAGAGGCTCTCGGTCCACCAGCTGATAGTTATGTGCCAAATGAGGTCACTTTGGCTAGCGTTCAGCCTGAAATCGCTGCAATTTCATAACCAGGTTTTGAGAAAGTTGAGAAGTTGTGATATTGTGCAAATTGTCTGAGGATGTGAATCCAAATATTACTAAGAATACATCCATATATACGTAACGAATTGTTCCACTCACGTCCTCGGATGCAAAATCCATATTTGTTACCTGTCAATATTCTTCAATTCATAGTTCTCGAAGACCCAACCAATAATGACAGTAAGAGCTTGTCTCGTGATTGCAGTCATAATATGGACACAATTCGTATCGGCTGACAGGCTGGTCGGCGTCTCGGATGCAGGCAAGTTCAACATGAAATTTGAAGCTTTCTATCATAAATGGTAACAAGATAACTTTAAATCAGACATGTCATTCTACCAACCCCTACCTGGAGACAAGTTTCTGTGTCTTGATAAATCCGCCATGATTCCATTCACAAGCGTGAACGATGATTTCTGTGACTGTCTCGGTAAACATGCAAACGCATCACTCACGTTGATGTTTTTCGCCCTGACACGCTTTGGCTCACTTCCAATTCTATTTCAAGACGGCTCTGACGAACCTGGCACCTCAGCTTGCGACAACGGACGTTTCTACTGCCAGAATACTGGTCACATACCGTCTGTAATTCCATCGTCAAAAGTTAATGATGGTGTATGTGATCCAGAGTGCTGTAGTGGTGAGGATGAGTGGAACAGTTCAGTCAAATGTCCTGATACATGCAAACAAGCTGGAGATGTGTATCGAAAACAGATGGAAGCTCAAGAATCTATTCATAAAGAGGTATGTTTGATGCCTTATGTGTTGACGCTCCACACGCAATCTCTCAACATTTTTTGCTTGACAGGGGGCAAGACAGCGACGAGAGTATATCAAGTTTGGCAAAAAGTCGAAAGCTTCTCGACTGGTTGAGATCAAGAAGCTGGAAGCCGAGTTGAAGAAGGATGCTGTGACGCTGGAACATCTGAGAGGTATACACTCTATTGCTCAGGCATTTTGTTGCACTCGCCAACATCGCTTTCATCGCTACCAGTGGCCAAAGAAACAGCAGAGAAAGCCGACGAACTCAAACAAGAAGCCGAAAAACCAGTCGACCATACTTGTCCTACACGTTTAGAAGAATGTGAAAAGTCTTATTCAGAAGTGACTGACAAGATCAAACTATTGATTGAAGAAGGCAATCAAGGGTTTGCTAATATGGGTGATGATTCAAAGAGTAAATGTGCACCGTTAATGGACAAGATACGAGATATACAGGATACTCTTGAAGGAGAGGTTATAGAAGAGTCAGAAGGAGGAAGTGAATCTGCAGCAGCTGAATCTGTCGAATCTGAGGTGATCCCGCCATCAGAGCATATAGAAGAACCGGTGGGTACTGCAACCCCTGTAGAACAGGGTGCACCTACCGTAGCAGCATTCATACCTCCTGTAGTAGTCCCAACTATAAATCCACGAGTCGGTGGATTGCCTGAGGCAGTCATCACACCTCCAAACGCAGAACAGCCGAAACCAAAGATTCATCCCTGTGATGATTATGATGCATCATTCACAGCTTGTCTCGTTACGACCATTAGTGATAATGTTATTGGTATGGGAATCGCCATGAAATCACCACTTACATGGCGAGGCTGGAGGTCTCTGAAACGGTCGTATGCTAAACTATCTGGTAGGGCCTCTTCTGAACCACTAGATTTTGCTCAGTTGTCGGCTGATGTTGAGAAGGCACGCTCGAAATATTTGGATTTTGAGCGAGCAAAGAATGAAAAGCAGCAAAAGTTGGATGAATTGAAAAAGAAGAGGGATATTGATTTTGGACCAGCTGGTGAATGGGAAAAGTTGTATAAAACGTGCTTTGTGGGGGATGCTGCTGAGTGAGTAAACTCTCTTCCTTCGCTTGAAGACGCCCTTTTTAGTCGCTGGCCAGAGCTGAGCTGACACAACTTTCGAGCATAGGTACAAGTATGAGATATGTATACTGGATAAGGTTGTTCAGAAGCAAGGAGGCATGAACACAGACTTGGGGTGAGTACACATGCAATCCCACCAGAATTTCGTTCTTTTTTGCTCTTCACAAATTTTTTTACTGCTACTGACACACAACGTCTTAACTATCGTTAGACACTTTACGCGCTGGGGAGGTCGCGATGAATCTTCAACACCTGGAGCTCTCAAATACACACGAATGATGTTTGAGAATGGTGTGATGTGCTGGAATGGACCTGCAAGGTCAATGGAGGTCTTCATTGAATGCGGGAAAGAAAACGTGGTCTTGACGGCAAGCGAGCCGTCGAAATGTGAGTATACGATGAAGATACAGTCACCGGCTGCGTGTGTTGAAGAGGGCGACCTCGTGTCGTCAAAAGACGAGAAAGAAGAGCTGTAAAAATGTATTGTACACGAAAATACCGAAATATAGCATCAATAATAGTAAGGGATCGCGGTTTAATAAACCAAAGCGGGTGTCTCTTTGCGGCTCGTCATAATCGTTGACCGTCACACAGTTTTGATCCAACGTTTGGAACTTAGATTTTTCGCAAATTACAAGAGTTTTTACAATGATGAGAACAACCAGACTTCCATTGAAGGTATCAACATGACCGGAACTGATTTATCTTCTCCCCTTATGTACTAATGATACTGTTCTTTCTAGCAAGCAACCCAAATTCGCTGCCTCAACACAAGTTCAGTCAATCGAGCTCAACCAGCAGCCCAAACCAAGACTCAACAGCCCCATCGAACTCAATTATACATTGGTGGAGAGTTCTTCGAGTCTCAAACATCAAAATGGTTTGAATTACGAAATCCCGTGAGCTTCATCAAAAATTTGTGTTCTGAGCATGACGTTGCAAATTGGTGGACATTTGCTTGCAAAAGTCCCTACAAGAAAATGAATTTTTGAAGCGATATTGAATATGTTAGGCTACTCAAGAGCTTGTGACGATGGTACCACAGGCTACCCCACAAGAACTGAAGCATGCTGCACGAAGTGCTGAAGATGCATTCAAGACTTGGAAAAAGACAAGTGTTTTGACTAGACAGCGTGTTATGCTCAATCTACAGGCTCTTATTCGTGACAACATGGTAGAGATCCTTCAGTCAATTGCTCCTATACTACTATAGTTGAAGGTTTTTTTGTGTCTAGGACGAACTAGCAAAATCCATTACCACTGAACAAGGAAAGACATTCGGTGACGCCAAAGGCGATGTATTACGTGGATTACAAGTCGTAGAGAATGCATGTGGTATTCCAACCATGTTGCTGGGTGAAACTTTACCTGTTTCTTCTGATATGGACACGTATACTATACGACAGCCTTTAGGTGTTGTTGGTGGTATTACGCCATTCAATTTCCCTGCCATGATTCCTCTCGTAAGTTCAGAATGAGATGTGGTACTATTCGTGGACGGCAGCTCATGATGCCAGATCATATAAATGGCCACTAACACTGTCTTTTGTTGTCTTTCCACTATAGTGGATGTTCCCACCAGCAATTGCATGTGGTAACACCGTCGTCATCAAACCATCTGAACGAGACCCTGGCTGCATGATGCTCTTAGCCAAATTGGCTGAAGAAGCTGGTGTTCCCAAAGGTGTCTTGAATGTAGTTCACGGTGGTGTTGATACCGTCAACTTTATATGTGATGAGCCAGCTATTAAAGCTATATCATTCGTTGGATCTGACCAAGCTGGTCAGTATATTTTCGCTCGTGGTACCGCTACTGGTAAACGAGTTCAAGCCAATTTGGGTGCCAAGAACCACGGTTAGTGATCAAAACAGTTGGAGGATTTGATTTTTGCCGGAAGGTGTTCCCGCTATCGTCAGTTGGGGCTAATTACTCACCTAAACAACCTTGTAATTAGGTGTCATTGTACCTGATGCAAACAAGAACCACACCCTCAACCAATTATCTGGTGCTGCTTTTGGTGCCGCTGGACAACGATGCATGGCCTTGTCCACTGTAGTATTTGTGGGTGAATCACAAAAATGGTTGCCAGAATTAGTGGAACGAGCAAAGAAGCTTAAAGTTTCTGGTGGTTTTGAGCCTGATGCGGATTTGGGTCCGTTGATTACACCACAGGTATTCTTTTCCTCGAGGATATGTTTTTTTCGCTCCATGCTCACTATTTTTCCTTGCTGCAATCGCCAGGCCCAAAAGCGTGTAGAAGACTTGATTCAATCCGCTGCTGATGAAGGTGCTACCATCTTGTTAGATGGACGTGGTATCAAGGTATGCTGGCAAAAATACGATAATTACAGCGGAACACTGTTTGACCGGTCCCTCGCTCGCCCCTATTAGCCCAAGGGTTACGAAAAAGGGAACTTTGTGGGCCCAACAATCATAGCCAATGTAACACCATCCATGAAATGCTACACTGAAGAAATCTTTGGCCCTGTCTTGGTCTGTTTGAATGCTGATACTTTGGACGATGCTATTGAAATCATCAACAAGAACCCTTACGGTATGTATATGGCAACAGCTTCTGATCCGACTGTTTTGCTGATTGTAGCATTTATTTTAAAGGTAACGGAACTGCCATCTTCACCAATTCTGGAAGTGCTGCCAGGAAATTCCAAGATGAGATTGATGTTGGTCAAGTCGGGTAAGCAACAAAAGGGTTCTTGTAGTCCTGTAGGAATATCATGACTAACCAATAAATTGATTATATAGTATTAACGTTCCAATTCCCGTACCATTGCCCATGTTCTCGTAAGTCGTTGGTTTGCTTATAACTCCATATGGAATTTTTTGCGGTGACGTGTCCCAACAGTTCTTCCTCCCTACACCGTCTTTAGATTTACTGGCAGTCGAGGAAGTATTCGAGGTGACTTGAACTTCTACGGCAAGTCAGGAATTTCCTTTTATACTCAGATCAAGACTGTTACCGCTCTTTGGAGGTCTGAGGATGCTACAGGTACTCGTTCAGCAGTAAATATGCCAACAAATCATTAATCGAACAAGCAATAGTATTTGTAACCTTTTCTCGAATCTCACATTCGTTCGCAAACAATGGAGCTTGTTTTGTTTTTGCTCGCGACGCGGTTTGTTGGTGACGTGGCACGTGTTTTTTTGTTTTTTTTTGTACGTTCGCGACTTGCTTCCTCGAGCTTGAGCTTAGGCTGCGTCAGTACTCGTTTGGAAATGGAAGCTCTAAACACTGGCAGTCACGGCAACAAACAATCATGGCAACCAGCCCCGGAGGAGTTGATTCTGACTTACGATCCGTATCAGTGTATCTAGATGGTCGAGGTAAGCTCTTCAGATCGACTCCTTCGCCTTCTCTTGAACTAACTCCCGTATTCGTATTAGCGAGTATTGAGCATCAGGTTTGCACGTTTTGGAAAGCTTGTCTTTTCGAACAAACATCTGAAACTTTTACGATGGAATAGATCGATATCCATGTGATTGACTTGTCGGAAGTCGCCGACAACAAGGATATTCTCCTGCTAGATGTTTTGAATGGCATCAGATGTAAAGTTTCAGACACAAAAGCCCCAATGATATCACCTAGTTTCAAGCACATAGCAACCAAGGATCTAACCATTGATTTTTCGTATATCAGATGTTATGGATTATCGGATACAAGGTGGCAAAATGACCCATCTAGATGGTGCCATCATGGAACGATTATGTCGAGGGTTGCTACTTTTCACGAGACAACATGAAGGATCACTACTTAAACAGAGACCAACGCAAGAAGCCGATCTAGCATTCGTATTATTCGGCGAATTCATTGAAGAAGTAGAAGAATTCAGACACGCCGTGTCTCAAACCCCAACAACAGATCTCATGCACTCCCTCAAAATTGATCGAAGATGTCAACCATGGTCAACACCCGAACAAAAGCAGGCTGCAGCAACAATTCTAGGTCTCCTGACGTCCCGATTCTCACAATTCCGTGATTGGCATGAACTAGTGCAGTCTGACGAACACGGGGATGTCGATGTCCTCATGAAGGAATACGAAGAGAAATTTAAACGCCCTACTATGCCAATGCCTAGCAAAGAAGACCTGTATCCACCACCCGCACTGTATTTCGACAAGAATGGTGAACGGCTTGCGGAAATGTATCGAACAGACATCAAGAATGGATTGTCGAGTAGTGTCATACCTGAATTTACAGCGTTTTATGGATCTAATATGTTGCCGCCACCGCCCAAGCCGTCGCCGTTGAAGATGCTGTGGGAGCAAGTATCGGATTTCATGATTGTTATCTTGGTTATTGCAGCTATTGCTGAAGGGGCTAGTGGTGATCCGAAGGGCATGGCGGTGCTACTTATTGTGGTTGTGATTAATGTCATTATTGGGTTTTCGCAAGAGTGGAAGGCTAATCAGGCGCTGGAGGCTCTTATGTCTCTTTCTGTTCCCAAGGTAATCGAGAAATCTGTTGGCCGCTTTTTTTGTCTTGTGCGAGTGTTGACATGGCCTAAACTCTCATTCCAGGCTTCTGTCATTCGTGATGGCAAACAGCAGGTCATCGACTCCAAGGAGCTCGTTCCTGGAGATGTTGTTGTACTTGACGAGGGTGAGTTAATTTGGATGTGATTTTTGGGTCTCTTTTTGCTCAACATTTACGTTGAAATAGGTGATGCAGTACCAGCCGATTTGAGACTAGTTGAAGTCTCTGGACTCGAATTGGTGGAATCTATTCTGACTGGTGAAAGTGTTCCAACAGTGAAATCAATTCGAACTATTCGACAAAGGGTATAATAGCACTTCGAACCTTCATTATTGTCAAGTCTCTAAAGATCCTGTATACGTCACGTCACATTAGACGCGGAAACTGCCACTTGGAGATTGCAAATCTAATGCTTTCATGGCTACAGTCGTCGCGAGAGGTCGCGGTAAAGGTATTGTAGTTAGAACTGGAGAACAAACTGAGGTTGGTTTCCTTGCAAAAAACCGCCTCAAAAGTCTGTATAATGCATGGAAGGCTAATGGTTTATCTCGCACTTAGATGGGGAAAATCAGCAAAGCTTTGACATCACAAAAGTCGCCTAAGACGCCAATTCAAATCAAATTGGCCAATCTTGGTAAATGGCTTGTCGTCTTGTCGGCTGTTCTTTGTATCTTGATTGTCATCATTGGATTGGCATACCGAAGGCCTGCTCTGGTTATGATTGAAGTTGGTATCAGGTAAGATTCGAGAAGCAAAAAATAAAATGGAATATTGACGAACGACTAACTCTCAATACACATAGTCTCGCTGTATCTGTCATTCCTGAAGGTTTGGTAGCAGTCGTAACTGTAACAATGGCGTTAGGTGTTCGTCGTATGGCAACACAAAATGCCATTGTACGTAAATTAGCATCTGTAGAAACTCTAGGATCAGTTACAGTCATTTGCTCCGACAAGACAGGAACTCTTACAGAGGGCAAGATGGGTACAGCTGAAATGTGGACGAGTGATAATTCATCGTTTATATTTACGCATTCGACCAGTCTTGATCCCTCCATTGGTGGTGCACAACGATATCCATGGACACCATTACCAGACATCCTATCAGATCCAAAAGGTCCTGGTAACTGGATTGCGCATACCAAAGATCAAGCTGTAGATGTACCTAAAGATGTTGCTAAAGCACCAGCACATCTAGTAGTTGCTTCGATGGTTGCTACTCTGTGTAATAATTCCCGAGTCAATTGGGACGAAGAGAACAAGAAATGGAAACCTATCGGTGATCCCACTGAAGTGGCTATGGTCGTAGCTGCTCAAAAATCTGGATTTCCGAGAGAGTGGTTTGAGGAAAAGATGAAGCTGGGTCGTGTTTGTGAGAATCCATTTGATTCTGATCGGAAGATTATGAGTGTGTTAGTTAAACGAGTTGATGAGGCTAGTAAAAGTAATGGTGACAGCAATGGTACATCGCATATGAATGGAAACGGTGCTGCTGTACCAGCAGAAGGTGATATAGTAGATCATGTTGCTGGTAAAGCCCCATCAGATGGTCAAACGCTTCCACCTGGTACTGCATTCGTGCTAGTAAAGGGTGCACCAGAAGCCGTACTTCATAAATGTGTCTCATATCTTCCATCCCCTGATCTAAACACTTCTGCAACATCACCACATGTATCCTTTGTTACGTTATTCGACCATGCCCAACCAGAACCATTATCAGATGCATTTGTAGATTATGTATCTGAAGCTAGCTCGAAAATGGCTGCTCGAGGGTTACGAGTGCTTGCACTGGCTTTGCGACAAGTGAATGAAGAGACAAGTAGTGCACTTGCAGTGTCGAAGAATCCGCAAGATTCTGAAAGAGAGTTGTGTTTTGTTGGGCTTATTGGGTTGATTGATCCTGCAAAGTGGGTATTCCTTTCTGGACTTCAGCTTTTTTTTGTTTAACCCTTCCTGTATTCTTTGACTTTTAGAGAGGGAGTCAAAGAGAGTGTCGCCAGTTGTAAGGCTGCTGGTATTCGAGTCATCATGATTACTGGTGATCATGTGGCCACGGCGGTATGAGCTGATGTTAGCTTTCAATTTTGTTGTGCTCCTCATCAAATATTTTGTGTCTTAGACTGCCATTGCCAAGCAATTAGGAATCATTGATCCAGAGAATCCCATTCTGGTATGTCGAATTTAATCACCAGATTTTTTTTGTTTCGCTTTGAGTGTCTGAACATCTACTTTGTAGAATCGAGCAATGAAAGGTTATGAAGTCGACCTGCTCTCTGAAGAGCAGTTGGGCGATCTTCGTCCATTCCCAGTAGTATTCGCTCGTGTCAGTCCTGATAACAAGCTCAAGATTGTAACTGCATTGCAAGCAATTGGTCAAGCTGTTTCCATGACTGGTGAGACCAGTGCAATCTCGAGCCGGAATGGTTTTTTTGGGCCAGTTTAACACAGTTTTTGTTGGGTAGGTGATGGTGTGAATGATGCTCCAGCCATCAAGAAGGCTGATGTAGGAGTTGCTATGGGCATTGGTGGAACAGAAATCACCAAGCAAGCAGCTGACATTGTTTTGGCTGATGATAACTTTTCCACCATTGTCGCTGCTGTTAAGGAAGGTCGACGAGTCTTTGATAATATCAAGAAGTTTATTGTGTACTTGCTGTCTTGTAACTCGGCTGAGATCTGGCTCTTCCTCATGTAAGGAATGGTTGTTTGGATTTACCATTTTTTTCTAATCCATGTTTTCTCATCCAACTATAGATGTGCTGTCATTGATGTAGATCTGCCATTCATAACGATCCAAATCCTGTACGCCAACATTATAGCAGATATTCCACCAGCCATGTCACTCGGTCTCGAACCACCAGAAACCGATATTATGGATCGACCACCTCGTCCACCAAACCAATCCGTCTTGACTCCAATATCAACCTTACTAGTACTATCGCAAGGCTTGATACAGTCTCTGCTGAGTTTTGGAGCATACATGTTGGCACGAGGAGGATATATACCGACTGATGAAAGTCTAATTAGTCAGAGATCTTTAGCCTTTGCTACATTAACTACTTTACAGCTGTGGCAGTCATTCTTGTCACGGTCTGTTGAAGCTAGTGTGTTTACGACGGGTGTAATAGGGAATAAGTGGATGATTGGAGCTTTCTTGCTGTCATTTTTGTGCTTGTTGCTTGGATTGTATTTGCCAGGTAAATATGTTTGTTTGAAAATGGGGATAGATATTGACGAGGTTGCAAGTTGAATGCAAGATTTCCGACAACAGCAAGAAAAAGCGCTTGTGATTCTCGTCACATACTTCAAAATTTCTAATTCGTACTTCCTCCTTGTTGTTTAGGTTTCTCGGATTGGCTTGAACTTGGAGACATTCATATAATCGGATGGGGTGTCTGTCTAGCTTGTGTGGTGATTCAAACTGTTTGTGTTGAATTGCTCAAACTATGGGCTAGAACAGCTTATGCTCGGGGATGGTTGCAGGAGATACGGTTCCCATGGTCAAAACGGAAGACGACGTCGTTTGTGAGGCCGTTTTGAGACGACGTGGTGTATGAACGGACATTGGTTAATGTAAAAATACAGTATCAGTATGGTATTCTCAACATTTTTTCGCATTAAGAGAACATTGATCATATACGCTTTGTTAGTGGTTCTATGCGATCTGTTAGTGGTTCATAGATTTTGCTGAAGACACTGATACAACTACTACTACAAACTACTACAACTGCCCATTTCTTTGGTACAGAAAGATCAAGCTTTTCCAGCTCTGGCAGCCCTTCTTCCTCTTCGTCATCGACATCATCAACTCCCAACTCCACAGCTTTTGGCGGTGGTACTATCTTATTGAATTCCCATACATCAACATCCACAGTTCTGACATTGAGTCAGGATGTTTGCCATAGAGTATCCGTCAAATATGTAGCGCGGGACGTATAGAGCTTTAGCTGATCGAGTTATATACTATGGAAGCGTTCCATCTTGAAACAGTTGTCGAGTGCCACTGTTCGTCCATAAGTTGGGCTAGGCAATCGGGCTAGGCAATCGTCGTCCACAACACTGGTAAGATTTTCGCAAATCCTTTGTTTACAAGAGCACACAAATCGCGTCTGTGAAATAGGTCTGCAATACAGATATGGAGTTCTGGCGACAAGGAAACAAATGTTGGAGGAGATACAGTTTGATTTTGAGGTGTTGATGTTGAGCTCTGCAAACAACGAAGCAAATTGTGGAGGAGAGGTGACCAGTTTCCCTGGATTCGACTGCATAATGAACGATCAACTCTGATGAAAACGAGATGGAGTCAACGAAATGTATAGGTTTGCAAGCTAGCCCTAAACATCACGACAAACCTGTTACGAAAAGAGGAGCTTTCAGTTTAGTCTCAAAGCGCATAGGGCGCAATGCTGGGTACCTAGACAGAGAGGGGTTTGTTCAGTCCGCATCGCTGCTGGTTCACGATTCACGGTTCAAGCACAAATGTTCAAATTGTGAATGGAGTCATCAGACAAAGATCTGACGTACAGAAGTCGACAGACATACTAAAATGCTCGTTGTATAGTTGTAGAGAACATTTCTGGGTCAAAACGCGTCGAAACACCTGCACTTTGAAGCAAGCGGGAGAATCTGTAATCGATTTAAAACCTTTCCGACTTTTTGGACGCGTTTGAAAGGCAGTTAGTGCTCCCAGAACGTGCCAATTGATATTATATGAAGATTTTATGAGGATGCAGTTCCTCGCCGCTGTGTTTTCAACGTCCAACTCTTCAACGCCGATAAGAATAAAATTGCAGCTCTAGGTTTTCTAACAAGTTCCAACGACTAACCGAGCAGGACTTCGCGTTGATTAATCTATATTCATAGACCACGCTTGATCCACGCAAACTCTTGCCTCAAAGCGACCACATGACCTCGAACCGCACACTCTCAACATAAAAACCACCCGACTAAGTATAGCACATTCAACAATGACTTCATATCAACCAGCTCAAGGCCCTCGTCCTGAAGGCGTCCGATATAGAGGCTTGTGAGTAGCCTTCAGTATCTTGAAACGAACCTAAACTGATCTAATACCACAATCCTAGTCACCATTTGACATTTTGGGTCGGTAACGCAAAACAAGCAGCGTCATACTACATTACTCGATGTATGTCCCTGCTCAATTGACTCCCAATCGGTCGACATCAAACCTCACGCACACTCACACTATCTATTTTTGGAAACAGTTGGCTTCGAATATGTGGGATATCGAGGTATGTCTCAAATATCCCAGATCTATAATCATTGGGGATCATTCATTCCTTATATCTTCCGTCTGGTTGATCAATAAATGGGCTTTTCGTCTCATACCGTCCTTTTGTATTCAGGTCTCGAAACAGGACACCGTGACGTTTGCTCTCATGTCGTGAAACAAGGAACCATATGCTTCATCTTCCAATCTCCACTGAATCCGGGAAACCAAACCTTTTCAGCCTTTGCAGGGTATGTTGCCGTTTGGATGTGTCCCGTGATTTGATGTGAATTTGGGAAATTCGAGGAATGGAGCGTCCATTCGTCGATAAGGTTTCAACTCGCTTGTTTAAAAGAAAAGAGCTTAATCCCTGGTTTCTTATAGCATGCACGGCGACGCGGTAAAGGACGTAGGATTCGTGGTCGACGACGCCAAAAGTGTATACCAGAAAGCTGTTGCTCGTGGAGCCAAATCTATTCGAGAACCTTGGGAAGAAAAGGACGACGATGGAACTGTGGTCTTTGCTTCTATAGCAACTTATGGAGATTGTGAACATACCTTTGTCGAAACCAAGAACTACAAAGGGACCTTCTTGCCCAACTACCGCCTTACCACTCAACCTGATCCTATATCTCTGCTTCTACCCCCTGTTGGTCTTGTACAATTGGATCATATTGTTGGGAACCAGCCGGATAATGAAATGATTTTGGCATGTGATTTCTATGAACGAGCTCTTGATTTCCATCGCTTTTGGTCTGTTGATGACTCGCAAATGCACACTGAATTTTCTGCCTTGAGGTAAATCGGTTGCGAATCATACGTTCAAGTGATCAATTCTGTACCTTCTTCTTTTTTGCCGATTGTTGACTCATATCATGGTCCTTTTCTCTCACAGGTCGATTGTCATGACAGACTATGACGAGACTGTAAAAATGCCAATCAATGAACCTGCAGCTGGAAAGAAAAAGTCTCAGATCCAAGAATATGTTGACTATCATGGTGGAGCAGGAGTACAGCATTTGGCTCTCAGGACTGAAGACATTATATCTGCAGTAACAGCATTACGTGCTCGTGGTGCTGATTTCTTGACCATCCCACCAGCCTAGTAAGAGAAGCCGTCCGCTTTTAGTCAACGTAGACTTACTGTGCGTATCATGAGGCTAACGCTCTTTCTCCATAGTTATGAGAACTTGACTGAAAGGCTCAAGCACTCTGCCGTAAAGGTCAAAGAAGATATGAACATCTTGAAAAAGTTACACATTCTTGTCGACTACGATGAGAACGGCTACCTTTTGCAGATCTTTACCAAGCCTGTAGAAGATAGGCCTACACTCTTCTTGGAAATCATACAACGAAACAACTTTACTGGCTTTGGAGCTGGTAATTTCAAAGGTAGGGTTGGCAGATTGTGCATTTTTTGGATTGTCGATCTGATCTCTAATACATAACAAATATAGCCCTCTTTGAAGCGCTTGAGATGGAACAGGATAGGCGTGGAAATCTATAGTGGTAGTAGAGTGTGTGGATGTAAAAACTGTTGCTAAAATATAGTGAAATTCTGACTGGTATTTGATATGGCCAGTGATGAGAGGACCAAGTCCTTTTGGCGTATAAACAGGCTTGCTAGTCGCAGAACAACGACATCTGCCAGGACATGGGCTTGGAAGTCATATGACCCAAGAATGGTGGTTGAACAATTCCAAGTAGTTTTCGTGACAGGCTGTTGATCTGATCAAACTGAGGAAAAAAGACACAGTAATCTCTCGAAATCAAACGTGTAAAACACTGTAACGAGAGTAATAAATGCCTATTGCTCGCAAATCTTAAATTCTGACTGTGCTTGTCATTTTAATACATTTCGAGCTTCGTGAGCAATCCGCGATGATGGCTAGCGATGAGAGATCGAAGCCTTTGCCACGTATAAGGAGGCTTGACGGTATGAAAGATATGTTATCTGCTCTTGTCTTGATGTATTGCTAAAATCATCGAAACTAGAGAACGTGGTGAATCGAATTGCAGCTGGCGAGGTGAGCTTAAGAAAAAGAGACTTGATAATTCGGTCTTATACATAGTTCAACACTGACTTTCATTGTAACATTACTAGATCATACAAAGACCAGCAAACGCCATCAAAGAATTACTCGAAAACTCATTGGACGCTGGCTCATCATCCATTACGATCACCATCAAAGAAGGTGGTCTGAAATTACTCCAAATACAAGATAACGGACATGGAATCTCGGTGGAAGATATGCCGATTGTTTGTGAACGCTTCACGACTTCCAAACTACGCCAGTTTAAAGATCTAGAGTCTATTGCTACGTATGGATTTCGTGGCGAAGCTTTGGCTAGTATTAGTCATGTTGCACATGTTATTATTACAACGAGGACTAGTGCTTCGCCTTGTGCTTATCGGTATGTTTGGAAGGAAGTTACCTTTATGGAATCTTTCCATTGAGACGTTTTTTTGGTCACATAGGGCAAGCTTCGCTGATGGAAAGCTAGTTGCTTCCAAGCCTGGTGCATCTGTTGATCCGAAGCCCGTTGCTGGAAATGTTGGAACGACTCTTACAGCAAGTACAACAAATCTACCCAATAGCAAAAAAGCGTCACTAAATGATATGCAATAGGTTGAAGATCTCTTCTTTAATATGGACGTCCGCCGTAAAGCAGTCAAGAACACGACTGAAGAATACAATCGGATCGTGGACGTCGTACAACGATATGCTATACATAATAGTGGAGTGAGCTTTACGTGCAAGAAGGTTGGTTAAAACTTGCGTTCCTTGGTGTCTGCTATGCTGCAAGAGTCATATTCCTTTTGTGCTTCATAGCATGGATCAAATACAGCCGATGTACATACAGCTTCAGGTGCCTCCACCATAGACAATATACGATACATGTATGGGGCTCAACTCGCTAAAGAATTGTTGGATTTCAAACATGAATCAGAAATATTGGAATTCACTGCTGAAGGATATGTATCGAACGCCAATTTCAATCAAAAGAAGATGGTGTTTTTGCTCTTTATCAATCGTAGGAGATTAGTGAGCTGCACGTTTACTCTTTTTTGCTGACATGATCAATTGTTTTCAGACCGACTCGTGGAATCATCCAACATTCGCAAAGCTCTTGAATCACTTTATGGCAAGTACCTGCCAAAGGGACAACATCCATTCGTGTATATGAGTTTGACTGTCAAGCCTCAGAATGTGGATGTGAATGTTCATCCTACCAAGCGTGAGGTATTACACCAAATTGCCAGTGCTTTTTTTGCATCATTCATTTTCCTGCAACATTTTTATTACAGGTTCACATTTTAAGAGAAGACAAGATTGTCGAGACTCTTTGTCAAGTGATAGAAGAACGTCTTGCTTCTGCTAGTTCATCAAGAACATATCATACTCAGGTATTTCCGCTGTTCTGATTCGTTGAGCAAACATAGCCAACTGACATATCATTGACTGTTAGACCCTTTTACCTGTTCCTGCCAAAAAGACGAAGCAACCTGACGAGCCTGAGCCAAAAAAAGGTATGGTACACCTCAGATGTTGCTCATCGCTGGTTGTCTCAAACGTCCTCAAACTCCATCATAGCTGCATTCAAAACTCCAGCAAACAAGATGGTTCGCACAGACAGCAAAACGAGAACATTGGATGCTTACCTGAGTGCTGCCAAAGATTCTCCAAATACTACAACCAACAACATCAAGAAGAGGACAAGAGACGACGATTTTGAGAATGAAGAAAGTAGGAATAGCAGAGAGAGTACACTTGAGGATGGTCGTATGGAAACTGATGATGACTTTCAGGCTCCTGAGTAAGTCATACTACTATCGTTCTTTCCGTTTTTTCGCAAATCAGTGAATGTGAAGGAAGCCCAACACTGTGCATATGATAGGGACAAAGCTCCAAGTGTCAAGACTAAACGACCGTATACTGAGGTTCGACTGACAAGTATATTGTCGTTACGAGAGGAAGTAAAGAAGACGTCTCATCAAGGTAAACCTTGTCCGTTATCGAACTGTGAATCATTGCGGTTTGGAAGTTATGTTCCTGTCGAAAGCTTTGCTTCTCATCGTCTTCGGATAGGTCTGACTGACCTCTTTCGTAATTACACATACGTTGGTCGTGTTGATGAAGCCAGAGCTCTTTTTCAACATCAAACGGCTTTATTCATGGTCAACTTTCAAGAAGCTAGGTATAATGGAGGAGCAAAAATTCCACTCCAAAAGTCGTAACCTAAAATACTTTTTGTTTCACTCAGCTAACATTGCCCTCCGCTTGTAGCTGTGAATTATTCTATCAATTGGTCTTGAGAGTCTTTTCCAATTTCGGATTTATGCACTTGGCAACTCGACTGTCTATACATGACATGGTCATGATTGGACTTGATGAGGAAGAGCGGATTGGTCAATTCTTGGAAGAGAATGATATCACAAAGGACGAAATAGCAAATGTACGGATGATGACATTCCCATGGAGTGTTTATTGTCGGTTACCCATATGCTCTCATTCATCAACTCGCACCTCTTGTGCCTACTTAGAAAATCGTGGAGACTCTAGTAGATCGTCGTCAAATGCTGCTTGAATATTTTTCAATCAAGATATCAGAGGATGGTGAATTGCTTGCTTTGCCGGCCATTCTGAAAGGCTATACACCGAATCTGGACAAGCTGCCGTTATTCTTTGTCAGGTGCCAAAGTGAGGTAAGCCTTTGCGAGAGAAGGAGAGAGTAGCGTATTCAAGTTGGTGAATCAAATGGTATTGATAGGCGACCTGAATGGGACTGGTCTGACAGCGGTTTTATTGCTGCTCGTAGGTGAATTGGACTTCTGAAAAAGAATGCTTTCAATCCATAGCTCGAGAATTGTCATTGTTATATGCTGTTGAAGCTGTAGCAAAGCCACGATCTAACAATAGCACGCAAAATAATAAGACTCAAGGAAACAGCAGAAATGACGACCACGACGTGAATATGGATTCTGCAGCAGATGATGTAGAATCGGTGAAGGAAACGGAAGAAAGCAATGCAGAACGAGACTCACATCAATGGATGATTGAACATGTTTTATTCCCAGCCTTCCGTAATTACTTTCAAGCACCCAAGTCGTTTGTCGATAATGGAGTGATTGTGAGGTTGGCTACATTACCTGATCTGTATCGAGTCTTTGAGAGGTGCTAAGAGTGAGGACAATGGCAAGTGTGGAGGTGGAGTTGTATGTATGTAGTTGAATTGCTTTGTAAATATTTCGCGAAATGTATATAGGATTTGCCTTCATTAAACATTAAGTCGGATCTAAGAAAATCACTGTTTTTAGAAGCGAAATAAGTACAAACAAGGGGTAGAGTGGTATTTCAAGAGGCCTTTAGGTTTAAGACTAGGTGGTTTATTAAGATGGGATTCCATGGGATCTTAGGCGATTCGTTAGATCGTCAATCCTCTTGTCTTTTAGGGTCAGTAGCTGTTCCATCTTTTGGACTTTGAGTTGCAGGATCTAAAGATTGAAGATGATCAGAACATGACATCAAGCATCGAGCACGACCAAAAAAGAGTCCTGTAGCTGATCTCTGGATAAACTCACCTGAATAGTATCTTGCAATTCACCAATAACAACTGCATCCGACTTAACCGGTGCTGCTGGATGGCCTCTAGCATTTCCATATGCAGGAGGATGCGCTAGCGGCATTGGTGGTGGAGCGTGATGTGCAACAGGACTAACGTGCTGCTGCTGTTGTGGTGGGTACCCATAGTTACTCATCGCTGGTCGAGCTTGCATCTGCTGTGGCTGCTGCTGTGGTATCTGTTGCTGCATGGGCAGAGCAGGTGGATAGGCATACACGAAGTGAGGCGACATTGGACCACCTGGACCTCCACCCATCATTGGATTCATATATCCCCCACCAGCATTGGCAACCATGCCAGGCATCCCCATCATCATTCCCATGTTTGGGTCGCCTTTCGTTCGGGTCTGTTGAGCAGCGTATAGCTCAATTTTGCTTCGTAGTTCGTTTAAAATCCATTCTGCATATCCCGGTTTGTTGTTTATGATTCCCTGGATTGCGTCGTCGGATGCTAGGTAGCCTAGTTTGCGTAGGACTTTCTGGTTTAGAGTGTTCCAGTTGTATAGTTTTTGGGTGAGGGCGTTTGCTGGAGAATAGTTGTGCAGTTCGACTAGTTTTGGGAAGAAGTGGTGCACGACTTCTGCGGCGGCGACTAGAATAAATAACATATTTGTGAGATATGTATGACATGTGGCTGAGAGACGCGTTAGATCAAGTCATTTTGATGGACAACATACCACCATCAGAAAAATCACGGGTTAGATTTCTCTTTGGACGGGATAGAGGAATGGTATCAATCCATGCATATAAATTCTGCAATTCTTCTTCGGTTAAGGCCTGCATCGTGATCTAGGAGAGTCTATCTCAAGTGTCGTCAAAGTGCTCGTTTGGCGAAAGAGTGGTTTCCTGCCCAAACCGAGGGTTGTTGCGCAGCATGCAAGCACAGCGCGATGGCCATTTGAGTTCCGTTTTGGCGCATTTTGCCTTGAGATTCACTTGATTGTTTGTTTATTGGGCATTGGGTGTTGAGAGCGTACTTTCGTGGTTTATGCTGAAAATTGTCCATTGTACGTGATTTCGAGTATCGTATGGTCGTCTTGCAACGGATGAAATCATAAATAAAGAGAATGTCTCCATGATTTTGTATTCTTGCCATGAAGATCTTGCTCCCAATAGAAGCTAATTCCTGTTTTGCTTCCAAGTTGGTGACGTTTTCCAATCGAATCGACCATAGAAAACTCAAATTGAGATTCTTGATGCGTTCTATTATTTTGTCATATGCCAATACTAAGTTCACTCGTAAAGGCACGCTGTAAAAAAAGCTTTCTGGATTGCTGTTTGTCTCGACCAATGAGAACGTTTGGCTTATGTCACCATGTCACCTACTCCAACAAACATCCCACATTGCAAATCGCACGAGGCAACGCAAAAAGTCACAATAAAGACCTAGAAAAGAGGCTTAGTAAAGCCTCGTAAAAAGGGAGCCGACATTCCTCGCACAATTCCTCCTTTTCCGCTACAGATAGATCTCAAAAAATGGGTTTAACCTCGACCACATCACCAACAACAAAAACCCTCAATAATACCAACGATGCCTCATCACTACCCATAATATTTATTCTACTAGGAGAGATCTTTTCAAGGCACCCAACCAAATTTGCCGCGACACAGTTCTGCTTATTCTCGCTGGGATTTGCATTCAGTGTCGTTGTCGACCATCTACAAAAGGAACACGATGTCACCCGCTACCCTGCAGACTCGACGCTGCTATTATCTACTGCTAGCTGGATACCGTTTACGTGTGGGATTGCTGCTTGTGGTGTCGGGACGCTGTATCCGTGGATGGACGTCTGGTGTACTGGCAAACCGCACGTGGTCAAGCAGGAATGGAGTAGTGTGCTGCGATGCTGTGGTGGATTCATCGGTGTGAACTATGCTGCATCGGTATGTTTGTCGTCTTTGTTGGTTTGTGTGTGTGTGGCTCAAGAAGAAGCCCATGTGATAGTGGTGTTCAACACCATATTCGATCAATCGAATGCGCTCAGTCTGTGTTTGTCGCACTCACTCACTAATATTCAACTCACTTCCCAAACACAGAAACTACCATGGACATCATCAGCCCAAGTCAGCATCACACTAGCACTTCTAGCTCTAGGCCTCTGGTTTATATTCGATCGAACGCTCCACGGCTTCTTCTTCTCTCTAGTTATATCCGTAGTAGGTACCATCATAGTACAGCTATTCGTCGCCCACGGAGTCTACTCTTATACCCGAGCAGACTTCTTTGGAGTTCGTTCGTGGTTTCCCTGCGTATTGTACGCCTCGTGTATATGCTTTGGGAGCATCGGTCGGCAACTGTCTGTGGTGCCGGATATACAGTATCTGATAAAGAAGCTAGGGGCGGGATCTAAATTGGAATGAACGCAGGCCGTGATTATTTAGTATAAGGATTCATTACCAACTTTGGATAGTTATGGAGGATTTATGATGGGATGATGATGACAACGGTGAATTTAATCTATGAAAAAACAAAACAAAAACTCTGCCACTTTATAATGTAGAACGAACATCACAACTGGTGCCAAATTTAAACTTCTGTCACATAATGCTCTTTTGTATCAAGTTTCAATTAAGATTTTTAAATCATACAATATTTGGTCTTGGTATTGAGTTGCAAGCTCGGTAGAAGATGTCACAATCGTACCATAATACAGTTGGACAGGCTATGCACCTTCAGTCTTGTATACACCTCACTCTTCGTTGTTCTTCTTCAATCCCTTGACACTTGTCGATAATCTCGACAGAGGTAGCCGATCAATCAAAGTTGGTCGGTGAGATGGGCGCGGATGAACAAACTTGTCTTGTAAGATCACTTCTTCGCAAGACTTGGTGCTTGCAGTGACGACCAGCCTAAAAAAGCGATAACAGTATATCAAACCATGGCTTCTTGCAGCTGATCAACTCACGTTGAAATTCAAAGTGTTTTTAATACAATTGCATAGCATGTACAGCTTGGTGGAGGGCGTTGAACCTGCCGTGGGAGATTCTGAATCTAAAAACATGGAAAAGTCATACACACAGAGAATGCCAAAGACGCAAGCTCGAAATGACGGTAGGCCATTGAGCTTGGGCCGAAATTTAGCAACCATAACCGTTAACTTGCATCACATAGTTCAAGCTCGATTAACATTTCATATCGTATTATATTAGTGAAACTTGTCCCTTGCTTCAAACTGTTACAAAACAACTTGCAGAAAAACTTGCTTGTCAACACTTGACTTGAAAGAATGTTTACGGTGCACGTCCCAGTGAAAATCCGAAATTTGAGCTACCATTCACCTTCATTTCACTACCATCAAGAACCACGATAGTTGGACGAGATGGGAATTTAGGTAGGATTGAAAGAGATGTCGAGGCTTGAGGTAGAGCAGGGATGTTTGCAGGTGCGGTTTGTTCAAGTCCGAATACCTATGCAAGAGAGATGATGAGTATAACCTTTGGAGGCATGATCTCGTCAACGAAGTTTTTTTTCACCTCTGCTCGTCGTCTTTCTTCTTCAATAACTTCGCGCTTGTCGATAATCTCCACAAAGGGTAGTCGAGCAATCAGCGCTAATCGATGAGATGGGCGTCGGAGGACTGGATTGCCTTGTAAGATGACTTCCCGCAAACTTGGTGCTTGAAGTTTCTGGTGACGATGAAAGAAAAAGTAAGAAAAGGAGAGCCACACAGAATGGAGTTACAACAGCTTATCAACTCACATCGAAATCCAATGTATCCTGAATACGATTACATCCAACATTCAACACTTTGAGGAAGGGCAGATTTTCAAAGTTTTGCAGCGTTCGTAATCTGTTTTCTCTAGTGACGCAATGAAACAACGAAAAATGTCAATGATATGCCACCTATGTCAGTAACAACTAAGCATCTTACTTGACATTTAAATATTTCAATGAAGAGCAACCAATAAAAGCATCATTAATAACATGACGAATCTGATTGCTCTCCATATTCAGTTCCACCAAATTGGGTAGTCGTTCTAATCCATCAATCTACGCAAAAAACTTGTCAATCGCTATTATCAAGTATGCACTAAACTGCTTCAAACTACCTTGGTAATCCGATTACACTGCAAGGTCAAAATTCTCAACCCAACAATTCTCCTCAACCCCAAATCCGAAATAGCATTAACAATATTATTCGAAAGATGCAGCTCTTCCAGAGCCGGCCACACATTACTGCCCCACTGTGCATCTGAACTACTAGCAGACATCCACGTATCGTCCACAAGAGCACCAGGCGGATCAGTTGAAAACAAACGATCAATTCGATTTTGTGCCAAATTCAGGACTCGTAATGAGGGCAGAGATCGTAAAGCATCAGCATTGACTAGGTAGTTGCCTTCCAAATTCAAGCGTCGTAGTGACCGGAATTCGTTGGCAGGAGAACGTAAGAAGCATTCAACGTCTTTGAGACGACAGTTGGGAAGGTCTAGTTCGGCCAGTGATTTAAAGGGCACGTTCCGGCCTACACGCTCGGCTAGTAGTTCACATGTGAGACGGCCTTGGTGGGCTTCACGTGCTGCTGAAGCTTCTACGGGTGTTATGGTGCTTCCGTCCAAGATTTTGAGGCGTGGGAGGTGGAAGATTGAGAAGAGACGGTAGCCGGATTGTAAGGCGGCTGCATTTCCAGCTAAATCCAATACAATTAGACGTGGTAGTTCTTTGAGTGGGAAGACATTGTGTAAATCTTCCACATCATTGTTTGCTACGTCTAAATTTGAAAAGTCGGTAAATTTGTTAGAAATGGGGAAAAGAGCAAAAAACACAATTTATTCCAATCCATGATTCACATCTTGTACTCACATAACTCCAACAATGACGACATGGTAGCAACCGTCTTAAAATCCTTCAAACGATTACACTCCAAACCCATAAACGACACAGTCTTCCACCCAGAGGCATCCAAACTAGCAATCTGATTACACCCAGCTTCCAATCTCGATAGTCGTGGCAGTGCAGCTAAGCAATCAATAGATTGAATAGCATTGCCATGTACACAGACTTCTTCTAATGCAGTAAATGAAGCTAATTTGGCAATGTTGGTCAATCCATTCTTTCGTAGTGATAACCAGCGCAAGTTGGCTTGCAGTCCTGTGGGAAGTAGTGATAAATCTACTAGATTGACGTGATCCAATTCGAGGATAGTGATGGTATCGATCCGTAAGGTTGCTGAAGAGTTGAGCTTCGAATTGGAGAGAGTGTTGGTTGTCTGAGCTTGGAGTCTTGAGGAAGCACCAGGTCCGGAAATGGTTCGAATGGATAACGGTCTGAATAGACAAGCTTGTGGTGACGCATGTGTGCTCAATAGGGCGACTGGGTTTGAGCGAATGATCTGTGAAGCATGAGGAGGAAATAGAATGAGTTGAGATCTAACAGCAAAAAACGACACTATTGACTTCTATAATACTGCTTACTCGCTCTTCAGCATCCACAACTCTGTTATTTAGGCATTGTAGAGCACTAATACCCGAGATCAACCAACTCTCAAGTCCAGGCAAATTGCACACAGGATTAAATCTCACATCAAGATCCATTAAGGTCTCACAATCCTTCAGTTCAACGACCGATTCAATAGATGCAAACTTGTTTGCACAAGCATCTAATCTTGTCAATTTAGATAGTGCCCTGATACCATTCAAAGATGACAATATGTTGAATGAGATATCAAGACTTTCCAATGAGGGAAGCAAGGTTAAATCAGCTGGGATTCGTGCTATTGCACAATGAGATATAGAGAGAGATCGCAAATGGATGAGATGTGATATCGAGTCACCGAAACGAGGTGGTATTGATGATGTGGCAATGTTTAGGTGGGTTGCTGAGGTGGGGAGACGTCTTAATGTGTCCTGGAAAAAGTGCCGTGTGAGTACAAGACAAAACAGCCACGAATATAGCTGACCAATTTTTCTAACACGTACATTATCCATTCTCATCGGCGTATTAACAACAGATCGTTCAGCAACATCAACCTCTGGGTGTGATTCAATCTTGACATCATCCATCATCAGATCTGGAGGTGATTGAATACGACGCAGACTGGGTGGTTCCGACAATGCCAGTTTCGAAGATGAAGCAATAGCTCGAATATGACCTTCCAAAGCCTCATATTCATTCACATGCAAACCACTTCCAGTTGAGAATTCAACCAGATAAACAGGCAAAACTAAATCCAAATCTGTAAACACAAATCCTCGTTGTGGTGGTAGACTGGACGATGCTGGTGGTTTGGCAACGTTGGGTACATCGTAGTAGTAGCAAGAAACATTCGATGATGATTCTTGGTGCTTTTGTAATAGAGATTGGACATGAGAAGGGGAAGTCCAGACCATGTTTTCGACAGTTGTTTGGATGAGACAGCAGTATCGAATTCCATTATTGGAATTTAGAGTTGGCTGAAGAAAGTTTGTGATTGGGTCGGTCATCAAGTCTGATTTTGATTTGAAGGATAGACCTTCTTCGGCCAAATCAAAGACTTGGGAATCTGTTATTTCGAGGCAGAGATGCATGGGTTCTGCTGTATTCAGTTTGCCTGACATTTTCGCCTAATTTTGGAAATGTATGTCATTTTTGTTTTCAGGCAAAAAATATGGAGTTCTGTAAAAATCTTGTGTACCTTATGACGAGCCTGAACTGCTCGATTATGTACTTTAATGAAGCGATTGATATGAAGAGGTGCTGACTCACTGCCACGACCAATAGCCAGAAACTTTTTGATCAATCCAGAAGCACGTTCCACATCATCAGCACAGCCAGACACATCTTCAAATCTGACATTCCCACCCATTTCCAATTCAATTTGGGATCTCTTGACTAGATGATCTGCTTGGAACGATACAAAATCCAGACACCGCTGACGAGCCTCTTTCGCTTCTTGTATCTGCTTTGAAGCCTTTTGTATCAGAGATTCCAGTTGTCGACATCCAGCAGTCAAGACGATATGGAGCGGTGAAGACGTTCCAGGTCTAGACAACACCACGTTGTCCCATTTCAAATCGTCTAGATGCCTCAACAGACATTTCTTGCGATATAACTGTCGTTGCAATATAGATTCTTTGGCTCGAATTGTTGGTGCATAAACATCTTCAGTGGCCGCATGTAGTATAGCAGTGTTCCTTCGAATGGTTTGGGCACACATATTGTAAAACATGCGTTTCTTTAGTACCGTTGCTGCTACTGCTTTACGAGCCTCAGCGGTTATGCGATGTGAATCCAGACGAAGAATATTTGGAAAGTGGTAAAGAATGTTGGTTTGGTAGTTACATAATGTGCAGACTGGGTTTTCTGCATAGTTTGGATCGGCTAGTGCTAAAGATGTCAAGGATGGGAGATGTACGAGATTCAAGATTTCGGGGAAGGACTGTAATCTGTTTCCTGCTAGGTTCAGTTGCTAACGAAAAGAAAACATTTGTTACCTTGCACAGAATCAACACGAATTGTTGCTGAATAATTTGTTACCTGAAGATTCACATTGCCATCTAGCGAATGACCAATATGACGAATCAAGTTACCGCTCAGCTGAAGCTCTTTGAGATTTACCAAAGAATCCAAATTCTCAATCGTTGTGATTTCTAAATTGGTTATGTTTGAGCCTTTTGAATGATACGTCGTAAAGAAGGCCTACAGACATACTGTTGTCTGACAACCACAAAGTTTGCAGTTTGACTAACGAATCCAACCCTTCAATCTTCTTGATTTGATTCTCGTATCTACATGCCAAAACGAGTCAACGCCAAAGCGACAAAAAAGCCATTACCCTTTCAAATAGTATGAACTCACAGAAACAGCCGTTCAAGCTTCACACAACGATCAAGTCCAGAAATCCTAGATACTGGAGTCTCACAAATCCATAAACTCTGCAAGTTGGACAGTGAGTCCAGGCCATTAATTTCCTCGATATCTTGAGTCATTAAACACAAGGACGTGAGATTCCAGAAATGTTCGAGTCCTCGAATATGCGAGAAATTAAAATGAGCCATTTCTAGGGACTGTATGGAAGGAACTCGATGGACGAAATCCGATTCAGAGATTCCATTGTTGGAGGACTATGATTGAAGGAGTGTTAGTGTATGAGCGATCAGTGCGAAGAAGGGCTCAAATGAAACCAAAACGAGATCAAAGCGAATGGATACCAATAGTGAAACGTCCTGATCGTTGCGGAAGATCCATTCAGGCGTCCTTGTGTGTTTCTTGAGCTCGACATTAGAGTGTGTTGTCGAGATTGCCGATGCGCCATGGGGAGGCTTGGAGACCACAGTCTCTCTCATTTTCTGCTCCAAGCTGACCAGAATGATTAAAACGTGAAAAATCGACGTGAGTGAAGACCGTCTGCCAACGCTTGTGCCGGAGATTGGTACCAGAAATACCCCTTGAACTGAGTCGAGAAAAACGTGATATTACCTAGCCAAAGCGATTCGAATATATGGAGATCCAGCTATAAATTCTCTCCGGTATTGCGTCGCTATGGTGCTGTCTGTTGTTTAATACAAGCTGCTGGACTTTGTACGTCTTCGCACAGCAAAACAAACTTTGGAGGCTGACGAAAGAGTTTATTTGAGATAGATAGCACACTTTATATTAGCTAGGATGGCTGACGATTCCAAGCAGACCGTATTGGAGCAGGCATCAGCTTCATTAAAGAGGCCAAACGATGACAATAGCAACAATAGTGACGACCCGGCTGTGAAGACTGAAGAAGCACCAATAGAAGGACAACCTCCTAGAAAGCGGGTCGCTCTAGATACTTCTCAACCTGCCTCTCCATCAGACCCACTACCAGACGCCAATGATAACGAAAATCAACCAACATTTGAAGCTATTGATACGTACGATAGGCCTCAGGCTCCACGTCATCCGACCCAAGAAGACGGCCAAGAATCAGATGACGATGGCATGGATTTAGATGATAATGATACTTCTACCAAAAAGGACCCAGATGATATAGACTTTATTACTTCGACCTCACCTACTCATCATGCTCCTGGCAGTACTACTAATACTCTCAAACCACATACGCCGGCTATATACACCCCAAGTGCTGCTCAAACTCCTACTGCTGCTGATGGTGGTAATACTCCTTCTTGGGGTCAACCTCCCAGAAAGCCTGACATTACTCAACGACCTGCCAGGCACGAGCTACGCAAGTTTGTAGGCACTTCTCCCATAGATGATTATGAAATATCTAATACTGTTGGAGAGGGTACATTTGGGTATGCGTTTTGTCGAGCTTGTAAAAACCATACTGTCGACCTGACTCTCTTTTTTCTCTGCAGTCTGGTCACAGTGGGTAAAAATAAGATTACTGGAACAATCGTTGCATTGAAGAAGATTAGTATGAAGAATGAAAAAGAAGGGGTAAGTGCCTGAGCTGTACGACAAAAAACTATAGATAGATCACTGAATGTACATGGTATCGACCACTACTTCCCTCTCATAGCTTCCAGTTACAGCTCTACGAGAAATCAAGATCCTCAAGATGATGAGTCACCCGAATGTGATCCAGCTTCTAGAGATTGCAACCAAGAAAGGTAAGTGTTCTAAGGAACACCCATGCCCTCCGATTCGTACGTTGTCGCATGGCTCACTTTTTTTGCTTCCAATTACAGCTGATAAGAACAAGAGCGTGAGAGGAGAAGTGTATATGGTGTTTCCCTACATGGATCATGATTTGAGTGGTATCATCGAAAGTGACAATATCAAGCTCACTCCCAGTCATATCAAGAGTTACATGAAGCAATTATTGGAAGGCACTGCATACTTGCATCAGGTAAGAGAGAAATCAGTGATTGTCTGTAGTGAGGTGTAATATGAGTCGTTAACTAAACCATACTGTCTATTAGGTCAGGTTGATTCATCGAGACATGAAGAGTAGGTATTGTCTCCTGTGGCCATCATTCTTTTTTTGTTCGCTGACAGCTCTTCTCAAACAGCTGCCAACATCTTGATTGACAATCATGGAAACTTGAGACTAGCAGATTTTGGATTAGCTCGAACGTATAATCCTGATGAAAAGAAGAGAAGATATACGAATATGGTTGTTACTCGATGGTATCGCCCTCCAGAACTGATCTTGGGAGATACCAAGTATGGTCCATCTGTTGATATGTGGGGTATAGGGTAAGACAATCACTCATATTACGACAGCAATGTCCTCGTTTTCATCTTCGATGTCTCATTGCTTTGCCGTCGCGACCATTTGCATACCGTTTAAAGATGTTTAGAGAATACATCCACTGATTATTATCTACCTTCCAGCTGTGTTTTCGGAGAAATGCTGCGAAGGCAACCTATACTACCAGGAGGAGGTGGCAAAGATGAAGAGACAGCATCCGTTGATCAGTTGAAGAGAATCTTCTCAATGCGAGGCATACCAACAGTCGAAACATGGCCAGATTGGGATAAATTACCAAAATGGGCCAGTTTTGGAGCTCAATTCAAGGAACAATATAGGCCCCAAGATCTCGCCAAACAATTTGAAAAGGATTGCCGTGGCGCACGTATAGATATAGATGAAAGTGGGTTGTCACTGTTGGCTGGTCTATTGATATTGAATCCAAGAAACCGGTTGACAGCAGACAAGGCATTATTAGCACCATATTTCACACTACGACCATATGCTGCTCGACCAGGAACATCAGATTTCCCACAATGGGAACCTTCTCATGAATTGGATGCGAGGAAACGACGTGAAGCTGGTGGTGGGCATCGACCGCCAGCAGCAGCTCAGCCGCAAGCTGGATTCTCGCAAGCTGCTCATCGAAGGCCAGATCAATTTAATCGTCCTCGATAAATGAATAAAAAAATTGTATCAATGTATAGCAAGGCAAAGTAGCAAACGAAAAATAACAGAATTGCATTATTTTACCACTTTGAACAGCAACGCGGTAGAGTGGGCAAGTGTCGCTTAAACGCATAAACGAGATAGCCAAATTGAATACTTTACTTTTGGTTTTATATTAACAGCAATGGAAAAAAGAGACAAGATTTTACGAGGTACACACAAAACAACAACACGACAAAGGATAAAATGTTTGCTAGGATAATAAGCAACAACGAGAGCACACCGACAAGACTTGATCAATATATGGATTTCTTTACATTTCTTCTTCTTTTCCTCCAAAGGTAGATTCACCAGCGTACACGACATAGAGGAAGCCATCTGCGTCTTTGTGGTCCTGATATACGTGGCTCAACTCTGCTGATACAGGTGGTAGTACATTCTATGCGAGGGTTGTTAAAATCGGTATTAAACAGATGACACCACCGAGTAACAACAATACATACCTTCACATACAAAAAGAGGGCTGTATCGGCATTCAATCTAAGGCCGAGCGATTCAATGTCAGCTTTGTACACTTATACCGAACGATCCAACATCAGCTCTTCACATGGATGCATGTCAAAACCAACGTAGTGGCACAGTACAGAAATACATACTTGAGTCGTTTACGAAGTACAGCTTGGAATTGGCCAACAGTGATTTCACCAGGACACAAGAACTTTCGTTTATCCAAGTCGGCGAGGGGAGATGATGATCGTGCTGATGATTTTTCGACAATGATTGGGATTCGGGATGGATAGGAAGCGAGTATACGGTTTGCTTCTGATTGTCGCTTTTCTGTAAATAGATAGATCGAGAGGGTCAGTATGTATTGTAGGTTGGTGCTGTTATCAGCAATCAAATGATCTCCTTTTTTCCTGATGACGAGTTGTCAAATGGCGAGATGACACAATAGAGAGTTGGGAGAGCAGGTACATACCAAATGGATGTTCAGCGACGAAAGAGTACTGTGAGCCCTTCTTCTTGGCGATAGCTGAATCCATGGTCAGTTGTGTGGGTGACTTGACTCCTTTTATAGATTAGGCTCGTTGAGACTGTATTGGTCAGTGCTATATGAACAGGAAGGGTCAGAATGAGTGTAGCTGTATACGACCAGTACAGCAACCGCTCCACCTACCTTGAGTTTGTTTGTTGCCAGCCTCTCTTTCTACGCCGTTCGATTGTGGTATTAGTCAATCACGGGACAAAGATTGCGTTTGTAAGAGGAGGCGAGAACGTGACAGACAAATAGAGTGCAGATTTTTGTAGAATCGTTTTGGATATCCCGATACCCGAAACGTCTGCTTATTTCTAGTCCGTGAATGTAGTAAGAAGCCACGTGGAGGTCAAGAGCAGGCGTAAGTGTTGCTCCAGGCGTCAGAGAAGCCAACGATGCGAACTCGCCAACTGTGTAATTGTACATTCGAGTGACATAAAAAGGATTTGCTATTGGGATCTATAAAGCCTCTCGGTCAACTTGTGGTGCAGCCTTGATTTTGTAGTTGGTAAGTTTTGAACATTGATTCGTAGCCTTGATCGTACATTCATGACTGCCAGAATGAACCGTCGTGAAATGCCGTGTATCCCAGAACTTTTGAACTCGAAGATCCAACGTTCGCTTCAATGTCCGTCTATCTCCGTTCTTGGCAAGAAGCACGAATTACGCAAGGGACATTGGGGTAGTCTAGAATGGATGGTATAATGTAGGTAGGTTTCGGATACATGCTCATAGGTAAGCGATTCTCCACTGCAATTCTGTGTAGAACAACGCAGGTACTCAACACTTCGCCAACAAAGTTTTTTGCAGAAAATGGAACCTCTGCTCGAAACTCAAGAGTCCAAAGTTATTGACCCTGCTTGGAAGAGATTTGGTCCAGCAACTTTAGCAATTGCCGCTCTATCTTTTACCATGGTGATTGTGCTTCTTGGAGTCAACGTGTACTGGACATCTGAAGAAGCATTCATACCAATCTTGGACGCTGATCCGATAATCACCACCTTGCCATTCCATCCGTTTACTAATACTTCGACTGAATCGCATTCGTTTGAGTTGGCTTTACGTTGGGTGTCGTGCACCGAGGGGTTTATAGAGATAGAACAGCGGAATTGCACTGAAGCTGGTAATATTGCGCTATCACAAAATCCTGTAATCCAACAGGAGCTGTATGATTATGGGCCTGATGCTTTCTATCTGCTACTCACCAGAGCTGAACGCAGTGCATGGGTGAAAACGAGACGTAAATCCAACTGTAGTCAACAACTCCCGTTTACGGTACTAGATTCCTCTGTCTCGTCACCTGTCACAATGACACTATACCACCAGTATCAGAACTATAACGATATCACGGATGTAAATGTAAAAGGAACCATGTTGATTAATTCAGTGATCGTAAAAGACATGGCTGTAGAATTCCCAAAGTCGTGTCCTCCTCCCGTTTCCGGTGCTTTATCTGCTGGCAGTTGGGTAAGAAACAATGGAACTAGAAGACGGGAGTATATCTGGAAGATGAATGACCGTGAAATTGATACCGCTGTAATGATGTTTGATAGACAGGATAAAACACTACATCCATGTTTAGTAGAAGGACCAGGTCGGCCTACTGTAAATATTACCATAGTGGGAGACTCCCATATGCGAGTGTCCACGTCAGAGCTATTAGCTAGATTGAATGGAGTCATAGATAGAGATTACAAGGAAAGTATGTCAATATATGGTGCCTACACAGATTGGAAGGCATCGCCCCCTTTGGATACCAAGGTCATCAAGGTCGGAAGGCTGTGGATCCGACTAATAGGCGACGCACGGCTTGTAGATGATTTCGCATGGACGGAAAACAATACTGTTACCATGACGTCCGATATAATTGTTTTCTCGTACGGTCAATGGGTCATTCGTGATTTGAATCATGGGTATGACGCTATCTCGGGACATTGGCCTACTCAGCAGTATCTCAATCGGTTGAGGAATTACGCGGAAAGTCTCGCAACGTATAGGACGGCTAGGAGTGAGACTGGAAGGGAGTTGAGAGTGTTTTTTCAGACAATGCCGGCGTATAAGCAGGACAATGGGACGAGAGTCAAGTTTGCTGAAGTGCAGGATATGAGGACGCATCGGAGGATGCAGTATCGAGTCGACAAGAGTATAGAGATGGTATGTTTGGACACTTTGACCAACGATTGAATTCAATTGATTGAATTGAACTAGTGTGTGCTAGTTGTTTGGACACTTGTCTGCTCGCAATCGTCTTGAATGGTGCTAAACCGATTCCAAATATTTAGATGTCGGAATTCAACATTACGGTGTTTGATTACTTTAAGTATACCCTCGCCTGGATTGACAAGTCTCCAGATAATCTGCATTATCCATTAACTGATGCTACAGCTGCACTAATTGATGAATGGCTGTATCGTTTTCAGCTGTGCAGCCCATAAACCATGAATCTCTCGCGTCATTGTATATAAATTCACGTAGAAATTAGAAATAATTTACTTAACAGGATACTGATGCTGAAAGTTCAGCACTTGTGTTTTTCATTCAGTGAACCATTGCCTGTTCCTCGGTGACCTTGACAGGATCTGAGACTTACAAAGTAAGTCGCTCTTTTTTGCCGTCTCATTTAACTGATCCCGCATTGAAATTGCTCTTGTACAAATGGTTCTTTCGTGTATCTGCAATTAAAGAATTGCACTAACTAAAACAAGAAATCTCAACTTTTAGACACTCAACTTTCTCAACTCCATACAAGAAAACTACTCGGACTACTGCTTGGATGGCTCCAGATACGTCTGGCACCAATACAGCTCGTGACAAGTCTAAATCACCGCAGAAACCCCAACATCAAATTCGGAACGTTCCATCAGCAGAACGAAATTCATATCTACCTACGCAGGGACCAAGCTCATCGGCACTGGGCGATTCATTCAATACAACGATTGGAACTGGATCTGTATCAGGTACTTCGTACTACTGGCTTTGGTGACATGTCGACCTCAATATTATTCACTCTTTTTTCGTCGTGGTTTAGAATCGTCAAGAACAAGTCCCAGTAACCAGTCATCTCAAACCGCATCTACCACTGTATCGCAACGAACGCCCGGAATTGTTTCGTTAGGCCGACAATCTACAGAAAGGGGTGTGAGAAATCGGCAAGATACTCCTCGACCAGACAGTCCGTCAGGATCTCCTTTATCAGCTTCAAAGCGAATCAGTAATCATGGTCAAGTGAGAAACTCGTATCTTCCTGATGAGGGGAAATCTACGTCGGCGCTTGGAGATGCGTTTAATACGACGGTTGCTGATACTGTAGAGTCAAACATGTAAGAAAAAGCAATCGTTAACTCCAATTCGAGTGACTGATGGATAGAGCTTTATAGAACCACTGAATCTTCCCATCGTGAAATCGTCAGTCGCGAAAGTTCTCGTAGGACATTATTAGGAATATTACGTCCTTTTTTCGCCCTAATTCTGAAACTACTTTTCACTTAGCTGCCCCAGTCTTTGTATCTACACTAAGACCACAGCCTCTTGGGATCCCCCCAACATCGAAAGCTAAGGTATCACACAAAACACAAACCAATGGAATCAGCAACAAAATACCTCCACAAACGACCATATCTTCTCAGAGCACGTCCCGAGCAGTATCTCCTCGAAGATCCCGTATGGCTACATTTGGACTGGAAGATGCCGAATTCGGTTCTCCAGATTCGGCAACCACTATAACTCCAGGCTTGGCTGCTTTTACTCGTCCACTACCGCAACAGCAGCAGCGAGGCAATGGTCATTCTCTACATGCCGATATGGAAGTCAGCAAGTTTTCTGAAGGGTTGGATAAGTGGACTGGGTTGATGAAGAGAGCGATTCTTGTGGGTTTTCTTTGAGAGCAAAACAGCAACTAGCTTTAGCCATACAACTTTGAAGCTCACTCAAACAGGTTTTATTTTCTATAGGCCGATTTTGTTGAAATTAAAGGCGATCTATCTTCAAGACTAATTGATCAACATGCACAAGAGTCTCAAATACTAAACGACGGACTAGCCGAATATGGACGACAGATAGCAGATCTCAGCAAGAATCTGAATGAGGCAGAGAAGATATCATCTGCTCGCTTGAAGCTGGTTGAAGCCGCAGCTACGTTTCTCATCAACAAGGTGATTTATCGAACTTGTAGATTTTGGCGCGTCGGCAATAAGTGAAAGTGACGAAAACTTATCTCCTTTCTTAGCGCTCAAAAGCGGTAATGTTTTTGGCCTTTGCAAGATGGAGGCTTCGATATGCTGAAGTACGTAAAACGATCATGTGTGATACGATGGCGATCAAACACCATCGTCGAGCTTTGCAAAGGAAGGTGTTCGAGTCGTGGCAGCATGAGATTGGTGCTTCTTGGCGGAAGAGAGAAGCCAAAAAGATCAAGATGGAGTCTGAGAGGACCTTGGAGACTCTAGCATTGAGTTATGAGAAGCGGATATCAGAGGTATGCCCAAGGTTGCGAAATCATTTGCTGTTTGGAAAATCCTCGGTTTTTTGTGGCCAGCACCATCCAAGACTCTGAACAGTTTTTTTGCAATAGCTCACGAATAAGCTCAACGATACCCTGGTAGCCCTCAAAGAGTCAGAGGTCAAACGAGCAGCACAACAAGCTGACATGAAGCAAGCCTTTATGAGGGGTGTGTGTGCTCTCAATATGGAAGCGCTGACTGTATTCGGAGATGCCACAGTCGATCAAGCAGTGAACCATGATGACGCTGCATCAAACTCACAGCCAGTTGAATCAAATCGTCATGTATCTATAAACACCACCACCACTGCGGCAGCAACAACAACACCGCTAAATCGCTCCGTATCTGAAAACTCCGCTGCATATGCACACAATCCACAACCAATCTCTCAGCAATCACTTAATAGTACACCATCGGTATCAGCACAAACTCCATTTCAATCATCGACATCATCATCGCATCGAGCACAAACGTATTCTGCTCCTGTAAATAGTAGTAATAGTGCATCTCTTCAACCGAGAGGTGTATATGTGACGAGGCATATAGTGCCAACGCCATCATCACCGGATATTCCGAGGCGGAATAATGTGCCTGTACCTCAAAGGTATCCTAGTCGTGGATAATAACGAGCTTCTCGCACATTTGTATATATAACGGACATTTTAGAACGTAGTAGTAGTGTTAATAAAAACTGGTGGTCCTTTTCGGGTGTAATGTATGTCAATCTTCATTTATTGTGGTGGTTCAATATGCTATGCTGCTTTCGTCTTTATAATCTACACATGCCAAATTTTTATCAAGTTTGTTTTTACGGTCAAGTCCTTGATGACCCGACTACCGATTACATACACCAATTAAGCCACGTGCATATTTTGGATTTGAGCTTCAAGATCTTTTGGGGCTAACAGCATCAACGTGTGTTGCCCTCCAGCAGATACCATCAACACCTTCCTATTGTTTAGGTTGGTTCGGAATGGCCTCAATACATCATCATCGACTCCAGGGTTGCATAGCTGACCCATTTCTCCGTAACCCCAAGTGTACAAGTTATTGGTTTCTTCATCTGAGAGTGCCACCGAAAAGAAGGTTCCTGCAGAGACTGATGTTATCTTTGGTGGTGTTTCTCCGTATGCTGAGAAGTCGACGAGGTGGGGGATGATGGATCGATCAGTTTGAGCATTGGTTGGATCTATATTTCCTGCAGCATCACTGACGGGAGTCGTGTAGCCTAGTTGGCCAGAGTCGTTTCTTCCTGTTGCCCATAGTCTACCTGACAATTAAGACAAGAAAATAGATGTGTGGTAAGTGAACCGTTCAAGCCACATGAGAAAAAGATCCTTTCAAACAAACCTTGGTCGTCGAGGAACAGCGAGTGGTGTTCACCAGCTGCACCACCCACAACCTTTGGTACAGCGAGGACTTCAACTGGCTCTTCGGTATTGTCAGAAGATCCGTCTCCGATCTGACCATACTGATTGAGCCCTACACCACAGGTGCGACCAGTATTTGGAATAAAATGGGTATGGTAGCTGCCGCAGAATGCACCAACAAATTTCTTGTCAGATGCATGTGGGGCTTTGAAGGTCATTGATCGGGGTACGAGACTGGAGGATACGATCTGCCTGACAGCAAGACGTCTGCCTAATTGTCCTTGCTCTCCAATACCCCAACTCCAGAGTTTCCCTAGAAGAAAGGAGCAAAATAACGGTCAAGGAACGATTACAAAACGCTGTAGCGAGACTTCTGTTTGTCGCATACCATCATCTGTGATTGCAATCATGTGATTGCTACCAGCAGCGATATCCATAACGTCATGTAGACCTTGCAGCTTCAATGGCGTCTTTTGAATGCTTGTTTCCTTGGTGGCTCCGAATATTCCCATCGAGTCGCGGAAAGTGCCCCAGATGTAGACGCTAGAAACGCGGGAGTTTAACGGTGGAAACACAATTCACTAGGCCTGGATGCAACAGATGTTTGCTTACTTTCCATCACGTGTGAGTGCAGCTGAACAATTGTCTCCACAAACGATCTTTGTTATGACAGCTTCATCCAATCCCTCTACTTCGCCTGGTTCACTGTCCCAGCGAGGACCTTCACTATCGGTAACACGGCCTACGGAATAAACAGAAGACACTTGTTAACACAAAAGTGACCAAAACGACGTTATGGACCTTATCAATTGCGTACCGAGTGCGAAGTGATCGTTGCATCCCCATGAGAAGAGTTTGTTGTTGGCAGTGAGAACAATGTTATGGAGACCACCTGCAGCTATCATGACAGGCCGTTTCTCTTCGAAGAATTTGACTTGAGCAGGCTTCTCTCGTTCAGTGACGTCTGGGCCAAGACCAAGCTGTCCACAGTCTCCTGAGCCGACGACCCAAACCTGGCCAGTAGTTGTGGGTGGATGAGTGATCATTTTGGCAGTTTTTTGTTCTATAGAAATGGTTGTGAGTGCCTTGACGCCAACATTCCAAAATGTGTTGATGACTGCGACATACTTCTTGGTGGAGAAGCGACTGGTTCGTCTTTGTGATTGTATTTTGAAGATCCAGATTTAGTTCTTCCATTCGCAGCAGGAGGAGGAGGAGTTGATGGAGCTGGTTGCTCTGCTTTTCGCTTCCTCAACTCTCGAGACATTTTATCTTGATTTTGGATGGATTACAAGTATGAGCTAGTATAAATAAAGACACGAATTAGTAAATATGTTGTCTATTAACATCATATACTACCAGGCGCTTGGGCTTACCTACCTTGAATCGACCAATCTGCGAAAATACTAGCCAGCAAAATGTTGAGGATGACAGAAGCCAACAATTGTCACACGAGAATAGAGGGCGACACGTAATGCCGCGTGCCAATACGTGTGAAGTATCGATAAATTGCAAAACGAGCTCTCGAAAAGGTCTACAAGGCTCGATAAATATCATGATGGCCAAGTTCCAAATCAAATGATTAAAGACGTGTATGTACCAACATATTTCTAGCTTGCAAACAGATGTACACACGTCAAAACGCGTGAATTTGACATATGTTCTTAGCGCAGACTACACGGTTGACGGAATTATACTAGGTCGATCCGTGATTGAGAAAACGTAAAAAATTCAAAATCAGCAAACATTGGCTAGAAAGGAGAGCACAGCAAGATCACGCTAGAAGCAAAGGTAAGCAAAAAGATCTGTTGATCAGTAGAGCTCCTGTCTTGCTTTCGTTGCTGTTTTGTCCATTGTTTAATGCACTTACCATCTGCTACACTTTGCCATTCAATCCTGTCGTTCTTAACCTAATTGAAGCTGATGCTACCCTGATTCATTTATAATTAGGAATAATCCATCTCAAGTCATAACTATATAACTTCCTGCTACTTCGTCAAACATCGCAAACTTCGCAACATCTACCATCTTGTAAGCATGTTGCTAACAAGTACGATGGAATTCCTTCGAAACCGTCGCCTGCCTCCTATGGAGCCATGGCAGACTTTGTGTCAACCTGTCCCACTCGTACGAGTCAATGCTCAGCCAACTCAAAATGGAGTCAAATATATCGCAACTGGTCTGACCTCTGAAGCAGAGTCTATTCTCATACAATTGGAAGGACCACTCTATGTTGCTGCCTTCATTGGATTTGGAAGGTAATGATTTGAATCACTTGTTCAACATTATTAAAGTTCATGTTGGTCATTCGCACGTGTGGAGTGACGTGTCACTCACCATCATCAACTTAAACCATATACAATGATCCTTTATAGATCTGGAAAGTCAATGACTGCCACAAAACTCAAAGCAGCCTTGACGGGTGATACCAGTGTCCAATTCACATCTCGTCCTGGCAATGTACCTTGTACTCATGGAGTCGACATGATGGTCTTCCAACATCCAACAAAGGCTGGCCAAATCATCTTTCTGGATTGTGAAGGAAGTCAAAATCACAACCAATCTGCACTTCCATTCGTTATGGGTCTAGCAGCTCGTCTATCAACTCGACTCTATGTATTTGAGCGATCATGCTTTACTACTGGTGGCTTGGAAACTGTGATGCAAGTCTTGACCATGGGTCTCGCTACTCCTCAAAACCCAGATATACGTATCGACCTGCCAAAATCATTGGTATTGGTTGAAAATATGACTATAAACCAAGAAATCACTGAAATTGACCTGCTGACTGACTTGGTGAACGAAACGGATGGTGATGAAGCTACAAACCGTATTCGTCGTATTATACGTGACCGCTTTGATGTCGAATTTACCAAACTCCCATTTATCTCGACCGTCGTCGGTAGCGAATACAATACAACAATCAACGACATGGCTGATATGTTGGCTGATCGTCTGACTCCCTTGATTGTTGGCAATGTACCCATTGATGGTCCAGTCATGGTACAACTCGCTACAGAACTGGTGGCTCAAATCCGAGAAGGTGGATCCAAATTCAATATGGTGTCTGCTACGGAAGCTATGGTGGCCAACATGGCGTCTGAAGCTGCCAATGCTGCTTGGTCTGAGTTTGTTGAAAAGTGTCGATCACTTGGCAATCATCCATCTCAAATATCTGGTCGGAAACATATCAAATCAATAATGAGTGAAGTAGAAACTGTAGCTGGTCAAGCTCGTGGTGAATTGGAAGGCTTTGTATCCAAACTGGAACCTGCTGAACCCGCTGGTGTCGCCAAACAACTATGGGATCGTAACTTCAAGCACTTCACATCTGATTTGAAGAGTGCACATGCCCGAAAAATGCAGGAAATTGCCAAGTATACCATATGGATGGATCGCGTTCACTCATTGGTCACTCAGATTGTGCAACGAGTAAGTGTTTGATTAGCAGCTATGATCTGGTTGTCTTCGTGCGTCTCATTTTCTGTCCCTTCTTTGCTGCCGTTTAGGTCTATGAAGCAATGTTCCACATGATGAGGTTGGCACGATTCACTACATCTCTGGTCATTGCTTCCAACTACTACGTAGCAAAGGAAAGCTTCAAATTGGTTACCAATGTGGTCTCTCAAATCTTTGCACCAGCACCACAACACCTTTTAAGCGAATAATCAGCCTCAAAATTCATTCTAAATATGTATTATATTTGCACGCCACAGTTTCATCATAAAATTAAAGTTATATCGACACAGAAAAACACTTTGTTTGTTGAATGGTCTCGTCACTTTCTCGTTCGCAGCAAACTTCAAAAAAGTGTTAGCAAGGACGTCGAGTAGAGGAGAGTACAGCAAAGAGAGCCCATCCAGTCATGTCATCTTCAATAGGAGTTCCAATAAAGGTATGAACGCACTCGCATCCACAACTGTAATCAGGCTATTAACTAACTCTTCTATTGTATCCAAAATTCAAAACATTCGAAAATTCAATTAAACCAATACAGCTTCTGCATGAATCACAAGGCCACATCATCACTCTCGAACTCAAAACAGGAGCAACATACCGTGGCAAGCTACTCGAATGTGAAGACTCTATGAACGTACAATTACGAGACATTACAGTAACTCAACGTGATGGACGAGTAACCAAACTCGACCAAGTATATGTACGAGGCTCCCAAGTCAGATTCTTTATTGTGCCAGACATGTTACGAAATGCTCCCATGTTTAAATGGGTACAGCCTGGTGCTACTAAAGCTAGAGGTATTGGTATGGGGAGGGGTAAAGCTACTGTTGCGAGAGCTCAACAGCAAAGTAGAGGTAAGATTGCAGATTGTTTGTATTACGAACTGAGCACATTCTTGGTCTTTGGTGTTTGAGACAGCCAAGAATGAAAGTAGCAGAGAGCCGCATGGCAACATTTGGCAAACATTGCAACTGGACAACCGCAAACACCTGTACTTATATTCTTCTCTACTACGCAGGTCGTGGCGATCGTGGAGGATTCAGAGGCGGTGATCGTGGCGGTTTTAGAGGAGGCGATCGTGGTGGTGGATTCCGGGGGCGAGGACAATAAAAACGTCAATTTGAAAGAAAACCACGGAACAAGACTGCCTCAAGGAATCATAGTTTATGGAAGGAAACGGATGGACTGCTTTGTTGTGCTCTGTATAGAATGATGGGAAGGAAAGAAGCAGGATTGATAGTATTGAAAAAGCATCTAGGAAGGAGATAGGTATATAGGTTTTTTGCATCTCAAAACAATAAAACGGATGGATATAGTAAACTATCGACCGTGCTGCTCTTGTTGTGAAGTACTTGGGTACCTTTGTGGGAGTTCTCGACCAGAAACGAACTTTCTTTGACTGTCAAGCTTCCGCTTCATGCTGGCTCTTGCTCACACAGACAACAGTCTGGCTCTTCTTTAAATTGGTAGTCAAAAGGGATGATTTTAATTTATTGAAACAAAGAAGCTAGATTCTGAATGCACACTAAACAACCCCGTAAGGACTTTCAAAACTCAGCAAACTCAAAACTCTTCTACTTCGAAATGGATTCTATGCCATTGATCTGAGCACTAGACCAAACAACACGTAGACAACAGACGAGCCTTGTAACTCACTTCCAGCTGTATGGCAAGTTTTCATATTCTTCAAGGGCTCGTTGAATATGTTGCAACATGGATGGGATTGCTTCGTCAGGGTAGGCACCTGCGTTTTTTGGTTGGAGATGTTCCAACTCTCGTTTAAAGAAGACGTCATTATACGAATCTGGAGTACCATAAAAGTACTTGGATGCTTTTGATAGAGTGATGTATGTAGTTACATGTAAGTGGCTAGCAATAGCATAGCCTGTACAAGCTCAAGGGGCAACTTTTGCGACACAAATCCTGTTGCTCGTTAATAGTATTACTAACTGCAGCAGCTTCGGAAGCCTCAGCTAAGGTCAGTTGCTTGCCTTGTGTGGTTGTGTCGTTGTCTTATAAGCTTCTACGGAGTTCTTAAGTTTGCGTCAATAGAAGTTTGGGGCTTGTAACTTGATGTCTTTTTAACAGTTTTATTATAACTCCATCAGGAGAAACTGTGGGACAGATTTAAAGTATACGAATTACAGATATGATGTTGATTTGGTTGCGTCCAACAGAAGTTTGGGGCTGGTATCTGCACACCAACAAAGTAATGGACATCGAATGAACACCACCTAAGACTCGCATTACGTGTATTTCTGCAGAAGACGTCCCAATCTGAAAATTGCCGCGTCCACAACAATTCAAATTTTGGATAAAAATCAATGGAGTTATCCAGCGGTTATAATAAAACTGTTAAAAAAAAATATTAAAAGATCATACAAAGGGGCCAAATGGTGAAAGCAGGTATTGTAAGACAGTCTGCTCTGCGACTTTAGTTCGAGCTAGGATATCATTCTGCTGGTTCACTACTGATGAGGGGATTAAAACTGAAAATGATGTCGGTCACTATGAGGGCTCTATAGCAAACGAATTGTAAGCTTTTCGACACATTAATCAAAGCAATAGAAACTTTGTCACTTACCAGAAAGTTTTCAGGGCTGCATTAAGCTTGCTGATTTCTTCCAATAGAGCCTCACGTTCTGAGGCCCTTGTGTCTTCTCCAATAGCAGAAGGCTCGATGCGAGCTAGGATTTTGCGTAGATCGTCACATCCAAGTCGGAAAACTTCTCTCTCGACAGCATACAGACAAACGGCATCTACATATCTTAGAGCAGCAGTCTCACAGTAAGCTTTTACCATGGCAATCATATCCATGACCTCAAAGTTCCTAGTATTCAATTTTGTCCCTGTTGCTGCACCAGACTGTTTACTGTTCAACCACGATTCCCTGTTTTTCTCTCGAGCATCTTCTACCTTCTTCATAAAGTTTTCATTATATGTGAGTGGATGATCGGCCTCGTCATCATACATGGATTTGGTCTCCTTGAGAAGCTTTTGTTCAAGGGTGTCTATATAGCTGTCTACTGCTTCCTTAAAGGAAGGACGGAGGAGACCATGCACCTTCTTGTCCAGCAAGTAACCAAAGACATTTCGAAGTACCAGCACTATATCGTTTACATGATTCTCCGTAGTGTTCTTCCAGCCTACAATACATTCCTGTACTAATGACACGAACGCATTATCGAGAGGGAAAACACCCATCTCTCGCCCTCGTACTTTCTGTATAGCATTTTCGACATCTTGATCTGTGACGTTTCCATTTTCTTTGAGGATGTTCTTTTGAAAGGTCTCGCACAGGTCCTTCACCCTACTGCCCAAATACAAGTCTTTATCGGCATCCTTTGGTAATGGATATCTACCACTAGACAAGTCCAAGAAAGCCTGTACAAAGCTGGTCGAATTATTATAAATCAAAGCATGCTTATCTCCGTCGTTGACTAGCTCAGGGAATTGATCCAGTTCAGATTGTTTCTCACGAATCCTCGTTTGTAACTCATGTTTCACGGATGGCATCTCCTTGTCGATATGTCCTTTAAGCACCTCCACAAGATGCTCGCGGAGGGATTCCACACCTTTTTGACGTTCATATATAATATTCCATGGAGGTTTTGAGAAGAATTGCTTTGAGGAAGCCAGCAATTCGTCGGCGGAAAGTCCTGTCGTGATTTCTTCCATACTCTTGTTCTTTACCCAATGCACACCATATTTAAATGAGCTCAATTCCGTTTGCATGCTTTTGATTTTCAGTAACTCCTCTCCCTTGCTGATATTGTCCACCTTCGTTACTACTGCGAGAGCTCGTTCACCTTTACCACCATAATCCTTTATGGCACGTAAGACGGCATTGTTGGCCAGATCTGAGGTGGCTGGAATTACTGCCAATACGAGGGTTCGCGGATCTCTGACATATCTAATTGACAAAATACGTTAATTCGTCTGTCTGAAATTGTGAGACAACCCCACAGAAATCGACATACGGATCTACGATACTCTTGACGTCCTCGACAACGGACTCAGGTTGACTTCCTATACTCGTGTTTACATATCCTAAAGAAGCAGTAAGATCTGTTGACTCATAAAATCGAGACATGGCAAGTAGGTCGCTGTACCTGGCAAATCCACCAACGTCAGACGAGCATAACCAGGTCCAAAGAGATGTATGTTCAAGACCTTGTCTGAGAAAATGCTCTCATTATCAGACAAAGCCGTTTTGACCTCTCTGATTACATTCTCGACATCCTTGATATTTTTCGGTTTTCGAACGACATCTGGAAGCCTTGCGGCCTTTGAGTCTGTAATATATGCATCGCTAGATACTTCATCGCTTGGAATGAGACTGACACGTGTAGCGAAACTGGTGCACAGTTCTGCATTCTTGGGAAACGTGATTCCAGTCAAGTTTTCCAACAGCGACGACTTGCCAGCCGATTGGTCTCCGATAATAGCTATTTGTGGAAGGTTTATAGCGATCCCCAGCTTCATAATATTCTCTACGACGTCCAGCTGGGTGTCGGTGAGCAGCGACGAACCAGATGTGGTGGTTTCTTTGGGTTCTTTAGGTGGTGGAAGGGATTTGGAAGCATCTCGAGAATTGCCTGATACTACTGATGTTCCAGGCGAAGGAGGTGGTGTCATAGGATGGCCCAGTGTTTGCTTGCGACCCAACATTGTTGATTCTGCGTCGGAAGCAAGATAACGACGTGTTAGCGGCTTTATCAACGGCAAAATGACGGTACAAGCAAGCTCCGTAAGTGAAAAACATACCTGAGATCGCTAGCTCAAGTGTAAACTTGTGCGGTTAGCTGTTGTTGGTTTATCGTCCCACCATGTGGAATTTGAAGAACGTGCACTAGCTTCAAACTTTGATTTTGGAACAGGTTAAGCTCTGGACAAGGCACGCCCTCGTGTGACAAAACATATTGTAGGAGTATGACAGTAACTAAAGTTACGTACAGAAGCTGCGTTGAAGGCGCTTAACGCAAAAAATCAATGCTGAAATGAATAACTTGGTTTGAGGACGCCTTTAGCGGAAACCACTTGAGCTGTGGTATCTGCATGGCTTATAATTTAGATGTCGTCAATTTCACCTACAGATTTGGCAGCGATGGACTATAGTCTCTAGTTAACTCGAAACGTGAAACCGAGATGAATCCGCAGACTATTGCCAAAAGGACGAGGCAACTAAGAGTCTATAAGCCTGTTTATTCCTGACTATTCAACGGAATCGGTACTCGGTTTGCTACAAATTCTAGTTGGGTGAGATGCAATCCGGACACGCATTGCCAAGTCAAAGTTTGAAAACACTTGTAGTATGTGCAGTCAGGCAATCATCAAACAGACTATAATTTCCGTCAGCGATGCATTGAATGAACGACCGGGTGCTGGCAAGTTAAGATTGCTGAGCCTGTAATTTGTGCTCTCGTATCTTCCTCTGAAAAATCAAATTTGAGACGAATTAATACGTATTGAGCACGTATCGCTTGCGGTGTCTATCTCACTCGATTCTCACACCTATATAATACCCGGTCTCTTAAAGTCATAGCGGGCCATGGGATTCTCAGTTTACTGCTGGGGTTGGATCTCGTCCCTCGATTTTGGTACTGTTATATTTGATGTCTCGGATGATATGATACCGAATTCAGTAATGGGCCTTGTAGATTCGGTACACACAATGGTCCTTGCATTCGGCTGGCGTCGCATTCGCCTTGAATTTCATTTTTGACAAAATCCGCACGAGTTCAGAGGGCAGGCACTGCCAAATTTTGGATTTTTCCTGAAGTGAAACTGGTTTCTAAAACAACAATACCACCAGGAAAGAAATTGGAGAAACGTCCTACAGTGCACAGTATACCCCCTTGATTGAAAACGGTCTCAGTAACACGAGACACCAAACACGACCTCTACTCTCGTTGAGACACGATCACAATCTGCCAGCAAAGCTAGAACAAATTGGACGCGTTTCAGGACTTGCTGAACTTCGCAAACCAAATATTTCAGTGTTTGGAAGGAGTTATATCCAAAGCCGACACTTGCTTTCTCAGATTCCCGTCGAGAGGAGCGTTTCTTATAATTATAACCTTGCTTCTTTAAAGGTCCTTATCCGAGCGAGCACTATTTCTATAAAGCAGGTGGAGCAGATGGTGGTCTGGAGGTTTGACGTCAGCAAAGAGGCTTTCCAAGACATCGTAGTTGATCTCTTTTGTACCCAATCATTATCTGGCAGCTTCAGCGGCTGTTGTTGCAGGTGCTTGATTTGCCGCCTTAGTGTCTTACACGGCAATGAGTAAATGTGCTGTTTGACATTTGGCTTCCAACTTGGCGGATGGAAGTCTTCCAAAAGCGGAACGGCATGTTATTGCATGCACTATATGATTGTGATTAATTTAAATCACGTATAGATGTTGAGTGAGAGGAGCTTGACACGAAACTTCAACTGGAGATCGATTTGCGTGCCTTATTGAGTCGATGGAATGATGGGACGTCTTTAGCAGGAACAGGAGGCTCTATACTCTCCATGCAAGCGGAATCAGCTGCTTTCAATTCTCTGTGATGTTCAGACAGCGATCGACTAGCATTGAGTGACCAAGATTGACAGAAATGATCAAATGTACTGAACCCCATTGAAGCAAGCTGATTATTGTAAGAGAACTGACTAGGAGACAATACGCTTGTGTACTGGTGGCCATTCAACATAGGCTGTACTCGGTTTGCTACAAGGATATAAGTGAGAAAATTCACAACTTATGCTGAACAGAAAGTTGAGTTGAAAACCCCCATTTATTGCCACAATTGTCAGCAGTCAAGCAGTCATTGAACGAACCAGTTATTAGTACAGTAAATGAACCACTCCCGTATGTTGTTTCAATTGCTAGAAACGTCGCTGCAACATCCATTTTTTTTGGCTCATGCATTCTATTGGGACTATAGTCCCGCAAATTTACGATTATTACGTGTATACGTGTATTATTAACACGTGAATGCATGTTGCATTCACGTGTTCAAAAAGGGAGCCAAGGCATTACCTTGTTATTCCCGTTTGGTTTCACTTCTCTTAAGATCTCGAGGATTTAGCTGGTCGGGGGGAGTACTACGATTACTTGATTTACTACCAACAGTTCGTATCCCGAGAATCGCAGGAGCTTTTTTTCTCCAACTTTGGAGATTTTTTTCAAAGACAAAACCCAACCTTCCAGACTTAAGCAGATAATATGTGTCTTTTTAAATCTTTCTCTGACATCTTGGCTACAATAACCAAAATGAAAAAAAAAAGACAAAAGTTACGTTTTGTAAGAAAATCCGTATCGTAGAGGCATTCTTCTCCAAATGAAATTCGAGACAAAAGTCTGACGTACTGCCGTCTTTTGGTCTCTTTCTTAAAAGCTTGTCACGGAAACAGGTGCACAATAATTTCTTCAATTAAAGCTGTAGGAGCGCCGCTGAAAATGACAACAATAACTTTGCCCATGCCCGCTACAAGCCTAGTAAGTCTCTGAATGAAGCAAGATGAGGGATGATTGGTTAGCACGAGGGTGCTTTTTGAAAAGTTGTACGAAAAGAATGATGATGGTTGGGACCTGTATTCAGTCATTGCTCAACATCAGTTAAAGATCATGGGAACAACTGGGATTTTAAAAGGATGGAAGTGCTACTAAACAGACCCTTTGAAGATTTTCTGATCGTCGATAGCAGTATAAATAATAAGACTGGGATGACATCCCAGAGTCTTTTCGTTGTCTGCATTTCAGACACGGAGACGCCTTACTCCCAATTTAAAATGCATTTGACGTCAATGCCTATAACCCTAGAATGTGTTTGTGGTGAAACGACTTGGAAGTTGCGATTGTAGCGGTTGGAATGATGACGTGGCGAAGACCCAATTAATATGAAGCAAGAATGGATTATTATTGAACTATTTGAGAAGGCGCTTCTGGATAGATGTACATCAGCGATCGCATACAAGTCTTGTGGATGATTTTCGTGTTGTCGTGTTTGGGGTGCTGTTACTGCCTGTATGATGCATGAAGCTTTATGTAGACAGATACACTTTTTAACACGCGTTTGCATGCCTATTAGATGAATTATCAATCCTTTTATTGATAAAGCAATTCTTGAGTCTCACATCCTCTTCGTTTCTCGTTTGCAAGTTCATCCTACTTGCTGCGTTTCGAGATTTAGACTAGAAACGAAGAGGAAGAATTCAATAAGCTGGCAATCTCAAGTACGAAAATCCTTGAGAGAAACTCATACCTAAAGAATCAACGATGCAGCAACAACCACAACAACCCGTTGGTCCTGAACCTGGATCTATGGATGATCACGTAAGTTGAAGAGGGAATACGGTTGGAACATGCATTGATGATAACGTCTATTGAGACTCCCTGCTCGTGCTTCTGCTGCAGTAATTTAGATTTGTCTTTACTGACGTGGTAACAATCTTCATTCAACACTCAACAATTTAGGAAGCTGTTCAGCGGGATATGGACTTCTTGGCTCTAGTCGGGACGCCAGGCGACGTCGCCAACGCTGATGAGACAGTGAGCTATACCAGTCCATTACTAACACCAGATTCATTGATCAAATCATCTCACACAAAACACACAAACCTAGTCAATGGAGATTGCAAACTCTTTGATAAGGCTACAGCTCAATGGTAATTTCAAGTTCACGTCGTACTACTTGTATCGATTGACCAACCGTATTTCAACAATAGACCAAACCAACTTGTACAAATGACATGTCACAACACCACGACATTCTCAGCATTTACATACTTCCAATTTCTCATCAGGGTTCAATTCTGGATGTCGGCAAACGTTGTTTCTCGTCAAGCTGCCAGACTCATCTTCTCAAAAAGGACCCAAATGGTGATGTAGGATACATAATCACGTACAATTGGCATATCCAAAAGGAGCCAAACAACCATCGCGATCCTTGGTATTTGCTGAATGTCGAATTTGACGGAGGAGAGCTGCTGCCCTTTTTATTGTGGCTGCAAGATAAAGTGACTGTTGTTCCGCGGTCTGAAACCCTAGTTCGCTATGAATCTTTCTTGGAGGTTCATCGTGTCCAAGGAATGGTCGAAATGGAAGGACTGTTTGCTACCGCAAGGGATGGCACCCATAGAAGAAGCTGATACAAGATGTGAATGATGATTGATGATTTCGCGAAAGGTATACACAAGGAATTGTTGCTTGGTGAAGAGAGTATTTGTAAAGTAGTTTATACATAGATCATTCATGATGAAGAGACAATGAAATAGTTCGAGACTGTGACTTTTGATCATGCGAGATATCATTTCAATGATGTGTCATCGGAAGTCTGACTTGAACAACATTTCGACACATTTTGGGGAAAAGGCCATACCGCTTTTGAAACAAAGTCCTTCTTTGAATCATATCCATATTAATCATTTCAAAACCAGGCTGAACCCACAGAGACACACGGTTTCAGCACTAAACCAACACAAGAGACTGCAGCTTACTTCCAATTTCAAGGATACAGAGAAACGTAGCTTGGTAGAATGGTACCCATCTCTTGAATTCTTGAACTCGACATGTAGCAAACAAGAAACATCTTGCAAACGAGAGCAAGGTTGGATTTCGTGGTGGTTTTTTCTCGCTTCAGCTTCCGTGAAGACATTTCCGTACAGAAGTTAAGAACGTGACGTGTTCGTCATCGAAATCGAAAATCGAAATAGTTCTAGGACCATCTGTTTGTAAATCGCGGTTGCAATGCGACGACCAAACCGGTGAAGATGCTGACAAGTGAGTTAACGATACGGCTCGAGTATCAAATGCATCATAGAATATTACGCCAAATTCACGTGAGACAATAAACGTTTTCCACCAAACTTTGCACTTGCGTCAACACGCTCTCTTGTTTTCAACCTCCCTTAAACCACAAAATTTCCAAGACGATGATTCCAACGACTCCGGAGCTTTCAGAAGGTATGAAGCAGCCTCCAATTAATTTACCTTGTACCTGATACGAGGCGTGTCCGATTTGAAGATATCATCTGGCAAAGGAAAAGCTTTCAATGAGTGTAATTTTTGAATATTTGCTTGGCATTCTGACAGAGGATGCAAACAACACAGCCTTTGTTTTACGCGATTCATTTCCTATTATTCTATATTATGTTGAATTCTCACTCATACCTCGTCATCACCAAACCAGATCTGGCAACCAACATTGAAATTGGAACATTAGCGACATGGTCATTATCTTCTTCTAAGCCTGGATTTGGAGTCGACCAGCTACGTGACGACTCTGTAGACACGTATTGGCAGTTACGTCTCCTGTTCTTTAGTCTCTTCTAGACGACCTATGCTTGAATCGACGTTTGGACTTCCAAGATCTCATCCTACTTCGTACACAGATCTGATGGACCACAACCACATCTTGTCAACATTCAGTTTCCCAAGAAGATGTCTGTTTCGGTAATTCTTTGGAATATTTGTCTAAATGTAGCAATTCCATGCGGTCGTTTTTTCGCACAACCCTCACATCCTTCACATTAGACGGTAGCCATATACCTGGACTATAAACAAGACGAAAGCTATACACCGACCAAGATCTCAGTTCGTGCTGGTAATCATTTTCAAGATTTGCAGGTATTTTGTTTGGTCCCAGTACATTGCTTTTCAATGCAGAATTTGTACATATTCTTTTTTGGTTTTGCGTTTCAGGAAGTCAATTTGATCGAATTCGAGGAACCTGTTGGATGGACTTGTCTTCCCTTGAATTCTGCGTCTCCCGAGTAAGCCAACAGCAGGAAAAAAACACCCCCTCACATTTCAGGACGGAATTATTTAACATTCTCTCCCTCTCACAACTCTCCATTGCATATATAGACAACCAATACGAACACACCTGTTACAGTTTGCTGTAATCAGCAACCACCAGAATGGCAAGGACACTCATATTCGACTCATCAAGATATATGGATTGAGACCGTAAGTGATCTACATGGATGGCAACCTGTGTCAGTTGCCTTAATTCGAAACTGATCAAGGTCTTATTTCTTGCTGTTGAACATGTCCTGATTCTTTCACTGAACGCATATAGAACATTGCAAACACACTCATCAGATGGTCTTCCTCCATACTCGACAGTCCAGTTTCAAATGCAGGCTGTTGAGAGGCTCTAGAGAGAGTGACTCTGGGGGCATTTCTCATGGTGGCTAGAATCCAAGCACGTATAATATTTTTGGATGCTAAGCTATCGCATTCCATTCGCACAAAACCTGGATCATTGTACATAATAAATCACCTGTACTCTTTTTGTGTTCATAAAGAAATGTATATACATGGTTTATGTGCGTTTGGTCATTTTTCTGTACAGAGCAACGAGCGGGTTTTATATGTATAAGCTTGCTTCTTTTCAAGCTTCTAATCCAAATGAGCACTATTTCTATAAAGCAGGTGGAGTTGGTGCTGGTGCTGGAGGTTTGACGTCAGCAAAGAGGCTTTCCAAGACATCGTAATTGATCTTTTTTGACAACATTTTTTTGGTAGCTAATAATTGTCTGGCAGCTTCAGCGGCTGTTGCAGCAGGTGCTTGATTTGCTGCGTTCTTGTCTCTTGGCTTACGTGGCTATATGATATAAGGAATGGAATGTTAGAACGCTGAAAGTGGCTTCTCTCGTCACAAGGGAACAGAAAAAAACAGATGCATATCAACGATACCTTCTTTGATTGAGATGATTTTCCACTAGCCAACTCCATAATACGTTTCCTTTCTTGCTTTTCTTCCCAATCTCTATTTTCCTCTTCCCAAATCCTCTTCTTAAGTGACACTTCGTCATCAGTCAAGAAGGCATTCATAATTTCATTGTCATCATCCAATAATTCCCAGTTTTGTTCTTCTGCTGTCAATGCATCGGATGTAGCTGCTGGAGTTATAGTAGCATCTGTATTATTATTTGTTGCCGGTAATGTTTGTTCTTCGGTGGATGTTGGTGAAGATGGAGTTGTTGCTGCGAAATCTGTTGGTGCTTTTGGTAATGCTACTCCTAATGGAGGTGGAAGGAACGTCGTGACGGGAGATAGCGTGACTGATGGTGTATCTTCGAACCTTGTCTTCTTGAGTCTGGTAGATGATGGTGTTGGCGTTCTTTTTCGTTTGAGGGCAGACTTGGGTACTGCGGGTGCAGGTGCAAGTGGAGTGGTTGAGTCATCGTCACTGGGACCAGGAGTGCCTCCTATGATGCAAGTGTAGTTTCGATCAGCTTTTTTGTCGTATAGAAATAAGCAGAAAAAGGACCCCACTGTAGTCAACAACTTTCATACCTAATTCTCTAGTAATTTGCTGAAAGTCGGGATTTTCCAATGTTTTGCTCATCTCGTCCAAGATACCGTTCTCTTCCATATCATCTCCATATTGGCTGAGCATTGGACCGTTTATATTCACGTCATCGTCGTCAGATGGAGCTTGAGATCCTGCTCGTCCTGATTGTTGTCGCTGTCGGTGACGTGTAGATGATGATGCTCTTTGTCCTTCGCCATTTTCTGAATCATCATCATCGTCGTCAACATCCTTGCGATTATTCCTACGAATACTATCGGTTTGGTTGCGTTTGTCGTCTTCGTCATCTTCATCGTCGTCATCGTCATCATCAAGGATACCCTTCTTGTCTTCATCATCAGCTGACCCACCACGACGTCTCCTCTGAGTCAATATAGGAGGAAGAGGTGAAGGCTGCAATTTCAATTCTTTTCCACGCTTGTCCCAGTCATTCTGTTTGATGAAGTCTACTGGATTCAAATCCGCAGATGGTGTGTCTTTGAATTCAGTCAACCTGTGGACGTGAATTGACGGATGTCAGTAATTGGGAACTGTCAAAGTCAAACGAGCTCAACCAAAAAAAAAACGGGTGACTGATAATATAGGATACATCAAGCTCTAAACCAAATACCTTTTTCGAAGAGTAGTTTCACAAATCTTGACGACACTGACAATCTCACGATGGCTTCGACGGAATCCATGCATACGAGCAGCAATGAAGAGACCTGCCAAAGTCGAAAGCCATAATGATCAGTCAAATATGAAATAAGAAAACGCATTAACGTCTAACAGCTTACATGCTGCACAAACACCAGCAGGATGTCGACCCATAGCCATCCAATCGTGTTGCATACGTCTCACCAGATTGGTGGCGACTTTAATAACGGACGTCTTTTTTCCCCCGAAGTCGAGCTTTTCAGCGAAACGAGCAAGGTAAATACTCTAAACATGGTGTCATGAGTGTGAGCACCTTTCCACATTTGATCTTTTCTTGGTCTTTTGAACGTGTGAACTCTGCTTACTGGATCGATATTGGGAATTGCAACGCCTAATAGGTGTGCCAGTTTCAAGAATGTAGCACCCAATGTATATACGTTCGTCTGAAAGCGCAAAAAAAGGATCATTGATCATTTCGAATGAAAGAGCAAAATCAGAACAGTAGAGACTTACTTCGGCACGTTCAGAAAAGTCAATGAGCATGAGACCCTTGTCACCCAATCTGGCTACAAGATAGAGACAGGCAGCGACGACAGTATCGGTACGTCGACCCTTTGTAAAGTTGTGGGCAATAGCAAGATTGAGCCAAGAAGTAGCCTGTTCGATCTCAGTCTGTTTGTATCCGAAATGAGTACCCATTTCAGTGGCCTTATTCTTTCCTATATAGCGTTGAGATTGAATGGTGAGGTTAAACACAAGGGGGTGACAAGTAGGCAGATGTGGACTCTACCTTTGGCCATTGTCTGTTCCCGAGACTCTGGCATTCCTCCACGTACAGTACCGAACTTGCTTCGACTCCTTGCGCGAGCTAAACGACCAAGGAGGATGTGATCAGTATAGTGTTTCTTCAGCAGGCAAATGTTGGACTGAAGCAATGGACAGGCAAGAGACACCCAAAAGAGCAGATTGAATAAGAGTATGTACCTTGATCATGTCCAATGACGGTACCATCAGCAGTAGCATTGCCAGACGAGCGTTCTGTGAAAGTGATTTCCGACTTTAAGTTGCTGTCTTCTGCGACCCTTCCACATCTATCACATATAGTCTGGCCCCTTTCATAGACGAAATTTCCTCCACAATCACAATCTGCCATATTGAGCTATTGCGCCCTCGTCGTCGTCTGCGCTTTGGAGCTTCCAACTTGTTTTGTGTCAAGTTTTGGACATTTGCGAGTGAGAATTGAATTGTAAGATCTGTCTACTAGACGCGTTGTATGAGCTAACTATGATGTTTTAAGTAGAGTCTTCCACTTTGAAAGTCTGCATCGGCCTTGCTTATCCAGCTGGATATCCTATGACTTGCAAAAAATACAGAAGCTGGATTATCCTTCGTAGCTCTTTTTGTACGTGCTACAGCACGGTAGATGCTCAATTAACAATAATTTAAAGCATACCACACTCTTCAACACGTTCATACCCTCGTCTCCATCCCTGCAAGCCCTGCAACTGGGTTTGAACTTCTTACAAAACTTCAAAACATTGTCGATCTTGGAACATGCTACCTCTGCGACTAAACACTGTCTGGATAAGGCATCGAGCTTCATGTAGAGTCATATATTTCAAGATGTGCATTCCTTGTAACTACTTTTACTAACTTCTGTTATTCGTCTAGCTTTCATTCCATGCACCAAGTCAAGACTCTATAGTACAGGACACAGCTCGTTTCCTATTGAGGCATCTCATTATTTGATTCAAACTGCCACGTCTGATCGCTATACGCTACTACAAAACCGTGGCTTTTTGGAAATTGAAGGAGCTGATGTCGTCAAGTTCCTACAAGGACTGATTACAAACCATATGCCAAAGATTGAACGTGGTGGTGATGGCTTTTATTGTGCCTTCTTGACTCCTCAGGTATGCGTGGTATTGCCGGTTGTGTTTGTCGAGCCTGATCTTCAGAGCTTGATTTATGGAGATGAAATACATCTCTTTTTCGCCTTTTTAATTACGTACCCTATCATCTAACTCACAGGGTCGCGTCCTATATGACGCATTCATACACCCCAAAAACCTCGGTCCAGACTTCCCACACCCATCTTTCATCATTGACGTGGACGCATGTGCAGTCCAAGGTCTCTCTCAACACCTAAACAAGTATAAACTACGCTCCAAAGTGAAAATCACCGATGCTACTTCAAGGTATAGAGCATATCAAGCTTGGGGTCCATCAGTAAAAGCATTGTGGACTGGTGGTCCATCATCTAGTGACGCGCATACTGTGGGCAAAGTGATTCCTGTGGGTGCAATGGTATCTAGACCACGGTTCTGTGATATTGGTGGTATCGATTCCAGGCAGGCTGATTTAGGCTTGAGGATTGTCGTGCCTGTCAATTCTAAAGGTATGTGGAATGTGGTCAATGGTGGTTGTTTGAGCAAGCGTGACTCCCAATATCATCGGCCAAACCTGTATTCTTGCATTCCTAGTTCCCGTCTTAACAAATCAAGTGCCCGAAGAAGAATACACATTACGAAGAATCATGTATGGTGTTCCTGAAGGAATGGATGACTATTTTCATGGATCTTCATTACCTCTTGAATCTAATCTAGACTATATGCAAGGAGGTACACATCACTTGTCTCGCATCATGTGGCGGAGAAAAGTTCAGTCTTGTGCTGATCGATTCTTTGGCTTTATAGTGGACTTTAGGAAGGGCTGCTATCTCGGCCAAGAGCTAACCATCCGAACATACCATACAGGTGTAACACGTAAACGAATATTGCCCATACAGGTATTTAGTGATGTTTCAAAGTGAGTGCCCTCTATATGCGTCCATGCGCGGCCTGTTTTCTTGCATTGCGCTCACAAAACCCTCGCAACACTAGACCTCCATCAACACTAACACTGGACACAACCACCCAACTCACCATCCCAGCATCCCAATCTGAAATCAATGCCAATAACAAGTCAGTTGGCAAGTTTTGTTCAGGACGTTACAATGTTGGACTAGCGCTACTGAGACTTGAGCATGTTGGACATGTGGTGGCATTAGAAGGTGGACTATTTGGCAAGGCTTTTATACCCTCGTGGTGGCCTATACCACCACCATCACCATCTGCAGAAGGAAAGCAACACTAATAGCATACCCGTACAATATTTGTATATTGCATTATTTTGCAGTTTGTTCTACTACTTATTACAATTTAGATACCTAGAATTGTTGAGTGTACAGATTCAATTTCTAATTATTTGGGCTCAAGATTGGAGGTGGAGATGGGGTTATTTGTGCTTTCTTGACTCCACAGGTATGTGGCATCAATGTGTGGATGTGGGTGATGTAAAGTGGAAGGGTGTGACGAAGCAGTATTTTTGCCTTCCAATCCTATATTCAAACATCGATGTCACAAGTTCGCATCCAATACGACGAAAACCACAGCCTAAAATTCCCGTTTTTTTTCATTGTTGACGTGGACGCATATACCTTCGAGGCCCATAGCAGGTACAAACGACGCCTGAAATTCACAATCACCGACGCAGAGTCAACAGATAGAATCAGGATCGGATTCCATCAGTAATTGCATTCTGGCGTGGTGGTCCATTGTATCGTGGTTCCCATACATTGGTCCAAAAAGTTGTTGTTGCAAGGATGACAAGACCACGACTTTGTGATGTTGGGAGGTTGATTGTAGGCAAGCTGATTTGGAAGTGTGGATTGTTGTGTCTGTTGCTTCTAAAGGCATGTTGAATCCAGCGTCGGGTTGTGATGATTGAGCAAGTGTTGCTCCTGTTGTTGGAGGTGAATCCTTTTTTTGCGTCTATAGATCCAGCCTGGACAAACCACGTACCAGAAGATGGATGCATTACGCAGAATCCTGAATGGTGTACCTGAAGGAATGAACGCTGTTCCTACGGATTGTCATTATCTCTTGGACACAATCTCGATCATATGCAAGGACGCATCTTTCACTTGAGAATCATATCGCACAAAAAAGCAATTAAAGGCAACGCAAGCAGCAGCTTCTGGCTGATTTGGGTACAGATTGTTGTACCCATTGATTCTAAAGAAATGACTCCTGTGATGTCCTTGAGCAAGTATTGCTTCAAGTGGGCATTTGGTGTCTTTCTTGCGTTCTTGATCCCAGTGTTGACAAATCAAGCACCCGAAGATGAATTCGCACTACGAAGAATTATGAATGTGTTCCTGATGGTGAATTTTAATGATCATGGTTACCTAAATATCTGTTTATCTCATTTTTACGCTCCCGTCGCAAAAAAAAGACAAGTTTGAAGCTCATGAGTTCCTTTATTTTTCAGAAGACTTTGGGAAGGGCTCCCATTTCGGCCAACCGACTCGAACACACCATGCGGGTGTAACACGTAAACTACTGCTACCTATCCATGTCTTCAGTGATGGTTCAAAGTGGGTTGTCTTCCATTACTTTCTTTTATGGTTTCCTTTTTCGCCCCGACACTCACAACCATCACAGACACTTTGACCACCAGAAACACTACCACTGAACACAACCACCAACCCACCATCTCACTTTCCAATCCGAACTCGACCCCAATAACGACCCTGTTAGTAATCCTATTCAGGACGATATGATGTTGGGTTGACGTTGTTGAGCATGTTGGACATGTGGTAGTAGAGGTTTGAATGTTTGAGCAGGCTTGTATACCATCGTTTTATGGTGTTCTGTTCAATAGTCTGTTTCGTCATGAGTCCAACGAATCTGGTGTTTGATGTGTGCAGGAGGTCTGATTTTGTAATTTATATAAAGTATTATACATATTATTGTGCAAGAGAAATGACTACACTATTGAAACAGCGGAGGAATACCTATTTACATAACACTGCCTTCAACCTCTGGATCAATCACAAAAAAGTCAACATCCCATTGGAGCCCTTCTTTGGCAATGATTTGCAGCAAACATTGTTCATATGTCGACAGTACAGGTGGTATCGGGATTTCGTATCGTCCTGAGGCAATTCTGACTGTATTTCCATGAATCTCGGTGCAGAGATGCTTATAAAGTGCGTCTATAGAGACTGGGATATCCACGACACCTGAATCCTTGCACTTCGACAGCGATGTATGTATGCCAGCAGCCTCAGCTCTAGACAAGTAAGACTTCCAAGCAGCTTTTCGAGCTGATCCAGACTTATCAAGAAACTTGATCTCATATTGTTCTAACATGTACCGTTAAGAGCTCATTTAGTGGGTACCCCCGTTACAGTAGTGTCCTTCCAAAGACTTGCCTATGATCCTCCTCGCCTTCAACTTTCCCTGTACATAGAGCAGATCTAAGGTCTTCGCTTGTAGTTCTCTACTACGAGTTTCCAGCAGGGCCTTGTATCGATTGAGTTGCTCTGCCATGACTTTCTTTTCAGCAACTTCCTCGAGAAGAGCTTCCTTTTGTGAATCATCAAGAGTTGATTTTAGGATAACCGACAATAACGATGGTGCAGGAGAGCGAGCCATGGAGTCAACTAGTGTTGGGAGTGATATTAAAGCGTAGTAGAAAATGGGGCTGTGACGACGAATTAAGGCTTACAGCGGCGAGCAGAAGAGTGTAAGCTGTTGAATGCTACTCTACAACTGATTGGAGATGCCATGGGGTAGATGATTTGACCACAGCGAGCGACAGAGGAGATGAGGGGACGAAATGCCATGCTGGCGATGATTCGATTGTAGAGATAATTGAGTCAGTTGAGCTGTACGTCGGCTGCTTTGGTTAAGTTGTTCGTTAGCTGTACGTTTCGATAATGTGTTTTTGCAAACAAAGAAAAACTGTCCAAAGAAAGAAAATCGTACTGAGTGTGAGACAACAAGTCATTCTCGCGTACGTGTACTTTTTATTCCTTTTAAACAATCACGTCGCATCTCACGTACTGCTTTTGCCCTTGCCAACCTCTACAACAATGTAGTATGTCTATTGTTGGATACCTTTGTCTCATACTTGCTGAACCTGGATATACGCGCCTTATAGATGTGTATTCTGTTGTCTACCGTGTCAGGAGTATACATAAGTACGTGGAGTTATATCTACTGTTTGTGGTTGCGCAGATCCACCACAGCATCAGTAGTAGTGTCTAACATCTATCACACCTGTGCAACATCTCCACCGCAATCACACTTTTTGAAACTTTAAATCGATAAATCTACAGCAGCTCCGCAGCTCCTAAATGTCAATCCGATCTTTCATGACCGTTACGTGAAATGGATTCGTGAATTCAGTTGCCATCCGCCACCATCCCTGCTGACAGGACATCCGGTTTGAGCAGATAGTGTCAAGTGAGGAGACATTGAATGATGTAGATGGTGTGAGACGTTTCGCTCATCAGTTATAGGGTCAATGGTATACCACGGGTTTGTGATATTGGGGGGATCGATGCTAGGCAGGCGGGGGTTGGCGATACGGATCCACGTGCCTGTTGATTCTAAAGGTACTTCCAATGTGATCAATGGTTGTTGTTTGTGATATCTTTAGGCAAGTGTTGCTCCTGCCCATCATTGGCTAATGCCTTTTGCGCCTGACACCTGTCTTGACCACCAAGCACCAGATGATGACGTTAGGAAGGATGGCTACCTCGTCCGCGAGCTAACGACTCGAACATACCGTACGGATGTAACTCGTAAAGGTGTACCAGCTATTTATTTGCTTAGTGATGGTTCAAAGTCAATTATTACCTTCTTAGTAATTTTGTTTCGCCCGATAACCACCGCCACCACAAAGACTTGGACCACAATAAATACTGCACAAAACCACCTAACTCGCCATCCCACTTCCCATTCCGAAATCGACGCCAACAACAAGCAATCCTGTTCAGGACGATACAATGTTGGAGTTGACGTTACTGAGACTCGAGCATGTTGGACTTGTGGTAGCATTGGAAGGTGGATTGTTTGGGAAGGCGTTTGTACGATCGTGCTGGCCTATACCGCCTCCACCATCGGAAGGACGACAACACATACTGCAGTGCCGCGATCGTGCACGTACATTTGGGAAAATATTATAATTCAATCTTTCGAATTTGGTTTTGCATATTACATTTAGATTCTTAGCATTTTGATTGTACAAGGTTTGGTTTAATAATTGGAAGCATAATCTAAGACAGTTTGTATAGCGTTGACTTTGCTGCAGGGCTTACAAGAAGCGTAGTTGACTTGGCTAAAAGGTGCATAAGAGTCATGTTAGATAAGCATATGGAAGCCTGAAACTCCATTTTGGCATCCTCCCTTTCAACTTCAATGCAGCGAAACACAAATCCACCTCCTGCTCTTACTAACCTGGAATTTCGGTGGCGTCCAATCAATAAAATCCTTCTCTACTCTATTCTTGCTAACCTTCTTCATATTCTTTTCAGCATACTCGATATTCTTCTGAGTCAAGAAGAAAACATACGAGTTTCGATAGAATTTCAATAAATCCAATGAGTGCAAGGTACTCAATATATCATCGGGAGTTATTGATGTCTGTTGAGACAATTCGTGAATGCTGATTTCACCTTTCGGGCGTATCTGATATAGTTTTTCGATAATAATGTCCGTCCAGTATTTACGATATGATAATAGTCCCAAGTCGGATAATGGTTTTTCGGGTGATCCGGCTTTACCCTCGATTTTGGAGAGTTCGTATGAGAATGAGATTAGCATTTTGCCATATCCCATACGTTGGTATTGCGGCAGAGTGAGAATACAGGCTACATTGTATTCTTCACTGGATTGCTTTTCTTTCGAGAAGTAGCCCAGTAAATGACATCCAGTTTCATCCGTGTTTGTCATTAGATAAAATAAGAAGGGATCTACATCGTAATATAGTGTCTTGTGATCTAAAAAGAGTTTGGATAGGAGGCACAGGTTTCTACAATATTTTTTCTGTTTACGTCCATCGATTTCCCAAAAGGATATATCATGTTTACGATAGATTTCGTTACCGGGTGGATGATGGAGGGTGCATTTCTGGCGATGTCGTTCGAATGCTCGAGTGCTGATGGCGAATTCGAGACAGAACTCACATATATATAGACAATCACCAGCGAATTCTTCAGGATATGGTGAGAAATACCAAGTGTCCACTTCATGCTTGCCCATGATAATCCTATTTATGTTTTTTACACGAGAGACTTCACCAATCGATTGAGTCATGGATCCACCTGTCCGTAACTTTTCCAATTCCTTTTCTTTGGAGAAGGTTTCGTCTTCCTCGTCGTCGTCATTCTTGACGGTATCCTCACCAGCACCATCTTTAGTTCCATCATTATTCTCATTCGCATCTTCCATATTGACATCATTATCCTCATCATCGTCCTTGTCCTTTGATCTCGTGTTTGATTTACTGCCCCGAGTTTTGACAGGCTCCGTATCGACACTTTCAACATCTTCCATGTCGACATCGGGTCCAGCAACAGCTATCGGTGTATCGTACTTCAACTTTCGATTCTCTTTACCACTACTGGATTTGCCATTCGTGACTGATTCGACATCATCGTTATCACCAGCCTCTGGCGATGCTGACTTTCTATTGAGACCCGAGAGTCTCTTTCGTTTCTTGGTGTCTTTACTCGGAGTCACTGCCATTGCCGGTGCAACTGCGGCTGCAGCTTGTTTACTACTACTAGACGACGACGGTTGTCGTTGGCTTACTACTACAGTTGGAGCATCGCTACTACCACTCTTGGTGATGGCGGAAGCTTTCGATGGTGGTGATGATTTGTTCTTGGTGGCAGAGGCAGCGGCGACGTTAGTACCATGACCACCGCTAGTAGTGGAACCACCTTTAGAATGCTCTACCGAGTCCAAGTTGAGTTTCTTCCACAAGACCCATTCGTCGAGTCTCTTGTTAAATCCATCATAGTGAACGTAGTATTCCGGCCCACCACCCGAGAGAGGATTCCGAATGGAGAGTATCTCAGCTCTTTGTTGAGTCTTTTCACCTCGACCAGAAGTCTTTTCGATGGTGACAAAGTCACCAACTACAATGGATTCTAATGCTGCGATAACATCGGCCATGGCTTGTAAGGGAAGATGAAGGCGGGATGCGTCTATGGCTAGAATATAATAAAACTGAATAATATGAGCACTTGATCTTGCACCCGTTGTTGGTGCCTTTGCTGCGAAAAACAAAAATAGCTTGTCCTCACCAGTTTGCTATAGATTTGATTTAACAGCTAAACAGACTTGATAGTAATAAAGAAGGACGGACAATCTCTTAACAAGATGACCAGCAATACAGATATGATGAGCCCTCCACTGGCTGACTTGCTTGGCAGGAATTTGAAGAGAACTCACGAATTATACAAATCGACTCACGGAAACCCACTTCCTGACGACCCAAAGAGGTATGAACAACATAGAAGACTGCATTATTTCAGAATACATTTATAATATTCATAAAACACCTATTTACTAATTACTCTGCTCTATTTCATTGCTACGCTAGTCAACGATTGAAGCTGACATCAAAGATCTTGGACGAATATGATCACGTCAAGCAACTACCCAAAGTCATCCAACAACAAGCTGCTCAGCCAAAACCTAGTGTCGCAACTGGAGTAAATGGTACTACCACCACTAGTAGGACTAGTACAAAGATATCCTCGACAACAACACCTTCACCTTCAACTGATTTGGGTCTAGCTAGTGGAAGCTCAGTGCAATCCATACTAGATACCATGCCTGCTGCTCAAATGTATGGACTCATGTCAGTCGGTTGCACGCTATCCATACGAATCAACACTTAACCTTTGTTTGGCCTTAGGAACCAACAATCAACATCATCCAGTGCACTAACAATACGTTCAGAAGCTGGAACACATAAACCAAACGCCGCCATATACGATACACAATCGAATTCACTCATAAAGATAAAGGAACCACGTAAAGTACCCAAACCTGAATGGCATGCTCCTTGGAGGTTGATGAGAGTCATCTCGGGTCACTTGGGTTGGGTCAGAGCTGTTACTGTCGATGTTAGTAATGAGTGGTTTGTTACCGGGGCTGGAGATCGGGTTATAAAGGTAAAGAGATGACTGAGCGTCCTATTCAAAGGAGGGTTAGAACTTTTTGGCTGGGCTCTAACCAGTCCTCTCTTCAATTGATAGATCTGGGATTTGGCATCAGGAACACTCAAATTAACGCTCACTGGTCACATATCAACTGTCCGAGGACTTGCTGTATCACCAAGACATCCATACTTGTTTTCATGTGGTGAAGACAAGATGGTCAAATGCTGGGATTTGGAAACAAACAAAGTCATTCGTCACTACCATGGCCATTTGAGTGGTGTCTATGCTCTAGCTCTACACCCTACTCTCGATGTCCTGATTACAGGTGGTCGTGACTCGTCTGCACGAGTAAGTCAATATTGTGGACAGTCATCTCGTTTTTCTCAAGTGTACTAACCCACACTGCTCTCAACTCAAAAAAGGTCTGGGATATGCGAACGAAAGCCCAAATATTCGCATTAACCGGCCATTCTGCAACCGTAACCGACATCAAAACTCAAGAAGCGGACCCACAACTAATCACAGCATCAAACGACACTACCATCCGATTATGGGATTTAGCAGCTGGTAAAACAATGACTACATTAACGCATCACAAAAAGTCTGTACGGGCTCTAGCTATGCATCCCACGGAATTCTCATTTGCATCCGCATCACCCGATAATATCAAACAATGGAAGTTCCCTGGTGGTAATTTTATACAAAACTTGGATGGGCATCAGGCCATTGTTAATACCATGTCGTGTAATAAGGAGAATGTCTTGTTTTCTGGAGGTGAGCATTCCAAAGAACACCCAAGCTGGTGTTTTTAGCTTCGATGAGATCAAGGCACAAAAAGAAACCAGTCGGAATTGCCCTGAACGCTAACTTTATCTATTCATGTTAGCTGACAATGGCTCAATGCATTTCTGGGATTGGAAGTCTGGGTATAATTTCCAAACTGCTGAATCAGCTGTACAACCCGGTTCACTAGAATCAGAAGCTGGCATCTTTTGTTCAACATTTGATCGAACTGGATCCAGATTGATTACTGGTGAAGCAGACAAGACAATCAAGATATGGAAGGAAGATGAGAATGCTGTAAGTATCAGCTGTTTGGGAATACGTGGACTGCTGAATGTTATGTTGAAGTCCTGTTGACTGTCTTGTAGTAATTAACAAGCGATTTTTTGCCTCTCGAACTAAACCAATCTTTCGCCATTTTTAATAGACTCCAGAAACTCATCCAATTACAAACTGGAAGCCTGCTCTTGCAAGACAGTTTTAAGTGTAGAAAATGTGATAGCTTGTCCAATATACGTTGCACTTTTGATGTCTATTAATCAACTTCAGAACATCAGCTTGAACTTTACATGATTGCGAACATGAACTTGTGCTCGATACGGTCTGTATGTTGTCGAAAACATCCGAAGCACAGTCATTAACCCACGTCCTATTAATTGATCCACCGAGAGCACAAAAGTTTGGAAAAAAAAAAAAAAAAGTTTGGATTTTATCTGATCAAGACAATTACAACAAAAAAATCTTGCTCGGAAAAGCAACCACACGCGCCAAATCACGAAAATGTCCACATTGCCTCCTTATGACGATTTGCCTTTTGGCTGGTTGTTGCATTCATGCCGTCCACGTCAAACTCCTGCAAAGAAACTCAACAAGGCCAGCGTACCAAATTCCACGAAGATGGCAGAAATCAAGCCCAAAGTGTGTATATTAGGAGCTGGGCTAGTTGGATGCTGGCTCGGTGGAAAACTGGAACTGGGGGGATTAGCTGAAGTTCATTTTGTAGGTCGTCAATCCTTCTTGAACCAAATCACCAAGTATGTTTGTCAGTTTGCCGCATCTGCTTTAAGCGATCCTTACACATCGTTTTTACTGTAGGTCTGGCGGCCTAGGCGTATCCAGCCTCGATGGCCAAATCTCCCAAATCCCCGTATCCAAACTTCGGTTCCACCTCACCGTCCCCACAGACATCACCTTTGACTATATCGTCATCACCACCAAACGCGTCGGAACCATCTCTGCCCTGAAATCCATAACCCATCTAGACTCTCCCTCAACATCCATCGTGACTATGCAAAACGGTGTTAGACCAGCAGACGATATCCGCACAGTGCTATCCAAGTGCGACATTATCGTCGGCATGTTTCCCTTCAACGTCGTAGAACAGAACGGTGTCTTCCATCAGTCCTCGTCGGGCAAACTTGTCGTAGAAGCTAGCGCTACTGGATCCAACTTTACGCAACTCTTGCTCAGAAGCTCGGTGGACGCCGTCTCGGAAGCAGATATGAATGGAGTGCTATATGCTAAGCTGCTCGCTAATTTGAACAACTCTGTATCGGCACTCTCTGCATTGCCGCTACGGGACGAGCTGTTTACGTATGGATATAGGAGTATATATGCCAAAATGCAGGTAGAGGCCATGAATGTATACAAGGCTGCTGGGATTGTGCCAAAGGGGAATGGACCGAATCCTGCTACTGTTGCGAGGGTGTTGATGTTGCCGGATTGGATTTTTAGGTTTATTTTCCCACGTATTGTCAAGATTGGAGAGAAGGCTACTAGTTCCATGTATGAGGTAAGTTTAACCAACGTGTATGGTGTATGGGTGTTACGAGGTCGAATCTCCTTTGGTTGATAATCCTGACGATGTTATATTGTTTTTAAGGACATCAAAGCAAACCGTATGACCGAAGTCGACTATCTGAATGGTGAAATCATCCGTCTTGGAAAACTACACAATGTCCCTGCACCATACAATCAGCGTGTCCATCAACTCGTCAAACAGGTTGAAGCTTCTAAGCTTGGGTTGATCAAGCACGAACCAGTTGACATTGAAGCCTTCATCGCCAGGACAATGTCCAGTCACAAAATGTAAACTTATAGTAGTTTTATGTGGCTGTATCAGTATGAAGGTTTATTTTGGGGTTGGAAGAGACACACACACTCATATATTTTCGTTTCTTGTTTGATATTCTCTAATATAAATACCTATTCTTTGCACATTGATGTATCAGTTCTATAAGACAGGAACAGTCTTGGTCGGTATCATGTTCTCCACAGCTCCCTTAAACGTAATTCTCCACTCGCCCCCCTGCAAAACAGTCCAGTCATGAAAAGCAGTAGACCCAACAATAACAGCCGATATCAGCAAGAATATAACAGCCAAGAACGTAACCATTGCAGGAGGCACTTTAGACGTTGGATCATATTCATTCCTAGATACCAAGTGCGGATTCATTTCATTGACTTTGGATAGTATTGATTCGAATTCGTCCAAGAAGGGCGATGGAGTGGATTTCTTGGATGGTTTGGTGATTAGCTTGCGTTTAGGTGGTGCTCGTGTTACTGGCATGAGGGGGTTTACACGGCCGCCGTTTGTGAGGAGAAGTTGCTGCTGGGGTTGTTGGGGTGCTGGTTTTTTGCGAGGCCAGTCGAGATCTACACCGGCGCCAGCAGATAATACGGTATCTAGTCGGTTTGATAGTATTGGTGATCTCGTAACATCGGGATTGACGCCTGTTGATGGGAAATTCACGTCCGCGGCATTTAATGATATTGGTGTTGTGGATGGTGAGTATGGGTTTACGGTGTATCGTATGAGGCTCGTTGTGGTGTTTCGAGACTTTTGTGCTGAAGATTCACGAGATCTTATGCCGCTTGATTTCTTGTGTGCTGATTTATTGCGGTTGGTTTTTTGAAAATGGCGGTAGGAGGCGAGGCTATCGTCTAGACCAAACGAGACTCCACCGAACATGAAATCGGGGACTACCATCTCCATTTTCGATACAATTTGGTTTGGATTCGATTTGGGAAATGATTGAAATTGTGTTGCTGTGCATTGTTTTAAGGTGATGCGCATTCGCTTAAAAAACAACAAGAAAATCGCCGATCGTATATACAAGGTAAGATTCTATGTACGTTGGCCTTCAAATACATTTTCGAAATGTTTACGAGCTGCATGCATGTTTAATATTGTTGCAGATGATTCTAAGAGCCAAAGAAAGAATTTTAGGCTCGCAAAAAATGAAGGGAAAACATTGTTATAACTCACGAATGGATGGATCAGACATGACAACCATGAGATACGTATTGGAAGTCAACGCATCTATGAATGCCGCAAACTTGCCATTCCTCATCTCCATGCTTTGGAATGTAGTTTGTGATTTTCTATAAAAATCAAACCTTGTAAGAAAGCAAGACCAAAAAATCGAATCATAGTCGACTGTCATACCCGCAGGATAACTTGAACTGCTTGATTATATTTGATATCTTTTCAAACCGATGTTGGTCTTCATGTGATGTCCGTGTGGCATGGGCAATCACGAGAAAAGTAGTCTTTTCAAACAGGAGAACTTCATCTGCATCACATAGTGTGGCGAGTCCTTGCAAGTTGTTTTCCAGTTCGTGGATGGAGGGTATGAGAGCGTATACGATTGATGACCAGGCCTAGCGAATAAGTTGTTCGTTAAATCTCCTTTTTTTGTGCTTGCACGTTCTCGCTCACCTTGTATAATGATTCATCCCAAATCGAAGTTGGGAAGGCACTTATGTGTAGAGGGAGTGATCGTCGTTTCAATTCTGATTCACGGTCTTTGAATAACTAAGAATCAACAGGAAGAGTGAGTTGATTAATATGGGCAACAAAGTCAGACGATGCGCCCAGACGTGAACTCACAGCTTCACGTTGATCTTCTTGCACCAAATCCATCTTATGTATGAGACAAAAGATCTTTGCATCTTTTGAGCTCTTGAGTATGTTTTCGAGCATGGATTGGTAATAGTGCATGTCCTTTTCATGTTCTCTTGATTCGACGTCGAATACGTAGATGAGGACTTCGACGTTTCTGAAAATGTTGTCTCGTTGTTGTTGAATGTAGGATTCCATGAATGATTCTTGTCTAAGTGAAAAATGATTTGTGTTGGAATGGATCAATTCATCTCCAAGACCGACACGTTTTTTTACCCTCCACAATCTATAGCAATTAGAGGGTTAACATTTAGTGTAACGGTCAAGTTCAAGACTGCACTCATACCCCATAAATTGAGGGTCAGGTTCCCCAAGAAACGAATCTGTGAGTGCTCAACATCAACTAAATAAAACAGGTGTCAGCTTCAAATGTTGCAATCTTCCAGCCCACAAAGCACTTCACTGGTAGCTCCTAGTCTTCTAGTGTCTCTTGCAATGTAATTAGCAAATATGATGCTCCTCATAGATGTCTTTCCAGATCCACTTTTGCCCATCAGCAAGACCTGAATTGTGAATGTTGTTAGATTTACTTTGTACGATACAAAAGGAGATCGTTAAGAACGACGATATACCTTTTTTTGTTTCATCATCTTGGGCTCCCTTCTCTCTCCGTATTCGCTATCAGCTGTTTATTCGGTAGCAAGACGAACTTCAAATGTCGATGACCAGCACAAAATTGTAGGATGAGTACAGAGACACGTTCATATACGTGATTATCGTGAGAATATTCTCTGAACATTGCCGAACAGTGCCTTCTGTCTAAGAATTCAAGGTGGTTGCAAAATACAACCCGTTTGTATGCTGTGAAAGGACAATATCCGGTGTATTAAGACTCCATTGATATCATTAACTTCTATTTCGATATTGCGCCAACACATTTACAGCATTTCGGTGATGCGTCCGTTTGGTATTTCATCACTCAAAACCGACCAAAACTTCAAGTTGGTGACAAACGTTGAAAGCTCCGTCTTGTTGATATCCAATCACTCTCTCAAAGTGAAGGGCCTCAAACCGAGCCTAGTAGTCCAGCAATTGCGCGGGCGTATTGTCTGTTTCACTCCTTCAAGACGTCACATATCCCATCCACAATTCCTATTTAAGAGAATGTTGACAACAAACACTTACGAGGTATACTATACAAGTTAGCAATCCAAATGTTTGACCTTGATCTGGCATCGGAACTAAGTTTCTTTCTCAATCTATTATTAGACGGCTGTAGAACTACTCAACCAAACTCAATCAAACGCTTCCATCTTGCAAGCTGTTCGAGCTTCCGGGGGCAAGTTGAATGAACGGAGCATGCCTGAAATGAGAGAATACATGGCCAGACTCGGTTACTCTGTAAGATACTTGCATTCATCCCATCAAAGGAGTGGCAAAGTGACGTGCTGAGTCTCAACTTTTTTATTCAGATGGCTGACTTGGACGAGCTCAATGTTATACATGTTGCTGGTACAAAGGGCAAGGGCTCAACATCTGCATTCTGCGAATCGATACTCCGGAGGTGCCATGTCGTGTCGAGTGGCTCTGATGGTGGTCAAACGACGACAAGGCCACTGAAGACAGGATTGTATACTAGTCCTCACATCCTTCAAGTCCGGGAACGTATACGACTTGATGGGCAGCCGCTGAGTAAAGCCAAGTTTACAAAATATTTTTATGAATTGTGGAATCGATTTGATGAGACTCAGGTACACCTTATATATCAGCGCCACTGCGTCTTTTTGCTCACCTAACGTCTTGTTTCTTCCAGGATCAAGTATCAGAAGGAACAACATCAAAACCACCATATTTCCGCTTCTTAACTGCTCTAGCTTTCCACGTCTTCAAGAAGGAAGGTGTTGATGTGGCAATCATGGAAGTTGGAATGGGTGGTGCTTATGATGCTACAAATGTCATTCGTAAACCTATAGTATGCGCTATATCGTCCTTGGGACTGGATCATACGGCTATATTGGGAAAGACGCTGCCTGAGATTGCGTGGCATAAGGCTGGTATCATGAAGGTACTTTCCAAATCGGGAGACTTCCCTTTTTTTCGCTTTTCTTACTCTTGTCTTGTCGCTTTGTCTAGGCTGGCATTCCTTGCTTTACCTCGCCACAAAAGGAAGATGCATTCAAAGTCATTGAGGAACAAGCTTTGGAGCTTAAGGCATCCGAGTTGTCGATATCACTGCCCTCAGTCGTTGAAGGAATTACACTAGGTATAGAAATTGTGGGGCATCCATTTTTTCTGCTCATCTAACACACTTTATGGCTTTTAGGACTCGCAGGCTCACACCAAAAGTTGAATGCCTCACTCGCCGTATCAGCATGCACGACATGGATTCATACCATGCAAGCAAAAAAACTCTATACATTTGATTCGAGTTGCATTCCACTCCTCGCATCCGATGATTCAAAGCAACAGCAACAGGAGCTTCTTCCACAACCGTTTATTGATGGGCTGGCTTCCACAACGTGGATTGGTAGGGCACAAGAGTACCACGCAGCGCAATATCCGAACGTGACTTGGTTTTTAGATGGTGCTCATACTCCTGAGAGCATATTGGTGTGTACTGAATGGTTTGAGGGTGCTGTCAAGAAGTATGTGGATCATACAAGGTGAGTTCTCGTTGAGCCATCAGTCGTGGCGCATGTGTACAAAAAAACGTCATACAGTACTGCATGGACTCCAAGTCAGTGACTTTGAAACTCAACTCACATTACCTACTTTCTCACATAGGACCACACTTATATTCAATTGCAACTCAACACACGGACGGGATGGTCCCGAACTCCTCAAACCAATCGCAGAACTCCATCTCCAACACAATAACCTATTCTCCCGTGTAATCTTCACACCAAACGACCCATACCGCCCAAACACTAGGACACTAGCCGATTATACCAATAATATGGTTGACGCAGACAAGTTATTGACTGCTCAGTACGCATTGCAAGCTGCTTGGAAGGAGTTTATGGATACCGCTGGATCAGAAGCTGTTACCGAGACATTTGTGGTTTCTTCTATTGAAGAGGCTGTTGAATTGGCTGCTGTCGGTGGGAGCGAGGAAGAGAAGACACCTGTACTGGTTACAGGTAGTCTGTATCTTGTTGGTGGGGTGTTGACTAATTTGGGAGCAGAGTGTATCTAACAGATAGAAATCACATATTTAACAGAATAATACAAGAGGATGTTTGCATGCAATGTAACAGAAAATATTTGAACTATTTATGTAGTGAGGCCATTGCATCAGAAACGACGAGATTACACCTAAACGTTCCCATGAGACATTAGTATATTAGCTTGTCTTTTTTTGCTACTCAAGTACTCACAGCTTAGCAACAGGATTCGATCTCACAGCTGTCTTTGCAATCTCATTTCCATATCTCGCACCTAGACCAAAATCAGCTTCAGATCCAGCCTGATCACCCAAATTCCTCTTGATTATAGCCCGTTGCGTAAACGCATTTCCCAACACCTTGTTATCAGATCCTGCGTAGTATATCGCGCGGTCTAAATCTTCCATGGCACGGATAGTATCGTTCAACAATCGATACACCTACGAGTAACGACTTAGATATTGCGTTGTATGAAAGAAGAGGATGCAGCAATACCTGAGCTCGATTATTATATCCAGAGCTATACCAGCCACACATTGATATGCATTTCGTCAATGTAAAAAGTGCAGCCTGTAGATTTCCAGACTCGGCTTCTTTGACTGCCTGCTTTTCGAGTGTAATGAGTTCGGTTCTGAGGGATTCGTCGATTGGTGGAACTATATCAAAAATGAATTCAGTTAAATTGGATCTTGATATTGTACAGTGACAGTTCAAAGTCGTCGAAAACGTAAATGTTACGTTGGTTCAACGACAGAGGGAAGACGTACCATCAGGAGTCTCTCGAAACTCTTCAATGTCTTGTACAGAGTATTCTTGCTCTAAAGAAAACATTAACGTTGATTGAGATCAGCAACAAAGTCACGATGGTAATTTGTGATATTTGATTCCACCAAAAACACGATCTTTGGGTGAATAAGCATAGTTGAAAAAGGGATACCTTCATTGAATACGACTGATAAGACTGCCTGAATTTTTGCAATATGTAGTCAGAAGCCCACACTTTGCAAATCGTCATGATCAAAACTTTGTAGCTTACTTCATCGTTTCGGGAGAGGCCAACGAGATGTTGCATTCCTTCATTGCCATCGTCTTTCGGCTGTGTCGATGATTCGAGGCGAGTCTTGTACGCTTCCATAGTATTTACCTAGGACGCCTCAATTCACTGCTCCGTCATGGTTTAGATACCACAACGAATAAACGGAAGCAGGTGGACTTTTAAAAGCGAGGTTTATTCATCACAAAGACAACAATACCACTGAATGATTGTGCATCTGAATCTCGACCTTGTGAGCGCCAGCTGTGTCTGCATTGTCTGAGTATTTTCAATGGAGCAATATTTAAATTAGATACACAGGCTCACCTAGGTCTCTATATATTATTTGGATACCTCAGCAATGTTTAGACCCCCCCCCCCCCCCCCCCCCCAACTGGGGGGGGGGGGGGGGGGG